AGTCTTGTTACTGTTGGACCAACAGCCTTCTAAGGGTCTGGCCTTCAAAAGAGTACTGAAGGCCAGAATGATAGAGTAGTTGCTGCCCTACTAGACATATGTGGTGCTGTCATCAGAATTGATAAAAAAATTGAGTATTTTTGCTCTGTTCCTTTGATATACCCTTTATTAGTGGTTCACTATCTTTAGTGATTCCATAGAATTATAGACTGGTTTTGGTTGGAAGGGTTCTTAAAGATCATCTAGTTCCACCCTTCTTGCCATTGGCAGGGACACCTTCCCCTAGACCAGGTTACTCAAAGCCCTATCCAACCTGGCCTTCAACACCTCCAGGGACAACATTGCCATTTTCCATTGAAATTCCATGCTTGCTCTGGATGTTTGGTGTTAGGCTCTCAGATTTCCAAGGTGCTATGTATCCTTGTACAAGTATTTTCTAACAGCATGTGCATTAGACAGAAGGCCACAATTTCACAGCTCGCAGGCATACAAGGTCAAAATAATATAGTAGATGTGGGACTGTGAAAAGGTATGTAATGGTGTCAGCATATGGTCATGATTAAGTCATCTGAGTATTTTCTTAGTAGCCCCCTTTAATTAATTTGTTAGTATTTCTTCTGCCTGGATGCCTACTTTCTCTTGCATATGGATAAGGGTCAATGCATAGTGCCATGATGACCATGGTGTATGGGTGGGTTTTCTCAAAACTGAGAGCTGACCATGTCAGCTGATGAAACTGGATATTTTCCTAGTGCAGACACTAGGAAAATACCTTTTGACTGGGTACTGTCATTGTGGTATCCACTTTGTAATGGACCTTTATTTAATTCATCAATAATAAAGTAATTTTATGAGCAGAAAGAAAATATGGGTTTTACTAGATCCAGTCCATTTCCTCAGCCCAAATAGTAGAAATTGCCATTTCTGCTACAGTAACACAATAGTAGAAATTGAGACAAAACACCTGGTAGTTGAGGCACTGATTTGGCACAGAAGAACATGGCAAAGCAGCGTTTCACATCTTAGTTTGTCACTGCCTATGTAAGCCCTCTAACCAATCAGCTGTCCACTCTTCTGAGGTAGAAATCTGCCATTTCATCAGAAAAGACCTTTGTTTTAGTTTAGTCTAGAACAAGAAAACATTGTAGAATCATAAACTTTCTTAGCAGGTTTAGGATAGTCTGTAGTATTATTACTGTCTATAATCTGTAGTAGAGAGTAGTGGAATTGAAGAGCTGCTCTCAATTTGTTTTACTTAGCTTACAGCAAAGCAGCTGCAGAGGCAATTCAGCTGTGAGATTGTCTGTCAACTTGTTCTTGAAAAGCCATGGCTCCAGGTAAACAATGAGCAAGTATTTTTGCATTGTGTCATATCCTCTGTCTCTTGAAAGATGTTCCTGCATTGTATCTAGATTATCTTGCAAGAGATTTGAAAAGACTAGAATATCCTTTTCATGATTTTGTTGACAAAACTATGATATGCATTAAATATAAAGAGTTACCTTAAAAGCACCCCTCCAGCCTTTCTCTTTCACATCTGTTACAGTTTGTGCAGTTCTTGCACTTTACACAATCTTTTCTGCATGTGTCAGGAGGACCCTGCTGAATTTTCATGAGTTCATATATATTGATCCTGTGATTAAGAGCTCTGGTCAAGGTGATCTGTTCCTATTTCCTTCTGAATGTCAGGAGAAAGCAAGAGGATTGCAGTCAGAAAACCTGATTATTGTCTCTCTTACTCAAGGCAAAGGAAAGAGAATAACGAGCCTGACTTTAGATTGCATGAGGTCTGTGCATTTAAGCAGGCCTAATCAAGAAAATGGAACACAGCAGGGTGTGAAGGTCTGGGGAAATACTTATATCCAACATCACCACTTAAAACTACTCTGCTAAGTCTGTGTGGGCAGCACAGACTAGCAGATCACTCAGAAAATACAGTTCAGAATTTTGTGGCTTCTTCTGGTCCCTTCTGACCAACAGACACTATATCCCCTTTCAAATTCTATAATGATACCTTCAGTTATCCACAGGAAAGAGATGGGTGAAGAATTTACTTCATTAAAGTGCAATGAAATGCAGTATACTCTCAAGGCTGATGATTACAGTTGTAAATGGATTTTTATTTTGAAGGATGGTGGTTGACTTTTGCTCCATTCAGATGAGAATTTTTGTGCTTGACAGCAGAAGGAGGAGAAGGAACCAAATATGTATTGACTATGAAAATGGAAGAGAGTCAAAGGCTACAATGGGGAGGCAGAGATACTGTCCCTGACAGCTTTTAACTAAGGCAGATAAGCTATGCTGCAACTTGTCTGCAGTGTTAGGAAATAATGGTTTCCTCCTCACTTTATTCCTTTTATTTTTCTCTTGAAAGACTGCAAGTGATGTTATACAAATCCTATATCACTACCCTTTGTGTACAAGGCAGGCCAGTCAGGGTTCTCTTCGAGACATTACCCTGTCTGTGTAGGTGGCAAATGTGGATTGTTTTGAACACATGAAGCTGAAAACTTCTCCACTCTTTCAAGGGCTCATGTCTTACTTGCATTGATCCATCCTTCAAAGCTCGTTTCTGAATCTCCTGTGCCTGATAACCTGGTACCCAAATGTTTGACAAGGTTGAATTTCCTGACCATACTTTCTGCTCCCAGTTGAAAATTTATTCTTTAGCTCCACCTCCTGGCTCTTAGTCCATGGAAATTAAGTTTATTGGGAATCACAGAGCCTCAAGAATGAATCAGAAGTATTTGTCATAGTTTACAAGCATTAGTGTAGAGATGTATTTGGGGCCATTTTAGCTTGGGCAAACCAGAATTTGTTGAGCCCACTCATACTGGTTTTCCACAGAAGCAGACGTTTTGTTGAAGAGGTGGACAACGGAATATGTAGCTCATAGTTTCTGCTTTTTGTTGGACTTTTGGTTTCTCAATGGTTGCAGTTTCAATACATCACAGACATCACAAAACAGTCTTTCTTTATGACTGTTTTTTCTCTAGTACTTCCTCAATCTCATGGGGGTGGGGAGGTACAGAAGAAATCGTCTGACACTGAAACACTAAAATAAAGATCTCTGAGGCCTTGCAAAGGAGTCTTGATTCACGCAGGGAGAATTGCTTTGACCGTGTTCATCCTATTCAACCAGGAACTGCCCAAGAAGTGGAGGAATAAAGCTTAGCCATCTGGATTTAAGAGGCTGAAAAGCATGTCTCTTCCCCGACAGCTGCGAGAAAAGAGGTAGTGTGTCTCTCCCTCCTTCCGCCTCCCCACAAGCCTCCATGTAACTGCTATGATCTGTTCATTTAATTTGAATGCAGGCTTCTTTAATGATTCTAAAACACTTGTTATTATTGTAGTGTCCAAACTATTGGGCTGCTCCATCCTGGAGCATGCTATTTCTTAAGTTGGAGTGGACTTTCTTTCTTTGCCTGGGAAAAATTCACCACCTAGGACAATAGCAGGTCATTGTCCTCTTTCTAGCTGCAAACAGTTTCCCTTTTACTGGCGTTTGTGATATGACTAATTATATCTCTTGATCTCCATAACCACATCCCTCTTCACAGTAAGTGGTAGTATTTAGGGTGTTGTGGGTGGTGCTGATTCATGTCATTCTCCCTGTACAGCAAGCTATTGCAAGACTCTGCATCATTCCTTCAGCCTTCCAGATGGCTACACATTGTGGAAGCCCCTGCTTGGGGTATTCTCCTAGCAGAATAAACTGAGCCAACTGCCGTGTGTTTTCTATTATCAGAATATTTAACATCACGTCTGCTTGGCATTTCTTAGATGATCCTTTTTAAAGTCTCTCTACCTCATTTATTATCCTTTTTTCCTCATTGATTCTTTTTATTGAAGTGTTACTATGAATACCACTTGAACAACATTGAGTTGTAAGATTGAAGCAAAGGTGAATTTGTCTTCTGTTTGTCAAAGATGTTGTACCAAGGAGAAGGTCCCAGAGGAAAAAGCACCTGCCAATCTGTGCTGTTTTGCTGTGTGGATAATACAGACAAGAAACATGAGAGTATGGTCATATGGCTGCTCTTTAGGTGTTCCTGCAGGGATCCTTCCTTCTCTCTTGCTTCAAATCCAATACTTTCTGGGATCTGTAAAGCTTATTCTAACCTTGCCCACTATCATGTGTTCCTTCACACATTTTTGTCATTTTCAAACAATTAGCTTTGTGCTTGCTTCAGGTTTATCTGCTGTGACTGGGAGATCTCCCTGTAAATATTTGCTAGGCTACTCGTTCTTTTTTTAAATTCTCTTTAAGGAGTCTGCTTTACTGTGATATTTATACATTTTGACAACATTTTGACTGCTGGTGCAGGCACCACTAGTTGTGATGTAGAACATAATAGAACTAGTAGAACATAAAGAACTCTGTTTCTTTGCTTTTTTTTTTTTTCCCCTGTTCATGTTTGTCCTTCTGTCTTATATGTATAAGGTACATTGTGTGCATCTTACACATACAGCGTAAGGTTTTTAGGAATTAGCTCTGGCCTGTCAGTTTCCAGAGCACCTAGCACAACAGAACTGTTTCCTATTCCCTACAGTAACGCAGTAATAATAACAGCATAAATCATGGTATACAGTGATCTCCTTAGAATAAAGGTTACTGCTGCAGAATTATTGTGAGTCTACTAGGTGCTGCAGGAAGGATTAAGAATGCATCCACAGCTGATCACGTTTCTCAGGAAAAACTTATCAGCTCAAGTGTTTCTTTTGTAGTCCTGCTCTCTAACAAGCCTAGGAAAAATAGAAATGTTTTTCAGGCTTGATGGATCTTCACAATGGTCACTGGCTTGTGCTGAACTTACAGAAACTTGACATCTCAAGATCAGATCTCCAGAGGAAAATAACAACACCATGAGTTTCTAAATTCTTGGTTTTGACACTATATAATGTGATGTTGCCTGACTAATTTTGTTCTGTATGGCATAGAGACCTCCAAAGGCTAACGTCAGTATGAGTAACCTAAATCTTTTGTTCTTGCTTCACAGTGATTTTGACCAGCTTCCAGATGATGTACCTGTTTCAGCTAATATTGCAGATATTGAAGAGAAGAAAGGCTTTTCTAATTATTATGTAAGAAGGGAGATTTGTCCTGTCTTTATTACGCCCTCATCTGTGACTGGTTTGGTTGTGGGAAGCAAAATGCAGTTAATCTGTTGTAGTTGCTTTTTGGTATGAACAGTTCTGTGCAGAGAACTTCTCAGTGCTGCTTTTTTTTTCTAGAATGGAGGTTAGTCTATCACAGATTTTGTCTAAAAATTTGTCTGGGTGAAATGTGACAAGTATCCTCTAACATTGTTTGTTTTCTGAATTCTTACTTTTATTCTGATTTATTTCCCATTAGAGTGTGGTACCTTTCGTCAAGATGGTGGAAAAGGAATTCAAAGAGGGTAGAAGGGCAGGGTCTTGTCTTCATTATTGCGTGGTACTGCCAAGTTAGGATGCTTCCATCTCCACAGAAGGTAGCATATTAATAAGTCATGAAAGAGCAGAAAGGAAGGAAATAGTAGAATGAAAGAGCACACAAGAAGGGAACAGTAGGGAAAAGCACTATGAGATTTTCTGAAGAGGGGTTTTGGATAAAATCAGCTCAGTCTGACTTCTGCAGGGCGTGCTGCTTTTGCTGGAGACATTGCTCATAAAACCTTCCCACTGCAGTACGTGGGTTTTACTCTGGAATATAGTGATGCTTGGTTGCTCTGTCTTTATGTTTTCTGAAGAAACTGGCTGCAATGTGATTCAGAGGTCAGTGCATGGAAGTCATGGGGTTCTTTAGAAAAAAACACTTATGGCAAAAGATAAGAAATAAGATAGTAGTTGGAGGAGGTCAGACCATAATTTCTGAAATTGTGTACCTTACAGACAAAAAGAAGCATGAATACCTCCAACTCTGAAAATCAATTTATTTAGATGTCTGTCTATAGATTTAGGTGTCCAAAGAATCAGAGTGTAAAATATTGGTATTTACCTCCCTAATGTGTTTTGTTTGTCACTGTGGGAAGGAGTCTAAGCATAGAGCAGCATCCAGTCATTTCAGGTTTCCTTATAAGTTTGCGTAACAGAAAGTAGCCACAGGGACAGGATTCACAAGAAAGCTGGACCCACACATCTACTGGACTTCTGGTGCGAACTTGTTATTTTCTAGTATCTGAGTCTGCAGATGCTTAACTGAAGTCTTGCTTTCCATTCTGCCCCTAAACCAATATTCCCACTACCAGGGCACTGATCTTACATTCCTATTGTATGTCTCACTTTCATTTGGTAAGTATTTATAAAGGTGGACATCAGCCTGAATCCCCCTTCTCTGTTTCAGATGTTTGTCATTGAAGTTAAGCTTAAAGGTGGTGGTAGATACCTGATTTTCCGACGCTATCGTCAGTTCTATGCCCTGCACACCAAACTAGAGGAGAGATATGGGCCAGAGAGCAAAAATAGCCCTTTCACCTGCACACTCCCTGTATTGCCAGGTGAGCTGTCAGTACCAAATCTGTGCATAATCAGCAGCATCCTCTGCCCCACGCTGTCCTAAACAGGACATTGTAGGGAAGTAGTTGTGACAAAGAACTAGTTCCCAGCTGTGGATGCTGCAGAGGTCAAGTTCCATTGGCAGTCCCTCCACTTGTGGAGTTCATTTAGAAACCTAAAATCCTACAGAAAATATGTATTTTCTTGGAGATCCTACTGTCTCCTGATTGCTTCATTTGTCTGACAATCTCCATTTTTTTTCTTCACTATCTGCAACGGGTTTTATATTTTCCAGGAAAAGTTTTTGTTGGGGCCAAAAAGGAAATTGCTGAGAACAGGATTCCTATCCTAAATGTCTACATGAAGGTAAAACTTTGTTTTAAGGTAGAGATTGCACTGAGCACTGCGGATTCTTACAGCTTGAAATCAGTTAAGAGAGACAGTACTTTGTAGTCCTGGATATCTGCTTCTCTCTGTGTTATTTTTCCTGAAGACACAGTGTCTGCACTGTGAGACAACCCGTGGTCCTATTCCCCAGATTGTTCAGACTGCAGGATCCACTGCAGTACGCAGTTCGCAAAGCCTCACTACCTGCCTTAATATATAGATAGATATCCTTACAAAAAAAAACAAAACACCAAGATGCATAAGGAAATGGTGAAACTCCAGGGATTGCATGAACATGGAGTTTGTATGTGCACCTAAAGGACTAGGAGAGTGAGGTGAGCTTCTGGGTGTACCTGCTCTACAGTAGAAGACACAGCCAGTAACATTGAGGAGAGCAATTCTTTGTGTGCAGGTTAACCGAAGACCTGACTTTAAATCAGTAGAAGTCTGAAGCCCTGGCCAAGACTTCCAGTACTTAAGATTGCCCTCTTTCCACAGTCATTCATGTTCTGAAGGGAAACACAAAGAGCAATTTACTCCTTCTGCAGTAAATCAGGCACAAAAAGAGTGAAGCAATACATTGGCCAACTCCAGGAGTAAACAGGAGAAACTGTCAGCTGTTCAGCTGTGTCCTGCTGAGCGAGAAGGGAAAGGAGGGAGATTTCTGGCAGTAATGAATATCCTTCATGATCCTGTAGGTCAGAGAGGCACATTTGTTACATGTAAATAAATAGAGAATTGGTCTCTCCCACTGTTACACTCTGCTTCCCACTTGCTGTTGGCACAGAACCTACTCTGCCTACCCGTTTGGGTGTTGATGGATGAGGAGGTCCGGCTGTTCTTCTACCACTCAACCTTTGATGGTGAACAGGTGCCTCACAGACTGAGACGGCTTCGCCCACGGACACGCCGAGTGTAAGTGATTGACATGTTTTTTCAGTATTGCTTGATGTAAGAGATGCTGTCCAATTTTTGGGGAGGAGAGCAATGAGGATCACCACTGTGTTTCCTAAATGTATCCATGAAGTCCTAATATGAGTATCTTTGTGGTAGGGTGAATGCAGGGTATTTCCTGTTCTTGGTAATCTCAAATTTTTAAAGGGGATGTGGTACTTGCATTAAAGGAAAAACTCTAAATTGGGAATATAGCTTGCTTTTAAAAACATGCTGCTCAGCTCTATTTGCTGATAATTCTTTAACGGTAATACCTATTATAACATGCAGGATATACAGACCAAGCTTAAAGACATAGGCTTGCACCACTGAAGGCAATGTGAGTTTTGGCACTGAAATCAGTGAGATCTGGTTCAGACACTAAATGAAACTGAATACTTAATTTGTTCCTGTCCTTTGTCTAAACAGGGGCCTGTCCTACATAGCAGCATTGACACCCCTTTGGAGAACTGCTAAGCAGACGTCATACTTCATTACCCTTCAGACAAATTAATTTTCCTTTCAACATAGCAAAGATGGACCCGCTTCCTTTTCACTTACCTCAAACAGTGCGAAAACTGCATGTGTGTATGATGGCAGAGTTTGAACTGAATGCCATAAATGCTAGAAACAGGGATGCCCAGAAGGCAGAGTAGGGGGGCTGAGCAATGCTGTGGAAGAGAGGTCCAGGATACAGACTGCATTGAGAATTCCATCTGTTCTTAGCAACAGACACCACCAGATTGCTGCTGCTCTGCACTGAAACACAGAGAACTGGGGCAATGTGGTTGCATCCATATTTATTTACCTCAGTGCTGTGCACAGATTCTCATGCAGTTTCTCCAGTGATCTGTGACATGCCTGCCTCTTAAACAATGAAAATGCAGGCATGGTACTACCGATCGTGTAGCATTTTTGATGACTAGAAAGACAGATTTAACTCTCTGTTGTCTCCTTTCTTTGCAGTAAAAGCATTTCACCTCAAGTGCCTACTTCTGACCGCACGGCAGCTCCACGGGCTGAGGTGAGTACTCTGCACAATCTGTCATAGGATGGGAGATTAAACTCTGTTTTACTTTGGTACCTCATTGATCAAGTTGCCTTTTCCAATTAGAGCTTGGGGAAAGAAGGGAAAGTGAAATCGACACAGGAAAGCAATTGATTTTAACAACAGGGAATGAAACAAAGGATGGAAAGAAGTGCTCTGTTCCTCCTAACTTGAGTAATAAGAAGGTCCATTGTGAAGTCAGAATGACAGGAGGCTCAAAATTGAAAGACAGCTTACTGCCAAATGGTCCACATTTACATAGTGATACCCATAAATTAAATTTAAAAGAAGCACAAACTTCAGTCTCATTGACTTCAGCAGAAGTTTAGAAGCTTTGCAGTTGAGGCAAAACTTAGTATTTTCTGTAACATAAGTGTTTTACTGAAAAGTGCCTTCTCTTTTGCTGTATACTGTCTTGGTATTAAGTGCACGGAACTGCTTTGTAACCAGCACTTGTCTGAGTATGGTCTTGCTTCCCAGAACACATGACTTAGCGGCCTTCCAGTACCTGAGGGGGCCCTACAGGAAGGCTGGGGACATTCTGTTTACAAAGGCCTGCAGTGACAGGACAAGGGGCAATGGCTTTAAATTGGGAAAGGGCAGATTTAGATTGGATATTAGGAAAAAGTTCTTTACTATGAGGGTGGTGGAGCACTGGAACAGGTTGCCCAGGGAGGTGGTTGAGGCCCCATCCCTGGAGATATTCAAGGTGAGGCTCGACGAGGCCCTGGGCAACCTGGTCTAGTTGGGGGTGTCCCTGCTGACTGCGGCGAGGTCGGACTAGATGACCTTTGGAGGTCCATTCCAGACTCCACCATTCTATGATTCTATGACTTTGCCATGTAAGAGCAAAAAAAGAAAACCCATGCAAGTGTTTTGAGGTTTGTTGGTTTGTTTTTTTACAGTGAGTATGGCAGGTCTTGGATCAGTCATATCTCTTGGGTTTTATCTATTAATATTTATTAATATTGAATATACCTACTAAAACTTTTCAATAGATGAAAAAAGTCTTTTGAATGAGCTATTGAGTAGACATGTTAGCTACTAGCACAACAGTAGCCATTGTCTTTTTTCTTTATTAGGAGACCTCTTGGTATTACCAAGACCAAAAGAACCATGACAACACAGAATAAAGAACACTTTTTTCATTTTTACTCCTCCAAGAGCATTTAAATGGCTACCATGTTCTCTAAGTGTGATGGGGAAACTGTGCATTTTTGTTAACTTGGCCTCTTTAATTATTCAAGGACAGCTTGTTAGGGTGGTAGTATCTGCTTACCTCCTTTTTCTTTTTCTTATTTTTTTTCCCTGAAGTGGGCATCTGAGTTCCATTTTAACCAGATGTCAGTTTCCCAGACTTCCCCAAATCTCTCAGTTCAGTATACAGGCCTGAAAGCTAGATGTAAAAACAACAGTTAGTTACACTTAAATTAGGACACACCACTTCTGCAAATTTTTAAAGGCTCTTTGTGATGTTTTGCAGCAAATAAGAAAGCTTTTAAAGTGCAACAACAACAAAAAAAATATATATTCAGTTCTCAGGATTTCAAGTTTTCAAGTTGTCAATTGTCTTCAGCTCCGTTGACTTACTTGCTTTTAAGCATTTTCAACTTCTTTATTTCTCCTGTGCTCTGTGTCCTGCACTTTAAGAATTCTAGCATGTAGCACTCAGAGCTGTGTTTATCCTAGTGCTTTAACCACTTTTCCAAAGCATTTTTGTGTGTGCTAAGTAGGAGAAGAAATTGTGAGAACTGCAGACTATGGATATATACATGACCTTTCCCCAGAAATACATCTGTGTTGACAAAGTACATACTGTTGTGCTGCTTTATGCTCTCACCCTAAGAACAGGACAGAAAGAAAGATTCACTTTTGTAATTCTGTGAATTAATAATTTTGGTGTTATTACTTTCCATAGGCACTGTTTGATTTTTCTGGAACCAATAAACTGGAACTCAGCTTCAAAAAGGGAGACTTGATCTATTTACTTAGCAAAGTAAACAAAGACTGGTTGGAGGTAAGAGTGCTATAGTGGTACTGAATCATCAGCATGCCTTGAAATATATGAGTAGAAAGGGCTCTCCTAGTCCTTGGGACCTGTCTCCTCCTTTCAAGGAGAAATTGTATCATAATCAGGTCTAACTGTCAAGAATAAATCCTTTACTCCAAATTTGAAATTGTTTCCTTCCTTGATGGATTTTAGCTTACCAATTTTCTGCCTTCTAGACTTCAGTTTTCATTTTCATGTGCTTCTGCTGGAATGTTTTTAAGTTCTTTGGAAGTGATTAGAACACAAAAAGGCCACAGAAAGGAGATGGAAACTCCATTTCAGCGATTAATTGGTTTCTTGCCTCGGGGAGTTGCTATATACTTCATGCTTCATACCACAACACGTCAGCCTGATTAGAGAGAACTTGGGCAATGCAGCAATGTTCTGAAAAAGGATGAGGAGAACATACTGTGTGTTTGCTGATATGATATCTCTGCTTGCTCAAACACCACAGCCTTCCTTGGTAACCATCTGACTCTCATTTTTTACACACAGTTTCACTCCCCCGCTTTGAATTTGAATACACGATTGTATAATCTTTTTGTAGGGATGCCATCAGGTCACTTCCATAGCCTTTGTTTTCTTGATTGCAGCAGAAAAATTCTTACTGTTGTTTCCATGGAAATTAGTTGATTTCCAGAACTTATTGCATGTGGCCAAAATGGCAGGGTTTTCTTCATTCTAACACTTCCTATTATTCCAGGGAACAGTTGATGATGCCACTGGGATTTTCCCATGTGCTTTTGTGAAGATCATAAAAGATTTACCACAGCAGGAAGACACAGTTAATAAAGTTCGCTGTTATTACCATGATGAGACTATGAGCACTGTCAGGTAATAAGAAAATAGCCTTCCAGTTTACTGCTGAAGAAATGATGACAATTTTCTTTTCATGGTATACAGTGATTAAATTTGTTCTTGTTACAGGGATATCTCAGTGGAAGAGGATCTGAGCAGCATTCCATCATTCAAAGATCTCATGGAATTGATGAGGTAAATGCAAGCAGTTAGTAGTGTGTTTAGTATCATTTAAACATTTGTAAAGCTCCTTCCGGTCCTGGATTTTCCCCATGCTGCTTGGTCATCACTGTGTTTTGGGTGTGAAGTATTTTTCAAGTGTCCTGAAGAAGTTGTATTTTGAGTTGGCCTAGAGCCATCTGTGTAGACACTAGTCTGCCTTGGAATTGTCAGTAAATATGGAATACTACACGCTTCTAACTCAGTTATGCTGGGTAGAAGCTTCCATTTCTTGTTCTGAGATCAGAGCCATGTCCCCATGCAAGGATCTTTTGTTGAATATACTTCTTCAGGAGGCAGGACACCGCCTTCTAACACCTGTTAAAATAGTGTTAATCTAGTGTTGAACATCAGATGTTAGTAATAGAACACCTGTTAGTAATAGAACACCTAATGGAAGAATAATATTCTTCCATTCCTTAACCTGGCCTCCCCGCAAAAAAAAGCAACCATAAGTAGGCAAAAGTGGGTAGTAACTACAGTCAACTCTTATGTATGGGAATTTTATCAAACTCACAGATGCATTGTGCCACGCATGTGGTGTTACTGGACATGGTTCTTGGTTCTCACAGTTTTCTTAGGTTAAACACAATACAGTATGAATGTGGCTGTATGATTTCTAGTACTAGCTGTATCAAGAATGGCAAGATACCCGAGGCTTTGTGTGGCTTTTAGCAGAATGAATTAGATTGTCAGCTTATTGTTAATTACGCAGCGCCTCCCAGGCGTGCCTTGACTTCTGGGGATCAACCCATTTCTTTTCTGCCAGGCGGGAGTTTGACCGAGATGACATTGTTTTGAATTACCGGGACCTTGACGGTGATCTGATCCGGCTGCTCTCCGATCAAGATGTTGAACTCATGGTGTCTCAGAGCAGGAGAAGGCCCTCTGAGAAGCATTTCTTCCCTTGGAAGTTGCACATCACTCATAAAGATGACCTGGGTGTCTACAACACTAGTCCAGGAATAGGCGCTACTCAAATAGTAAAAGCAACATAAGCGCTATATAGAAATGTTGCAGTCATATATAGTACAGTCCTTCTGTAATCCCACTCTGCAGACAGTTTCCTTTAACAAGCCTTTGAAGTAGGCTTGAAAAGAGTAATTTTTAGTAATATATTACCTTTCAATGTAAAATCTGTACTTAGTTAGCTTTTTCAGCTTCTTAGCATGCCTCTGTAATAGAGATATTTGCATACAGACCACAGAAAGCGAGGAATAAAGAAATAAAAACACTGGCCATATTCATGAATCGAATCAGTGTTAGCCTGCAATAGAGGTTTAGTGTCCTGAGCCTCAAGGCCTGCTCTAATCTCTATTCTCGCTCCCAGAGCTAATTATTTGCCCAGAATGTCTTCATAAGCTTTTTTTCCTAGACTGCCATAATTTTCTCCTCACTTGCTGATATGAAAGTTTGTGTGCCAGTGCTTATGAATGCACAATTATTTCTGTTACATGGGAGTCTGACTGGGCATTCAGAGCTCGTTCTGAGAACATCAAGAAAACTTTTTTATGTTTCAGTGAAGAAATTACAGCCCACCTTGGCTTTCTTCTTTGCAATATTTTGAATTCTGTGAATGAAACCTAGTACACCTGTGGTGTACCTCATAGACGTTCTTGTAATTGTACAGACTACTTCTGCTTTCTGGGAAAATTTGTGTGATACCTATTCAAACAGCAATTTCTTCTCTGTCCGCCTTCTGCTTTCTGACATATCATTGCAAAGTAGAACTAACAAGAAATTACTGTATGAGATTCTTCAACAAATGAAGTTACATATGAATATATTTTACCAGTTTCTATTCAAAAGAGGGGTTTTTTGGGGGGGTGAAAAATTCTGCTCTTTTTTTTTGTTTTTGCATGAAAGTGAGATAATTTTGAAAAAGAATTTGAAAGCTATTCAGCTTTCCTTAAAGGGTAGTTCATTATTGAATGAAAATATATCTTGCAATAATTTCTTTAATGTTCGCGCAATTAAAATATTTTCTTCTTTAACAAATTTACTGCTGCTTGTAAAAATTATGTAAGTTATGTATGATTTACATAAATTCTATGATACCTAAAATATTGCATTTTAAAAGCACCATGCAGTCATGGTGTTAAAAAGACAGTGCCATGTATAAATATAATCAGTAAAAAATAAGAAGTTAAAAGTGTTTTCAAACATCATGCTTTGGATTTGACTGTTGATTTCTGTGGCATTAAGCTACAATTCTTCACTTTAAAAAATCTTTGTCCTTGATCTGCTGCTAAAATTCGCACAGGCAAAAGGGAAGATTAACAAGTATCTGAAGGTACTAAGGAACAGTTAACTAATGACGCATGAATAACTAAACTGTCCGTCCCAAAACTGGCAACATGTTTTCTCTTAGGTGTTACCTGTAATGTTATCAGGTAACAAGATCTTTAACACCACAAAAGTATTTAAGGTGACTTATCCCTTAAACTCTGTTTTGGTTTTTTTTTTCCTTCCTGATGTATAGAGGTAAACTTATTTGTATAGATAAGCTTTAATATTCTATTACCTGTAGCCCTGCATTTATGCATATATGTGTATTAGAAATAAAGGGAAGAGTTTCTATTTGAAGATAAGTGTATTGTTTGCTATATTGGGATCCACAAATCATTTTTCCTTGACACTTTATTAGGTGCTTAATTTTAGCAGCATAACAATCCTGAACAGACTTGTATAAGAAAATGTGCTCTTCAAAGAGTTGTAAGATGTGCTACAGGCCATATCTGCTTTCCAGCCACAAAGGTTCCACCTGAAGAATCCAGGCATATTAATTTCAGAGGTAAATAACATATCCAGAAGAGCCTTGGATTATATCTTTCTTTTTTTTCAATGATGGAGGGTTCTAGTTGACATTACATTTTGTAACGTTTTAGTAAAATAACGCCCCACTTCAAAGGCATTGTAGCAACGTGGTTTAGGAAGGAGATGAAGCCATATACAATGATAATGTTAGTAATCTTACACCTTGTGATAAATAAGAAAATGCATTGTAAATATGAAGCCTAATTGGCATGCCTGGCCTGCAAAGCTTCTGGTGTGCGGGGTTACTTGTTTTAGCAGTTCAACAGAGCAAATAACATCTGCAGATTTGCGCTGATCCTGCGGCGTAACCAGCAACTCAGCAAGTCTGCCTGAAGGTGGAGGAGCTGTTTGAGTGAGGAAGCAATGGGAGGGAAAATGTCTGCTGGGAAACAAGAAACTTATTTTCTAAGGGTGGGGGAAGAACATACATAATCTTACTGGCCTCTGAAAATCACAGCAGAAGCATTCCTTTCTGCCTTTCTACTGTAATGCAAAGTAAATTGTGCCCATCCAGGAAAGTCGCATATTCCCCACCTTGTCTGCAGGTTTTAAATGCACACCTCCTGATAGTCCCAGTGACCCACAATTTCCTCAGATAGTCTCATATTCTCCTTCTTGCTCTTCTTGCACATCACAGTATTCTTTTTTTTTTTTGTCCTTGTATATTGACGTGGTTCTTGTGAGAGCCCAACTGTGCTAACTATGGTTTTGGCGGGTACTACAGGGATTTAGAGAAGGTACAGTAGCAGTGCAGGACAGCCAGGTATGTTCTATATCTGGGGACTCATCTTAGCCCCCCACCTCTGTAGTTTACCCCTGAGAGCACAAACCTGAGTGTGTCTTTCCCTTACAGCTACCTAACTTTCCTATAGATCTTATTATTGAAGGCTATTAGGCTAAGATTTAAAGCTGGATTTAAAACAGCGTGGTTGCCTTGGATGCAGGATAACTTCAGATCAACTCTTTTCACAAATTTTCTTTTGTTTCCTCCATACTATAATGCATGTACTATATATACTTATACTGTACTATAATACTTGTAATATATTATTAATTTTTGAAATTGGTAAAACTTTTAAAAATATTACCTAAGTTATACGGTTACAGAGATACAGGTATGTCTATCCCCCCACCCACATATATGTATATATATGTACAAATAAACATAAAGTACAGAATGACCCCTGCCTTGAAGACTATCTAGCCTAGAGCAAAGCAAGAAACAGCACTGGAGTAAAAAACAAATAATACTTTCTTAGCCTTTCTCACTTCTGCTGCAGTCACTCTTTTTATCCGAAAATACATTAGTCCCATGATCTGGTAATTGTGAACATGCAGACTGGCAGTGACAAACTTCCTTCCCCTCTCTTCCCAGTTAAACAGTCCCATGTAAGTAAGTGCTTTTGGGGGCTAAAATAGGAAGTACATACTTCCTATTTCACAGGCAATTACATAGGCTTTCCCTGAAAGGGCGTGGTCTGCTGCTTTGAAAGGGGTATTTGTGATGCACAGAAGATATTGCAGTTATTTTGAAGACTTACTTGCCAAGAAAATCCTGTGGTTGGTTAATACCTTCTGTCTCCAGTTTTAGGGATGCGTGGTTTTGCTGGTTTCTGCATCAGAGGATTCTGATGCTGTGGGGGCAGGCTGGACTGGGAGAGTCACCCGTCAGGTTGCCTCATCTGCCTCGCAGACAGCTCTGGATCCAGGTAAGGGAACTGCTTCCTCTACGGGGAAAACAAAATGGCAGAGAATCTGCTCTTATACAAGAGCTTTTGAGTCATTAAGGGATTCCTTAGCTGTAATGACTGAGCCGGCTATTTCTGGTGTAAGGAAGTGGCATTCAGGAATCTGAAAGTCAATAGGAATTTAACAGGAGTTTTTTCCATGGTCCCCTAAAGTCGAAAAGAGTCTCAGCTCTGTAACTTGAGTAGGTGGGTTTATTATACTTCTGAGAGAGCAATGAGAGATGGCCAACAGGATTTGAATTCCTGTATTTAACAATGTGGTCCATGGTCTTTGAACCGCTCAATCCACTCTGAATCTCAATAATCACAAAAAAAAGCCCAAACAAGTTTCTTTGGTATTATTTCTACAATTTGCAACTCGTTTGGGAAGCGGCTGGAAAAGTAGCACGTTGAGAAGAAATCGGAAAGTGAATGAATATGGAAATTCAGCCCCTCTAACTCCCAGGAGCTGTGTGGTTGGGGATCATATTTTGAAGGAAAGGGAAAAAACTGAACACGATTGCAGTTCATTAGGAAGACTTTGAGCATGAAGAGCAGAAGGGTGAAGGAATTTGAAAGCTAAGTTCTCTTCACAGATGAGGATTATTTCTCACTGTTAGCCAGCTGAAAGAATTCCTGCACTTCCTTGGAAATGTGCATTTATTTCTTCATTCTTTGCTCATATTGCAAGCTCACACAAGAAGATGACATAAAATTTATCCTACAATAAATACTTGGTAGAAGTTCTTTCTGAACATCACTCCAACATGAAGCCTAAGGAAGTCCCCTAATTCAGTTTTACTTCTCTTTGTGTGAAAAGAAAACAAGAAGCTCCATAATAAGACAAGTAAGAGAATAGCCACTGGGAAATGAAAACAATTGTCCTCTGAAGTAGGATCAAACTTCTGCACAAAGGACAGTATGATCATGAAAGAGATTTTCATCCTTCTGCTGAATCTGAATCTGGTCTTCAGTGTCCAAGCCATTCGAGGTGAGTTTTGAATTTATATTCTCTTTCAGCATTACGTTATTGCCTTTCTATTTGTATCTGTCTCCTCCTTTCAGCTAATCCTCTTCCTCAATTTCTGCTTGCTTTTCTGCTTCATTCTGCCACCATCTTCTATGCTATAGGAGAGCAGGCGTCTTGATCAAAACCAATGTGTAGTAGATGCATGTGCAGACAAACCAGTGGTAGGTTGGTGGTATGGACATGTGAAATACCGAACAAATGGATGAGATGAACAAGCTGAGTGTTTATTGAGTGAAAATAGACCCTGATATTTAGTGAAAACACAGGAAAATGAAGGGCTACATGATTCACATGGTAGTATACAGGAGTAGAGACAAGTGGACACAAGACGGGTGGGTGTGTGGGGGCTATCAACAGTAACATCTAGATTACCTGATTTTCTTCTTGTGGAATTGCTAGATTAGCTGATTTTCTTCTTGTGAAATTGCTGACAGATAAAGAGACTATCCGCCACATCCATTGCTTGTGTTTCTGTCTTTTATCTTCTGATGTAATGAGAGCTACATTTCTTTCTTCCTTCCCTTTTCCCTTTTCCTTTCCCTATTGACTACAGAATCCCTGTATCATCTGCTATCTCTCCACTATTTACATTTGTAATCACTGCATCTTTTTTGGCCTGAATTCCTTTTTTCAGAGAGCATCCCTATGAAGAGCTTGAGCTGTTACAACGACTACAACTCACAGGTGACCTGCACATGGATGGAGCATTCAGAGGCTCATGCCCTCGTTGGTATGATTCTTTACCAAAGGGATGATATTACGGAGTAAGTACCTGAAATGTGCTAGTGGATTTATTTTACAATTTTACCTTTACAAATTATTTTCCCATAATTTTGTTTTGGGATCATAGATATGAAGTAAATATCATAGATATGGAGTAAAATTGGGCATATTGGTTGCTCTTAATAGAGTAGAAAGATGGTGTCAGAACAAGTGTAAGCCTGAGTGTTGTTTATAAACCTAAAAGGGAGGAGAAAATTCCCCTGTTATTTTGGTCATTTAGGAACATCACTGAGAGTTTGGTTTTGATCACTTCTCAGAAACAAGTCAAGACTGTGTGTTTGTGAGATAGAGAAGACTGGTAAGTTTATCTGTGCTATCATTTTTCCTCCCAAAGATACTGGTCTGTTTGTGACAACATCTCTCTGTTACATCTGTTTCCTTATGAAAAGGGAACTGGATCACCAGAGAGAATAGATTGTAAGAATAAGAAAGGACATAGATTGAATGAATAGTCAAGGAAGAGAGAAAGACAAAGATGCAAAGCTGAGAATAAAATGAATTAAGTGTCTGGATATACAGGAAGGGAAGGAAAGAAAAAGAACTTTGATTTTATTGTGAAGAAGAAGGAATTAATAGACTTAAAAGCAGCTGAAATCACTGGAAGGTCTTTGGAACAGGATTTTGAAGCTAATACTTCTGCGAAAAGGTGGTATAAAATTACTTGGACCTTTGGAGAATTCTCAGGAACATGGTTACGTGATGGAGTGTGTGGATCACACAGGAAACATGACTGAAGTGAACTAATCAGACAAGCATGTATTAAGGGGGGCCAGTCACACAACTGAAATCAAAATGGCCAATGATTAGACAACATCAGCTCATAGATGGAAAATGGTTGACTAAAACCCAGATTGTAAAATAATGCTGGCAAGTAGAGAGAAATACCTTCAGGACTTCACAACCCTTGGGCTGACTTTTGTTTAAGGGTATATACCTGTATGGTCAGTCTCAGCCATACCTAATATTCCTGGTTTCCTTGCCATTATCCAACTTTTAAAAATAAAAATAGAGCTGAATAATGTTTGCTGACATATAGTTGGCTAGGAGACTCCATCCTATCCTGAAAGACAGTATTTGGCCTTAGATATCCACAACTTAATATTTCTCATCTGAACTGGAACAATATAATATACTGGGCATGAAGCCATAAGCACAAACAAAATTCCAGAGGGTACAAAAAGAAGGAAAACACATCTCTCCAGCAGCTCAGGCTACTGCAAGCACACAAAGCTTATCCTCTCATGTCTAGTTTAAAATATTGTTTCTAATTTTCATGATGCTCCTTGGCCTGGAGAAAGGCTATATAAAAGAATGATTAACATTCTGTATGAAATCTTTAATGAATATGTAATGTCTCTTGGCGGAACAGAACTACTAAGGGTACAGAAGTACATTTTGGTTGGAGAATTTTTTTAAGTGTCTTTCTGGGACTGCAAAATGAATGTCTTCAAGAAGCTAAGGATCATTAGAAACTTCACTGCCTTTTAGTCTGAGTAAAAGGTGCATTTCCATGACGTTATATTTCATCATACTATTTCTCACTTGAAAATATGACATTATGTAGAATTAGGCTAAAAACTAACAAAAAATAGACTGGTACCAAAATGTAACATTTTACTGCAAAATTTTGAAATGGGAAGGCATTTGACAAAACTCTGGTGTTAAAAAAATTTGTCATACCAACTGATGCAAAACAGGACTAATAGGTACAGTGAGAGGAGGATGTAAGTGCCGAGTAAATTATAACGACAGAATAGGATGCGAATGGTTTCAGGCATTTCATTTTGCATTAACTATAGATCTCCAATTCAGATCTTCATAGATCACTTTCTCTATACACAGGGAGAACAAGGAGATGTTTTGCAAACACCAGGCAGAAAATGACTTACGTGAAGCTTCAGACTCCTATGTGCACTGGGTTTGTCACAACACTACAGATGGTTTTGGAATAGGATTAGATTATGTTTACGGCTTCAAACCTAACAAGATACTTCAAGCAGAACTAAGTGTTGATCTTTTCCAAAATGGTAAGGATGAAATACTAAATTCTCATTTTCCAGGGATCTTTGAGAATGTATTTTCTATTCAGTCAGGAAGTGACTCCCACTTCCATTGTGAAAACTGCCAAATGGTTCCACATGGAGAGGATGGGGAAGGGAGGGGAGAGGGCAAGTTTCTGGGAGCAGCTTGACCCCTGGAAAGGGGACTTAAGCAGGAGCTACTTGCTGTGGCAGGGATAAGATGGTCTGGAAATGGAGAGGCTTACCTAGGTGTTTTCTTCATGTCCCTGTCCTCACTATCTCATCTCATGGGTTGTACCTTCACCTTCCAGTTCAGACCCCCCCACCTCAAAACCTCTCGGTCAGCTTGATGACATCAGGAGACTTCTTGCTGACCTGGAAAGCAGCTGATGGAAGCCAAGGGCTGAGCAGTGCCCTGGAGTATGAAGTCACTTACAAGCGGGAGTGGGAGTCCTGGGAGGTAAGAGTAGAGGAGCTGGGCTGTCTTAATTTGGGCTGCATGGTCTTGGGCAGTTGAGACTCTGTGGTAAACATTGTGCAAATGAGCGACCTTTCTGTTCTCAGGTATTATGAGGAGAGTCAACAAATGTTTCAGGTCAGCTGGAAGGGGCTCTCTCTTTCTGTTTGCAAATGACTTGTCCAGTGAAATACTATTTGTTCTGAATTGAATGCAAAGATCTGTTCCTCACTGAAAATAAAAAGCACTGTGCTTGGTTTTGAGTGAGAATTGATTTTGCCCTGAATGCCTCCCAAATGGAATTAAATCACGTTCCCAGAGGAGCCTGTGGGTTCATGTGGGGAAACGACAAAATACATTTGAAGCTGCTTCCCCTTTCAGAAGGGTGTTTTCAGGGGTTTTTTTTGTTTGTTTTTCTTTGTTTGTGGGTGTTTGGTTTTTTTTGTTTTAATTTTTAAGACTCTATATCCTTTGCCCTGTTGTTTCCCTAGATCTGCATATATTTCTGTTCTGTACCTGTCAGCTTGATCATTAGTTTTTAAAAGAAGTATCTTGGCCAGATTCCCACAAAATTCTGTACTGAGCAGTGTTGTGAACTTGTGTAGCTAGTGCTGAAGACAACCAGGGCTCTGCAAGTGCAGGAGCTGGCCCTCCTCTGCTGGGGTAGATTGTCCCCAACAGTGCCTGTGCCTCACCCTTCCTGTGCCGTGTTGGCAGCACGCACGCTGAAGCTCCTCTAGTATGGGAGCAAGGAGGATTCACAGCAGCATGTGCATGGACCACTACATGTGAGGGACTGCTGGGAGACACAACCTGGCAGTTACCTCCTCTCCCTGTCTTCTCTCTAACCCTCTTCTCCATTCCTCACCTCCTCAATCCACCCTCCTCACTCTACCTCCTTTCCCACAACAACAGAAAGCTGCCTCCCTCTTGCTCTCCAACACCACAAGTTGCCATCTCCACCACAAGGGCCTTCTCCCAGGAAGCAGCTACGTTGCCCGCGTGCGAGCCAGACCGGGGCAGGCCAGTGGCTTCTCTGGGCAGTACAGCGAGTGGAGCACGGAGGTGTCATGGCAGACCCCTGAAGGTAGTGTGGGACGGAGTGGGCTGGAAGCACTGCCTGAGAAGCCAGACCTTTCCTGTCACTTAGCTTGCTCTCCTCTTCTCTGAAGGTGGCCTTCATCCCAGCAACCTTCGCTGCCTCTTCAATGGTGCAGATCATCTGACGTGCAGCTGGGAAGTGAAGAAAGTGATCGCCACCTCTGTCCTCTTTGGCTTGTTCTTCAGGGCCACTCCAGCATCAGCGTACGTGCTCTGCCCATGCCAGCGTCCCTGCTCCTCTCCCATGGAGTTTCTGCTCTGTCCCATTTCCTCTGATCTCAGCTCAACTTCTTTCTTTTTCTCCCCTCAGAGAAGAGGAGTGTTCTCCTGTGCACGAGCAGACTTTGCCTCATGTTCCATATGTGGTCCAGAGCTGCACAATCCCTGTTAACAACTCCAGCAGTCAGAGACGGTACCGTGTGTCTGTCCGGGCCAAGACAGAGGAGAAGCTGACTGAATCCCACAAGAACAGTGAGTTGCAGTGTTGTGTTTTGCTTTTCCTGGTTGTTTCTTGGAGAGATGCCTGTCTGGGCAAGTGGGGTTGAGGACAGCAGTGATGAGGAAAAGCGGATGGGAGGAGGAAGAGACGAGGGCTGATGAAGAAAGGAACTGGACGCTGTGTCAGATGAGAGGTGTGAGAGAGGTGGCTTGTAGGCGTGGAGTTCCTCAGTGGCACTTGTTACTCTGGGGAAGGTGGCAGTGGTGGAAACTGCTGTGCAGAAATTTGGGTTGTGACCCAGAGGGTCTTGATGGCCAGTTGTCACCCTGCTGACTTGTCTGTGACTGGCCTTCGTGAGTGTCCCAGGTGACAGGGAACTGTGACGAGAGGTGTTTGTGTGGAGTGTGATTCCTCAAGAAGCCAGTGGAGCTCTCGAGGGTATGTGCAGTGGCCCTGGAGCGCTGGATGAGATAGGACTCCTCTGCTGAGTGAGGTGTGCCAGGCAGATCATCTCTGCCTCCATTTGTCTCAAGGTATCGGTGCTACTTTTTACAGACTACAGCTTTGAGAGCTCCTGTAGTGGGTGAAAATATCAGGTAGTAGCCCCAAGAGAGCTGAAAATCTCTGGAAATGTGGTGGACCAGTAAAGGTGTTTCAAATATGGCTTTAGTGGTTTTCTGTGCACAGGGAGCGCTGTCAATATTAATGGATATGGGTTTTCTGATATTTATTGTGTCTACTGGTTTATTGTATTTGACTAGAAAACGCAGATGTGGAGAATTCAGAAGTGTTAAGATGCTGAGATTCCTTACATTGCATGAAACAACATTCTTTTCAGTCTCTGGAAACTATCACAGCGGTGAAAGGGAGTGCTGGACCAGTATGTTGATAATTAATCTAAGACATTCCATGTGTTCCAGTTAAGGTGCTGCCACCCAGAAATGTGTCAGTAACAGTGACAGAGAACCAAGAGTATGAACTGAGGTGGATAAAACACGCTTTCAACTATGACTTCATAAAACAGAGATACCAAGTTGAGTACTGGAAAAACAACCAATACGAGAAGGTAAGTGCAAGAGTCCTGGATTTCCCTTTGCAGGACAAACTGGAAAGGCGGTTCCTCTCGTCTTCATCGTTTGTGCTTCTTTCCTCTCCTTAGACAGCCGAGAGGTTAAATATCATCAATGATGAACCTCCCTTCATCTTCACCGGGCAGATGTTGGCATCATCTACAGAATACAGGGGGAAAATGCGGGCGAGGGTGAATACGCCTGTGGAATATGAGGGGCCTTGGAGTGAATGGAGTGAGGAATTCACCTGGAAGACAGAGAATGGTACTTTCCGTGCAGGCTCCCTCTGTAAGGTTTTGTGGACTGCTGATGGCTGAAATGCCTCGGCAGAAAAATACATGCTCTCAGCTGGGGCTGAAGCTTGGTCCAGCCATGAGCTAGCTGGGGTGGCTTAACAAGGTGTCTGTCCTGTCTGCACCCTTGCAGTACGGCAGCAATGCTAATGAAGGAGGTGAGCAGGAATGGCCTTTTAAGCTTGTTTCCTACTCCCCTTCACGAGGCGAGTACAACCAGCCATAAAGTTTTCCATATGGAAAATCAAGTGAAGGTCCTGACCAAAAGAGCATCCTTGTTTCCTGATTCCAGTGGTCCGTTCTGCTGTCAGTGACTGCAGAGCCCACCACTGGAAGGAGACAGAATAGAAGCCATCAGTCTTTTATGTTTGCAGAGTGACTCTAGGGTTGTGTTAAATACACAGTACAGTCCACTGGACTTAAAAACCTTTACGTGTGTTTGCTCTTTCTGGACTGAGAGCATAATATCGGCTATCATATGGTCTTGTGCTCAAATTATTATGATCTTACATGATTTGTCCTGAGGATGCTTGTAGTGGTCAGACAGGAGGCAAAATCTGATGAGTGTACTCAGGAAGAAATTGGTATGTTGGTGAAGATCAGTTACAGCCATTAGCAGAGGAAGCTCGCTCTTAGAAACTCTCTGAGACCCCATCTCTTCGGGACTGCACAAAAGCAGGCAGACTTAAGATGCCTGAAGACTTAATATGCATAAATTGTTTACTGTTATGTCACTAAAAAAAAAAAAAGGATCAGTAAAGGAAACAATGAACTCCTTTGGTCAGTGAGCTGTTCAGGCCACACTTGGTCTCTCTCATTTTGCAAAGTATCCCAACAGTTTGAAGGCTGCATCATCCTGTCCCGGGACATGCCACCTACATTTCCCTGAACTGCTTGCATGGAGAGTGGCCAGAGTGAGAAACCTGTTATGAGAAGCAGCCACTGTGCAGGTGGATACGTGTTTCTCTTTTCTCAGTTTCAGTTCTGCCACCAGTGGTTCTCCCAGCGATGCTCCCAGCTCTCATCATCATCTTACTTATAGTTGCTTATTGCAGCTATAGGTATTTCCTCAGGTAGGTCTGGGTTGTGACTAGGAGGTTTTGCAGCATGCTGGCCATGTGGGTGGCATAAAGGCTGAGGCACTCCTTGTCCCCCCAGGAGAGAGTAGTTGATGTGGGATGAGCCTTGGTGTGCCATGGGCATCCTTGTGCGTGTCTGTGCAAGGGTGAGAGCTGGGTGGTGGCGTGCCAGGGCCTTGGTGGTGCCTCTCTGTGCCTGGCAGCTCAGTGTGGGGGGTGCAGCCTTTCCAGCAGAAATCTGGACACTCTGTGTTGTTGTTGCAGGAAGAAGCAAATGTGGGAGGAAAAGATTCCGAACCCCAGCAAGAGTCTCCTGATCCAGAGCTACCTGGGGGTAAGAGGGAACTGTACCTTGAAGAATGCATTATTTCTCTGTTTTTCAGGACTTCCAGAATTCTTAAGAATTCTTCTAGTGTCCTAGTCCACAAGGAACAGATATCTTCATTAGTCTATGCCTTATTTTTAGAAGTTCTGATCATATTCAACATAATCATGTTCTTACATTTATACTAGTAGACTACTAGGTGAGTGACCTTATCATAGAAGAATATGAAGTTAGTTAAACAGGACTTTCCCTTTGTGAACCCATGTTGACTGTGCCTGATGATGGCATTGCTCTTTAAACGCCTTTCAATAGCACCCAGTATGATCCTCTCCATTATTTTTCCAGGAACTGAGGTTAAACTAACAGGTCTGTAGTTTCCTATGTTTTCCCTCATGTTTTTCTTGTAAATTGGAATGACATTGGCTAGCTTCCAGGCAGCAGGGACCTCCCCAGACTCCCAAGATCTTTGGTAGATGATAAGAGGGGTCCTGCCACAATATCCACTAGCTCCTTCTGGAGATCATACAATTTATTTTTCCTCTTGAGCTCCGGAGGGAGTTCCCTGTTCAGCCAATCTGGCTGTCTGCCCCACTTGCTTGACTTACAACACACCAGAATTGCCTGCTTCTGTGTTTTTAAAAGGGAGTTCTTAAAAACTGACCAACACTTAGGGACTCCCAAGTCCTCAAAAGCAGAGTCTCAGAGGACACTGCCAAGTAGCTCCCTGAATAGCTTTAATGTTTGCTCTCTTGAAATGTAGGGTAGCAACGCTGATGTCCTTTTTTCCTCATTACTCTGAAAATGTTAAACTCTATCATTTTGTGATTACTGTAGCCAAGACAGCCACCTACCATCACATCTCCCACAAGTCCTTCTCTATTCACAAACAACAAGTCTGGGCAGGCATCTTTCCTAGTTGGCTCACTGAGTGTATTTGTAGTTAGGTCAGTGGTAAGGCAATATGGGTTTGAAGTAACCATCTTCTGGAGAACAGAACACACCTTCTAGTCATATTAGTTAAGTTGTATCCCTATTGCCAGATGCTGTAGGCTCTCCCCTATTTGTTTTCTTTTGTTAAAGAAATGCATGAGAAATGCATTGTTCTTGATTCTACTGCCAATGAGACGCTGCTCTTTTGTCATGTCTGCTTTTTCATTTTCAGAAAGTACATTTAGGAAACTGGCCAACAAGCAGCCTGCTGGACTTCAACAAATACAACTTTTCTGAGAAGATGGAGCAGGCTAGCTTCCTTCAAGTTGTGGGCAGGTGAGTGAACAGCACATTATAGTGACACTGTGGATGACAGTCTCAAAGAGCTCCTGAAATCATGGCAGGATATATAATCACATATTCTGTCACTAAAAAGACTATACAAGTTGCTTTGGAGGAATGGATAAATATTTTTACTATCTGGGTTAGCCTGCTTCTCTAAAAAGTAGTTTTTTCTAATGTGTGTTTTCAACTAAGCTTGTTTTATATTTAATGTTTAACACAATATCTCTCATGAGGAACTTTTAACTTTCCCACATTCAGGCAGACAAAGACTTTGGCAGAGTCCTCTGAAGGGCAGGCTAAAAAGATGGATGTTTCCCCTGTTGCACTGGACCTACAGAACTCATACCATGCTTTAAATGAGCTAGAGCATGCCCCAGTTGTCTGCTCAAGTCGGATTGCTGGTCATTCCCTTCCTGTTTCAAGGAGAAACAGTGCTGATGCAAGTATTGCTTCCCAGATGGCAGTCCCTTGCTTTGCTTTCAACGGTCCATACATATACAGCCCAGTGGTGTCCTCCCTGCCTGATGTGCATCAGACCTTGGAAGTGGACCCAGTGGGAGTCCGTGAGAAGTCAGTTTCCCTTCAGTATGTGACCCTCCCAAAGGAAGACTGTCCCCAGCCTCCACAGAGGCAAGAGCAGCCAGCAGCAGCTCCTTCACAGCCTTTCCTGCTCCCAGATCAGAAGGAAGTGACACAGCACATCGAGGATGAGAAAGAAGTCTCACTGGCCCCACCAACCTGTGGGAAAGTCATGGACATGAGAACAGAAGAGCAGAAATCTCCAAAGGCTCTAGGTTGTGTCACGTCTCCTCAGCAGTGCCCCTTGGAGTATGTCACCACAGAGAGCCTGTTAGTGCCATCAGCCAGCAACTCCACCCCTCCACCACTTGTCACTGCTGGGGAGTTACCCGGTGACTCACAGGAGCCCCAGCCCTCCAGTGACCACTCTTGTCATGAGTCTTCTCAGGGGAAAACTGGTGCCACGGCCCCAGTTTCAGGTCAAGCACCAACCTCGTCACCTGAATTGCACCTGGATACATTTGGAGAGTATCTTACTGTCCCTTTAGATGTCCATGGACATTCAGAACCCACAAAGATTCCTTTGCCCGTCTTACAGAAGGGAAATGATCTTCTTAGAAAGCAGCCTTTGTCAGAGGGTAACTTGGTGGTGTTAAACCCTGACAGCACTGAGCCAGTTTTCCTTTGTCAGATTGGTGACTATTGCTTCCACAATGTAAAATCCAGTGTGAAGACGGATATTAGTCAGGAAGACTATCAAGTCAAGAAACCTTCTGAAGGCAAGACAACACCTGATGAAGCCATCACTGGCAAGGAAAAAGATGTGTCAAAAATGCAAGCTATTAAGCTGTTCAAAAACCTGAAATCAGATGATTACTTTTCCTGGCAGCAACCTTTGAGGGTCACAGAAATCTGTTAAATGGGCAAATATTAATGAATACTAAAGCTACAGATAACTGAAAGAGGTTGCAACTATCTGATGAAAATGAACTCTCAAACTTAAGAATAAATAAGCACCAGTTCCCTTTTCCAGCTTCCAGTCCAACATATTGAAAGACTTGAAGTAGCTCAATATCCTTCTCAGTGGCCTTCACAGATTTAGCATGAAAGACAATCCAAATATTGCCCTATTGGTGTTTTTCAAACTTTTTGGCTTGCTCACAATGAACAGTTTAGCCTCCTCGTGATGCTGCGACACATCACAGTCATCTCGCAATAATACCAGATTGCCTGAGACAAAACTCATAGAAGAAAATGCAGACTTAACAGCTTGAAATGCTATCAGAATAAGACAGGCTTGGGAACCTTTGAAAGAAATCATATTTTCTTAAGAGCAATTTTGTTGAACTTTCATGTGTGTATAAAATAGAGCTAAGAGTCACCGAGGAGCTTTTGTATCTCTACCTTTCCACTACTAGTACAAAATACATAATGGGTAAGGTGAAAAAAAACCCAGATAGTAATAGAAGTGTATTTTAAAAATAAAAAAATGAGAAAAAAAAAAAGTTGAAGTCACGAAACCCTTCTTAATATTAAGGTACAGTGTATTACAGCATATTCTAAGGGTAAGAAGGAACGTTACTGGGATACATAAAGTAGGCTGCAGAGAACCGTGGCGAAGAAGATACGTTACTGAAATAAAACCCAAGGACTCGTAAGGTGCAGCGAGAGGAAGGGAGTGGGACAGGTAAGAGAAAATGACAGCCAAGAAATGTTGAGAAGGTGCACAAGCCTGTATCTGCTGGAGTATTTCTATTTCTAAGTGTTAAAGTACTATATGATTTTCTTTTAAGTTCTTTGGCTGTTTATGCATGATATAATTAATCTTAGCTATGTCATTTATTCTTAGTGGCTTTTTTTTCTGAATAATAAACTGTGTTGAGAAAGAGGAGCCATTTTTCCCTCCCAGTTCTGTTGTAAAGAAAATGGTACAAGGTAAGAGCATTTATCCAGAGCTGCCACTCTGTGATCAGTAAAAGGCTTTGGTTTCAGACTTGACTTGGCTTACACTGCAGAATAAAATGTTTCTTTTTTCAAATGCAAAACTTGTACTAATAAAAAAATATTCCTATAAATCTTTCCTTTCATACATTAAGAGCACTGTAGTTACAATAACATTACTATTAGCTCGCCTGATCAGGCATCAAAAATTCTGTGGGTTCAGCTACGTCACCTGTGAGGTAGGCTGTTTTCTCCTGACTTTGCTATATTTGACAGAAATAATGAGAAGTTTTGGAATTGTGCTAGCTAATTCCTCCTGCTGGGTTAATGGGACAGTGCTGATTCAGAAATTGCAGTGAAATGCATTGTTTTTTCATTGTTTAAAATCCGTATAAATACCATTTTAAATCTGAAAGTTGTGCAAATTCAGTTTGGTTTCCTGACAGCAAAAGGTAAAGCAGCAAAAGGCAGCCTCTGACAGAGAATATTGACAAACACTTAAAGGCATTTTCAATTTAGTCTGTTCCTAATCAATGGATCTTTTTTTGTTAGTCTCTTCTTTGACCTTTTAAAGTAGCACAAACAATTGTTTCTAGGCTGTATGATTTTGCTCTATCTAGGCATGTACTAAAAGGAGATGCTCAAATTTGTATGTAAATCTGGTATCAGGATTCACATCTTAGACATGCATCACCTTGCTGAGCCTTGAATTGAAGTGGTTTTAATAACTAAGAAGACTAGTGAGTAGGAGAACTTTTATTCAGCTCGGTGACTTTTGGATGAAGCCCATTTGCATTGTGATCAATACTCTAAGAGCTATCTGTTGCTCCTGTCCTTCTGCACTTCACTGGGCACTTTTGGAGGCAGAATTTATCGATACAAGAACATTTGATATGATCCCATAGAGTAGACATGATCTGAAGATCACCTCAGAGCCTGGAACTTGCAGAGTAACATAGAATCATAGAATGGTTTGGGTTGGAAGGGACCTTAAAGATCATCGAGTTCCAACCCCCCTGCCATGGGCAGGGACACCTCCCACCAGATCAGGTTGCTCAAAGCCCCATCCAGCCTGGCCTTGAACACTTCCATGGATGGGGCATCCACGAGGTGAGGGGAGCTGAACAGTGGTTTTCTTTTGCAACTATAACAATTGTTTTAGGGCAGAATGAGTTTCTGCTCTAGGGACTCGTTGTTTGATATCCACCTAAGCATCATTAAATAAAATATGTAACGAACACTGGAAGCAGGGGTCACAATCTAAACTCTGCTGTGCCAGAGGAATTCACTTCTTACTGGGTTACAGAATCAAAGCTTCCACAGACTTTGTCTGTTGCTGATCCTATGAATCTTTCATTCTCTTCTGCATGAGGTCCAGCTGCCGTGGGGGTGGTAAAAAGCATTTTACAATTTCGTAGCATTTTACAATTTTGATTCAAGGCTTAAGAGCTGTTGTGAGTCCCAGGTCTTCATCTTCCTGACCACTAGCTTGAGCCACAAAGGAAGTTCTTGCTACCTTCCCCAGTGCTAGGTACTGATATACAGGAGAGGAATCATTATTCTGATGATTCAGGAGCCAATTATGATATGCTTCTCTGTAGGGCTTCCTACTAAGTAGCTCCAGCCTCTCAGCCTGTATATCTGAGTGATAGTCAATGTTTCCTATATAGTTTAAAGGAGAGCTAGGCATCTCAATACTGTAAATCACATTTTACACCTATTTACTTTGAATATACAGTTATGAAATGTTTGCAACCCTTTCCTTACTGTATGCTCAAACATCAAAGATTCTGCCTGTGTTTTAACAGCAGGCATTTTTCTCTTTGCTGCTCTGAAGTAATCAGTTTATTATTCCCTTATCATAATCTTCCTCAAACAGAAATATATTACCTGAATTTGCATGAGATTAGGGTAGTAACTATATTGTGCCCTCAATAGTTCTAATTAAGATCCATGATGAACTAGCCTGTTGTTGTGTTTCTACTAGCCTGAGGGTTGTCTTTTATGTAAGGAAGGAAAATGAGGCTGAATGATTTGCTGGAAAAGGAAGCCTGCAGTGGGAAGCCCTCTAAGGCCTCAAGGAACAATAGCTGGAAAACTTCTGAGAACCCTGTATCTCTGCAGGGTAATGGAAAACAATCCCAACCCCTCTGGCCAGTCCCTGTGCAGTTTCTTGTTCATTCAGTCAAACACATTTGCACACACAATCTTATTCCCATACAACTCTAATGAATGATCTCTGCCTCTTCTCTTCCACTACCCTCGTGCTCCCTCTGCTCTCACTACAGAGCTGAAATTGCCATAAAAAGAAACCCTGCAATGCCATGTTCTGTACACGGGGAATAAGCAGCTCAGTGACTTCATGCTTGATTTTGGCCCATTTCAAGTTCTTCCAAGTGACTGCCAGGATTCAGTATGCTCCAACCTTGATCCTAACAGCTCCTCATATTAAGCAATGGAGGTTTCACCATGCTGTTAGGTGGGTGAACTCAGTCTCCTCTGCAAACTTGTTCAACATGAGCCAGCTTTAGGTCAAAAGCTTTGTAGATTCATTGTGTCCTTTCCAGTTTGTTGGTAAAGGAGCATATGGTCCTTGTTGTTGAAGGCTAATTTGTCTGTCTAGAAAAGCAGATGTAAAGCTATCTGAAACAATCAGATGGCTTTTCCTATTTTTATTTTTAAATTTCCAGGTCCTTGTTCACAGTGTGCACATACATTTTAAACTTTTGAGATTAATTCTTCTGCATCTGCTGTAGCCTTGCAGTGTACTTCTAACCTGTTTGTCCTTCTGTTGCATTCAGAGGTACATATGATGTTTATGGAAGTTTTTGAATTTGTTTCATTCACTGCAGATTCATTGTTTCCGCATCTAAAGACACCCTTTTCTTCCCTTCTACTTGCAGCAGACACTGTTATATAGGAATATAAGGCTAATGCATTGGGTCTAAACAGTCATTCCATCTTCCCTAGTATTCTGCCTCTGCCAGTATTTGCAGTGGATGCTTAAAAGCAGGGTGTAGTATACATGGAAAAGTATACAGTAAATAATTAAATCCTTAGCTTATATATTTACCTGTTATCTGGCCCAGAGCCTTCCTGAGTTGGAGGTTAACTCTAAGGTGTTGCAGACAATATGTACTTAACAGCTTTGGCCTTTAGAGATCCAACTAATCCCTTTCTGAAACCACTTCAATTTTGGCTTCACGATGTCTGATCGTAAAGCATTAATCAATCTGTTTATAAATAAAAACATTCACACAAAAAAATGCCCACATTTTTTCTGTACTTCTTTTGTGTCAGTTACATGGTAAGTTGCTCCTTTGTTCTTGTTCTATGAGAACTGATAAACCATCATTCCTTATTCCCTATCTCTCATTTGAGATGCTACAAATGTCTGCCAAATCATCTCTAGGCTGTTTATTTTTTCAAGCTGAAGAATTCCATAATAATTAGTCTCTCTTCCTGAAGATGCCATATTTCTGATAACACTTCTGTATTCTCTCTGCTTCTATGGAGTATTGTACAGTATTCCTTCAGAGCTGAGATTACATGAATTGAATATGATATTCAAGAAATATGTTGAATGAAATTCAACATTTGATAATGTTGATAATTGAATTCTCCTATCGCTATTACTACTTGTCTACTCTCACAGGTTCTTTGATCTTGTTGTATAGTTAGAATTATTTTTTGTCACATGAATTTCTATGTACTTATTACCACTGAATTGATTAATTGACTGAGAGCAGCCCTGCAGAGGAGGACTTGGGGATAACAGTGGATGAAAAATTAGATATGAGCCAGCAATGTGAGCTTGTAACCCAGAAAGCCAACTGTATCCTGGGCTGCATCAAAGGAAGCGTGGCCAGCTGGTCCAGGAAGGTGCTTCTGCCCCTCTATTCTACTCTGGTGAGACCCCACTGGAGTACTGCATCCGGCTCTGGGGTCCTCAGTACAAGAAAGATGTGGACCTATTGTAGTGGGTCCAGAGGAGGGTCATGAAGATGACCAGAGGGACGGAGCACCTCTCCTATGAAGACAAGCTGAGAGAGCTGGTGTTGTTCAGTCTGGAGAAGAAGAGATTCCGGGGAGACCTTATAGGAATATATAAGCCCCCTTTCAATATATAAAGGGGGCTTAGAAGAATGTTGGAGAAAGACTTCTTAACAACGCCTGTTAGTGACAGTACTAGGGGAAATAGTTTTAAGCTGAAAGAGGATAGATTTACATTGGATACAGTGAAGAAATTTTTTGTAGTGAGGCTGGTGAGACATGGAAGCTGGTTGCCCAAAGAAGTTGTGAACGCTTCATCATTGCAAATATTCAAAGTGAATCTGGAGAGGGCTTTGAGAAAGCTGATCTATTGAAAGGTGCCCCTGCACATGCTGGGGGGTTTGGACCCTTCCAATCCAAACCATTCTATGAATCTATGGTTTTATGATTCTAATTTCATACCCCATTTATACCTAATAATTTAGTGTTCTTTACAACATCATTAGATTGAAGTACCCTGCATAAAATTTTGTCTTTCTGTCACCCAGATCTCTCAGTTGAAAGATCTCTCATCACTCAGTCTTCCAGATCTTTTATAATTATGTTGAAGATCATAAATTCCTGGGAGAACTCACTTAAAGCTTTCCTCCAATATGAAAACTAACCATTAATTTCTCTCATTTGTTTTCTGTCTTTAACTGACTTTAATCTACATGGGAACCTCCCTATTATCTCTTACTTTCCTGGAACTCTACTAGTTTTATGAGGCATGACTACTTTCTGCAAAAGCTATGATGTTAATTCTTTCTCAGAACATTTCTCTCTACTATTTCTACTTTTCATTATAGCTTGTATCACCTATCCTGTACAAAAGCCAGTCTGATTGGTCAGAAGTTCCCTGGATTCTTCTTCAAGCACTCCACAAAAACTTGCATTTGGTACTTATTTTTCTCTGATACTGAGGCTTGTTAAAGCCTTTGATTATTTGCTATGATTACTTGCTCAGCAATTGAATTTTTAGGTTCCTTTACAGATTTTATTACAAGAAAGCAATTGAGTAAGAATGTAGGTTATGCAAGGCTTGTAAAGAAAGTAGTTCTGTTTCATTAAACCAAATGACTTAACTGGAAAAGATCATTATAAGTTATCATTTTTTGCTATATGTCTTGCCTCATTTAGTTTTTCAGAACATTAAGGCTACAATAACCCAACCTTTCTAACATGGGTAGACTTAGAAAAGGCCCAAGATCACTCTTGAATTTTTAAATGATTCTTTAAATAGCCTCTTTGGCACTGCAAACATTTGAACCTTTTAACAGCTTCCTGGGCTTATTTTTGCCCGTCTTGTTATTTTTATGTATGCCCTTAAAACATCATTGTAGTAAACTTGTTTCTTGCTGTTTCAACTTGTACTAGGTCTTGCATATTATACAGGACTAAATCAGTTTGTTTCTTTTCTTGTGAGTGCTTTCACAAGAAGCAATCATTTATAGTGGCTAAAAAAGCAGAATCTGTGACTAGATTCATACTAGCAAATAAAATAGACCAAAGTCCATTTCTGGCTGTAAAAGACAAGGAGCAGTCATGGAAGATTCATGTATCCATTCTCTTTCCCCAACAGTAGAAGGTGGCCTCTTCCACAATTCATATTGGAAACTGTCCTTGGCTTGCTTGTTGACATAGACAAAAGCCATGTCAAAGCATTCACTAACAGTTGAGCAGAGTCTATGATCTTATTCCAGAGCTCAAACCTTTGTCTTGTCCTGGTTTAGTCCACCAGCGCAGGCATAGGCTCATCACGGTTCACTGTGATGTTTACCTAGTCTGGTATGATTGGACTGTCCCATTGTTACTGTTCGTCTGCCCTTCAGGGTCTTTGGTCATCTCTAGCATTTCACTCACCTCTTTTTGGTCAGGTGATTGATAGCATAGCACTAACAGCATACCCTTCCTTTTAGTGTGGAATGAAATTCTGCCACCACCGAAATCCTGTCATACAACACAACTGTTGACACATACTCTGCTTGACTCTACTTTCTTTAGCATTAACCTGTAAGTGCAAGCTACTCTTCTTATACAAAATGTATATTTATATATTAGTGTTCCACTGAATATCTTCTTTTCATCAGACTTCCATGCCTGTTATATTTGTTGTGTTTTTTGAAAAGACATTTGCCAATGGTTCTGCCATTAAAACCATATTTTAAAAAGGAAGTATTTGTAGAGACGTATTTGGGCATTTGTCTTGATATGGTTGCATAGTTTTATATGCTCTGCTTACCTGGGTTATTGTTTTTCTCTGTTGTTTTTTCTAAGTTTCTATTCTATCCATTTTTCTAAGTGATAAACTTTCTGTGATTTCAGACCACACAGATATATCAATCTGAACAATTTACTTTCCACACCTGGCATGAATTCCTTGGTTTTCATTTTAAAATTGCCTCATAGTGTTTTTAATCTTAAATGTCAGCAGCACTGATTCTGTTTTGATTAGGTGGAACCCATTTTATATAAACTTAATCTCCTTCAAAAACGTACCAGACACTAATAAATATAATCCCCTTCTCTCTATACAGTTTAATCAATCATGCGCTGAGCCTCTGTTATCTGACACAGTATATAAACCCAGGACCATTGAAGAATGTGACTCTGTAGGACTGCATTTTTAGCTTCCTGGTTTAAACTTTGTTTTCAGGACATCTTGCCTGCTGTTTCTTTGTTGGTGGTGTTCATATGGGCCATAGCATTGGGTCTTTCTTTGCACTTACTAAAAGAATGTCTAGATTCCTCATGGTATGTGCCATCTTTCCAACTGCATATGTGTTTTCTAGTAAAATGTTTGTCCATGTTTTTATTTACTTGGTCATGATCTTAATTTTATTAGAAATGAAGGAGATACTTTCCTTCTTCTGCTCCTGAAGGGAGCCCATCCTACTGAAGATACCTATCATCCTTTGCTGCACATGCTACCTATTGAGTAACTCATGGCACAGTGTTGGTTAGTGTTCATGTCACCCAGGACCACTTTCTGGGAGGTGACCTCCTCCTGGAAGTAAAGACCAGATCTAGCAGATGTGGTCCGCTTGGCGCAGGGATACTAGGCTACTGTGATATCAATCTGTGACATCACATGCCAGGCAGATCTTCCACTGAGTGCAGGAGAGGCTATGGATGATCTATGCAGATATGACCAGACTCACACAGTGTCTAAAGGATGATTTGACTTCATCCACATGTTGTGTCATTCTCATGTCAAGCTGGAAGACCTGACTTGTCCATCCATTCAGTCAAGTTTTATCTCCCTTTGGGATAAAAGATTTTAACTGACTCTAACAAATGGCATTTTGGTGTCATGTCAAATCACGATTCTGTGTTTATTAATTAAAATCTTTCTGGTCAAAGAGCCCATCCCAGTAGTCCTGAAGAAATTACCACTGAATTTATGGCAACCTGCTCAGTGTTTCTTAGATATACTCTTGAAAGTGGCTTTCACTATTGCTCAGCAAACAGAGCAGGAGAAATTCAGGGAATTAGACTCATCCCTCTTACCCGGTCTTTTTACCAGAAGAGTTTTCTTGACCCTCTACCCTAAGTTGCTGCTATAGGTCGTTACTGAACTTCACTTTAGAAAGGCATTTAACATGCCAGTTAACTCCATTTGCGAGGCCTTCAGAAAGGAAGGCATTGCTTCACAGCCTGATTATCAAGATGAAGTTGCCCCTCAGCTTTTCTAAAGCCAAAGCTCTTCAGGCCTTTGTAGCATAAGTATGTTTTGTCATGGTGATGGTGATTTCTGTGCAAACTAATAAGGTAACTGATGGTATCAGACTCTGCTATGAGAGTGAATTTGCTGGTGAATTTGGTGAATTTGCTATCACCAATCTGGTCACATGCCACGCAAGCTCAAGTAGCAGCTTTGCCGAAGAGGCGTGCCTCAGTTCCATCCAAGGGAACTTCAACCTCACATTCACCAAGCATCACTCTGTTGCAGAAAGACTCCATCTGATAGGTCCCAGATCCTTTGTGTCTAGGGATGCCCAAGCCTAATTGGATTAAATGAAGTAAGCGGAGCAACAGAGTATTACTTGGAATCACACACATGCTTAACAAGCATGAAAATAACAAAAAGCAATTACTGATGAATGACTGAAGTTTCAAGAGACATAGTGCATGGGTATTCGCTACCAGGCCTCATTTTTCTCCTCTGAGATCTTTGCATAGAAGTGGGATAATTCTGCCTGTTAAGAAGAACCTGAAGAGATAAATTTACACCTCTATTTTATCTGTGAAAGAAGCATGAAGAGAAGGAGAGTGTATCTGTGCCCTTTGGGGACAGTGAAGACAGTCTTCATCTCAAGCTCATAACGATACACTGTGTGCAATGCTCACTTTTACACCATATCCTGAAAATTATTGCCAAGTAGCTTTCCCTTTTTCTTCTCTGCTTTTCTTTAAGCACTTCAAAATTTTTGCTAAAGCACTTCCAGCTGCCACTGATTCATACTGTGGACGCTGTGGAGGATACAATCCAAAGTTGCCTGAACTCTGGTACCTTGGTAAAGGTACTGCCCAAAACTATAGTAGTCTTTTCACAGAGACAGCAGCCTAGGTTAGAGAAAGCAGCAAGAAACTTCACTGCCTCTCATTTCTTTAGATGCCACCGCTTCCCTTTGGTTTTTTGCTAAGATTAAAAAGGAGTATCTAAATATATGTTAAATTACACTGTCTTAATTTGAGTGCATTTTCCTCACTTCTACTGATACAGAGTGATATTATCACTTAAATTAAAATATGTAACCACAGTGTAGCTTGAATTTTAATGCCTTAACAGTGTGGGTCTGGTTTAAGCCGAATCCACACTTCTAGTGGTACTATTCGCATGGAGACAGTTTTGCACGGGTCAGGCTTAGCAACAGCAATGCATCTTTGAGACAACATTCACAATGTAAACTAATGTTTTATTTAATGACTGTTTAACTTTATGGCAATTAATTTTCCTTTCAGAAAACATTTACACAAGGAGAAGGATGATTTAAAGGACAGGCTTTGAGTGCAGACCAACAGAAAAGAGAACGAGCAGCATTCAGCCTCTGTTAAGAGATCATTGCTTCTTATTTGCAGAAAAGTTAGTTGCATTTCTTGGAAATTGTTTAAGGGAAATAGAACAGTGAGAAGTACTTCCTTCCCTCTTCCTATTAATTGCATGACATCTGATCAGGAACCCAGCAGCTGCAAACTATGCTATAAACAGGAAGGTCGGAGCGAACAAATCAAACATGCCTCTGGTGCTGAACGCTGCGACGGCAGGACTGAAAGGGAAATAGAGCAGAGGCTCATTTGAAGGGGTAGGGCTGCCGGCATCCCACTGCCGGTTGCATTTGCACCAACTCCATGTGAATGATAAATGAGGAAGTGAAAGAACCACCTGCTGCGAAGCACCTGCCTTGAAGACCACTCAGCATTCAGGTAAGGCAGATGCGTTGTTACTGTGGGGAAGGAATTGGCAAGGAGCCTTCTCGCCTCAAACAAACAAGGACTTAAAAGCCCTGTGAATCCGGTTTTAAAGTGAAAGAATGGGGTGATTGATTGGATCTCTCAGTGCATCGGAAGTACCTTTCTGTGAGGAGTCAGAGTGGTAAGAGAGGCAGGGAAGTGTAACTTAGGGGTTATTTCTTAGTCTCAAGGTGAAGGAAGGAGGTAGAAAATCCTATCGCTAGATCCAAATAGCAACCTTTGTCTTTGTCCTCGGGTGAAGAGGCAGAAAATTTTCCCCTTAGTAAATTATCTTCATGTGAAGCTACTCTGAGAGATCTCATCAGTGTTGATGGAAGAGGTGGTTTGGGACCAACAGAAGGTGCAAGGCTTTCCCAGGTAACCACATGAGTTTTGCTTTCAGCTACAACCAGTGACAAAGAAGGAAGAATGGTGGCTACTAAGCATGTATTTGAGGAAGAACAGCCATTGATGCAGGGAGTTGTTGCCTGACATAAGACCATGCTCGTGTGCAAAGGTGTAAAGATGAGGGTGCTCATCAGTCTTCTTCTGACTCCATGTTTGGTTTTGGGGGTTAGAACTATTCGAGGTGAGTTTCAGGCTCCCTGCCTCTGTTTTCTCCTCCTTTCTTTTCTATTACTGTTTTTCTTCTGTTAACCTGATATTTCTCCATCCTCCCTTTATTTTCTACTTTCATCTTGGTGACAGAAAAAGAAGGACATTCTGTGAGTGTACATATATGTAGTTACCAGGGCTACACCAAACACTCTCTTCATTGTTTACTCTTTTCAGAGAGCATCCCAATGCAGACCCTACAGTGTTATAATGACCACGCATCTCGTACAACTTGCACATGGATGGAGTGTTCAGAGGCTCATGAATTCCTGAATGTGACTCTGAACTTTAAAAGTTATGAAAAGTAAGTGTCTGTCTGGTCTTCTGAAAATGGTCTAAAGGGGCTTGACTGCTGAGTCTAAGAGATGGAGCTGTGCGCAGCCAGCATGGTATCCAGCTTGCAGACACCAATGTTATGTCCAGGCTAGGGAGACAGTTGGATCTGTACAGGATGAGGAAGAACAGGAAGCACAGCATACTAATCAAGTTGTTTTCATTATGTTTTCAATCACTCTTCCCTGTTTCTGCTGTGAAAGCCCACACACAAAATATGGCAGGACATGTTAACCATTGCACCCGAATGGAGAAGGATGTGTTATACTAGATGCAGTGGTGATGATAACTAATCAGAAGTAAGAGCATAGCCATGTTGATATACCTTCTGCAAAACAAATTGTGAGAAAAACAGAAGTTCTATGTGTTTGACTCATTGGGTTTCCTCTCAGAGATACCAGACTACATCTTTTGCTATCTTTTTGCTACTTCTGCTTCCTTTCAAGAAGAAAACAGAACAGTCAAACTTGAGAGTATGAGGGAGAAGAATGGACAGAGAAGAATGAAGAGATAGGGGATGGAGAAAAAGAATAATAGTATGAGCAGGAGATGGAGGGGTAAACAGCACAGAGATTGGAAGAAAGCATGAAATAAAAATAGGAAGAAGTTATCTTGGTTCTATTTTTGAGAAAGAACTGTAGAATTCATTCATGAGTTGACAGCTGTTGAAGTCAAAGGAGAAGACGCCCCTTATACTCCCCAGAGTATTGAATCACATTCCAAATATTAGTAGTTTGTTGTGGGTTGAAGTCTACAAACCACAGAACTGCTCCTGTGGCACATAGGACCTTCATAGGTCTGCGTGGAAGTAATGTTTTTGTGTAGGAGGACTGCAGTCCCATAGTCCTCAAAAAACTTCTGTCCCAACTCCTAGCTGCATTTATTTGGCCTTGTTTGACTTCTCTAGTGTAAGCATGGCATAACATACACATGTACACTGCCAAACGTACTGTAATGGAAGGAACAAGCTTTGCTTGCTACGGGAAGGTGAGCTAGGAGCTGGGGGTGACAGCAAGGCATTGACCTCACTGACAACGGCATAATCCCACAGTAACAAGAAGAGCAGAACAGTGAGAGCAACCAGGATCTTCCATCAGTCCAGATCCCCAAGGAAGTCCCTATCCTGTACCCAGGCTGAAGGTCAAGCTAGGAAGTCAATTCCACAGATCACAATCAACAATGCATGTCACCAGATACAGATATGGCTGCGTCATAGCTCAGGCAAGGACCAAAGGCAAGGGCCTGACATTAAAAGCAGTTTCTGAGTGAAGCTGGGGAGGCCCTCAGTCAGGCTGATTCCATCTTAGACAATCTTGAGCATGGATGGCCATAACCCTTGCAGGGGAGGCATGAAAGAGGTTGTGTTCAGGGCCCAGACACCTACCAACCCAAGGCAGTTACTGTGAGTGCATCTTCCTTTGAGGAAAAGAAGAGAAAATAAAGCAGAAGTGCCTGATATTAGAGAGTGTATTCATGTAAGCTAATGAACTACAGATGTATGCCAAAATAATGCAGTGATAAATATTTATTTAGAAACAGAATACAATAGCATTTGGGGAAGGTTTCAGAAACCACACTTCGAGCCATCTAGCAGCACCCTATTCAGATGGTCATGCTTTTTTCAGTGTAAGCAGGAATGAAGAAATGACCTGCAGGTCCCACACAGGTGAAAACCACGCTGACTGCCAGAACTCCACAATGCACTGGGTGTGTCACGTCGATGACTATCATCAAGAAAACTACAGCTTCAAATTTAACCTGGCACTACAGTCAGAGCTGAATGTCTACTTGTTTCAGAATGGTAAAGATGAACCACTAAGTCTTGTCCCTATTTTTGAGCATTTAAAAGTTTTTCAGATTGATGTATTCAATATCTAATCCTAAAAAGATACTTAAGTCAGCCCTTAAGCTGAAATGTAAGCAGGAGTGAAGTAAAATGGCTATAAGGCCATCCTACCACCTTCAAATTCAGAGCATTCGGTAGAGATAAAAATGAGTCTACCTTCAATGACTACAATGGAAAAAAATGAGGGGGTATCTGCCAGATAATAAGTGTCTTGATTGGAATTGGGGGAAAATATCAAAAAACTGTTCTTTTAGCACCATCCTCTACATGCCATTACAGCATGTGCTTTCAAAAGTTGCTATAAAGCTGCACAACAGCACTGCTCTCACTATTTGTCACTTCTGCTCATGCACATATTTCCCAAGTCTTGTAGAGTTTGCACTTCACAGTGAAAAAGAATTGTGGATTATTTGTAGCAATCCAGGGAAGTTGTTAGATTCAGAGGACATCAGCTAGGCATTTTCTTCTCCACTTCATGTCCCTGTCCTCACTATCTCATCTCATGGGTTGTACCTTCACCTTCCAGTTCAGACCCCCCCACCTCAAAACCTCTCGGTCAGCTTGATGACATCAGGAGACTTCTTGCTGACCTGGAAAGCAGCTGATGGAAGCCAAGGGCTGAGCAGTGCCCTGGAGTATGAAGTCACTTACAAGCGGGAGTGGGAGTCCTGGGAGGTAAGAGTAGAGGAGCTGGGCTGTCTTAATTTGGGCTGGAACTCCTTTTGGTGGTTGAGACTCTGTGGTAAACATTGTGCAAATGAGCGACCTTTCTGTTCTCAGGTACTATGAGGAGAGTCAACAAATGTTGTTTCAGGTCAGCTGGAAGGGGCTCTCTCTTTCTGTTTGCAAATGACTTGTCCAGTGAAATACCATCTGCTCTGTATTGAAAGCAAATATCTGTTCTTTACTGAAAAAAAACCATTGTATATGGTTTTGAGTGAGAATTGGTTTTGCCCTGAATGCCTCCCAAATGGAATTATATCACGTTCCCAGAAGAGCCTGTGGGTTCATGTGGAGAAATGGCAAAATACATTTGAAGCTGCTTCCCCTGCCAGGAGGATGCATTTTTTTTTATCATCAATTTTTAAGCATAAATATCATCAAGTTCCCAGTTTTCTTTTTCCCCTCTCTCCTTCCTTTCCCACAACAACAGAAAGCTGCCTCCCTCTTGCTCTCCAACACCACAAGTTGCCATCTCCACCACAAGGGCCTTCTCCCAGGAAGCAGCTACGTTGCCCGCGTGCGAGCCAGACCGGGACAGGCCAGTGGCTTCTCTGGGCAGTACAGCGAGTGGAGCACGGAGGTGTCATGGCAGACCCCTGAAGGTAGTGTGGGACGGAGTGGGCTGGAAGCACTGCCTGAGAAGCCAGACCTTTCCTGTCACTTAGCTTGCTCTCCTCTTCTCTGAAGGTGGCCTTCATCCCAGCAACCTTCGCTGCCTCTTCAATGGTGCAGATCGTCTGACGTGCAGCTGGGAAGTGAAGAAAGTGATCGCCACCTCTGTCCTCTTTGGCTTGTTCTTCAGGGCCACTCCAGCATCAGCGTACGTGCTCTGCCCATGCCAGCGTCCCTGCTCCTCTCCCATGGAGTTTCTGCTCTGTCCCATTTCCTCTGATCTCAGCTCAACTTCTTTCTTTTTCTCCCATCAGAGAAGAGGAGGAGTGTTCTCCTGTGCACGAGCAGACTTTGCCTCATGTTCCATATGTGGTCCAGAGCTGCACAATCCCTGTTAACTCCAGCAGTCAGAGCCAGTACCATGTGTCTGTCCGAGCCAAGACAGAGGAGAAGCTGATTGAAGCCCGCAAGAACAGTGAGTTGCAGTGTTGTGTTTTGCTTTTCCTGGTTGTTTCTTGGAGAGATGCCTGTCTGGGCAAGTGGGGTTGAGGACAGCAGTGATGAGGAAAAGCGGATGGGAGGAGGAAGAGACGAGGGCTGATGAAGAAAGGAACTGGACGCTGTGTCAGATGAGAGGTGTGAGAGAGGTGGCTTGTAGGCGTGGAGTTCCTCAGTGGCACTTGTTACTCTGGGGAAGGTGGCAGTGGTGAAAACTGCTGTGCAGAAATTTGAGTTGTGACCCAGAGGGTCTTGATGGCCAGTTGTCACCCCGCTGACTTGTCTGTGACTGGCCTTCGTGAGTGTCCCAGGTGACAGGGAACTGTGACGAGAGGTGTTTGTGTGGAGTGTGATTCCTCAAGAAGCCAGTGGAGCTCTCGAGGGTATGTGCAGTGGCCCTGGAGCGCTGGATGAGATAGGACTCCTCTGCTGAGTGAGGTGTGCCAGGCAGATCATCTCTGCCTCCATGTGTCTCAAGGTATCGGTGCTACTTTTTACAGACTACAGCTGGGAGAGCTCCTGTAGTGGGTGAAAATATCAGGTAGTAGCCCCAAGAGAGCTGAAAATCTCTGGAAATGTGGTGGACCAGTAAAGGTGTTTCAAATATGGCTTTAGTGGTTTTCTGTGCACAGGGAGCGCTGTCAATATTAACGGATATGGGTTTTCTGATATTTATTGTGTCTACTGGTTTATTGTATTTGACTAGAAAACGCAGATGTGGAGAATTCAGAAGTGTTAAGATGCTGAGATTCCTTACATTGCATGAAACAACATTCTTTTCAGTCTCTGGAAACTATCACAGCAGTGAAAGGGAGTGCTGGACCAGTATGTTGATAATTAATCTGAAACATTCCATGTGTTCCAGTTAAGGCGCTGCCACCCAGAAATGTGTCAGTAACAGTGACAGAGAACCAAGAGTATGAACTGAGGTGGAAAAAACACACTTTCGACTATGACTCCATAAAACAGAGCTACCAAGTTGAGTACTGGAAAAACAACCAATACGAGAAGGTAAGTCTTGGAAAGTGCAAGAGTCCTGGATTTCCCTTTGCAGGGCAAATTGGAAAGGCAGTTCCTCTCGTCTTCATCGTTTGTGCTTCTTTTTCTCCTTAGACAGCCAAGATATTAAATATCATCAATGATGAACCTCCCTTCATCTTCACCGGGCAGATGTTGGCATCATCTACAGAATACAGGGGGAAAATGCGGGCGAGGGTGAATACGCCTGTGGAATATGAGGGGCCTTGGAGTGAATGGAGTGAGGAATTCACCTGGAAGACAGAGAAAAAAACACACTTTCGACTATGACTCCATAAAACAGAGCTACCAAGTTGAGTACTGGAAAAACAACCAATACGAGAAGGTAAGTCTTGGAAAGTGCAAGAGTCCTGGATTTCCCTTTGCAGGGCAAATTGGAAAGGCAGTTCCTCTCGTCTTCATCGTTTGTGCTTCTTTTTCTCCTTAGACAGCCAAGATATTAAATATCATCAATGATGAACCTCCCTTCATCTTCACCGGGCAGATGTTGGCATCATCTACAGAATACAGGGGGAAAATGCGGGCGAGGGTGAATACGCCTGTGGAATATGTTCTCCTTAGACAGCCAAGATGTTAAATATCATCAATGATGAACCTCCCTTCATCTTCACCGGGCAGATGTTGGCATCATCTACAGAATACAGGGGGAAAATGCGGGCGAGGGTGAATACGCCTGTGGAATATGAGGGGCCTTGGAGTGAATGGAGTGAGGAATTCACCTGGAAGACAGAGAATGGTACTTTCCGTGCAGGCTCCCTCTGTAAGGTTTTGTGGACTGCTGATGGCTGAAATGCCTCGGCAGAAAAATACATGCTCTCAGCTGGGGCTGAAGCTTGGTCCAGCCATGAGCTAGCTGGGGTGGCTTAACAAGGTGTCTGTCCTGTCTGCACCCTTGCAGTACGGCAGCAATGCTAATGAAGGAGGTGAGCAGGAATGGCCTTTTAAGCTTGTTTCCTACTCCCCTTCACGAGGCGAGTACAACCAGCCATAAAGTTTTCCATATGGAAAATCAAGTGAAGGTCCTGACCAAAAGAGCATCCTTGTTTCCTGATTCCAGTGGTCCGTTCTGCTGTCAGTGACTGCAGAGCCCACCACTGGAAGGAGACAGAATAGAAGCCATCAGTCTTTTATGTTTGCAGAGTGACTCTAGGGTTGTGTTAAATACACAGTACAGTCCACTGGACTTAAAAACCTTTACGTGTGTTTGCTCTTTCTGGACTGAGAGCATAATATCGGCTATCATATGGTCTTGTGCTCAAATTATTATGATCTTACATGATTTGTCCTGAGGATGCTTGTAGTGGTCAGACAGGAGGCAAAATCTGATGAGTGTACTCAGGAAGAAATTGGTATGTTGGTGAAGATCAGTTACAGCCATTAGCAGAGGAAGCTCTTTCTTAGAAAATCCCTGAGACCCCATCTCTTCGGGACTGCACAAAGGCAGGCAGACTTAAGATGCCTGAAGACTTAATATGCATAAATTGTTTACTGTTATGTCACTAAAAAAAAAAGGATCAGTAAAGGAAACAATGAACTCCTTTGGTCAGTGAGCTGTTCAGGCCACACTTGGTCTCTCTCATTTTGCAAAGTATCCCAACAGTTTGAAGGCTGCATCATCCTGTCCCGGGACATGCCACCTACATTTCCCTGAACTGCTTGCATGGAGAGTGGCCAGAGTGAGAAACCTGTTATGAGAAGCAGCCACTGTGCAGGTGGATACGTGTTTCTCTTTTCTCAGTTTCAGTTCTGCCACCAGTGGTTCTCCCAGCGATGCTCCCAGCTCTCATCATCATCTTACTTATAGTTGCTTATTGCAGCTATAGGTATTTCCTCAGGTAGGTCTGGGTTGTGACTAAGAAGTTTTGCAGCGTGCTGGCCTAAAGGCTGAGGCACTCCTTGTCCCCCCAGGAGAGAGCAGTTGATGTGGGATGAGCCTTGGTGTGCCATGGGCATCCTTGTGCGTGTCTGTGCAAGGGTGAGAGCTGGGTGGTGGCGTGCCAGGGCCTTGGTGGTGCCTCTCTGTGCCTGGCAGCTCAGTGTGGGGGGTGCAGCCTTTCCAGCAGAAATCTGGACACTCTGTGTTGTTGTTGCAGGAAGAAGCAAATGTGGGAGGAAAAGATTCCGAACCCCAGCAAGAGTCTCCTGATCCAGAGCTACCTGGGGGTAAGAGGGAACTGTACTTTGAAGGGTGCTTCTGGAGAAGTACAACATGGAGTTAGTTCAGAGTGAAAAGAAGGAAGCGAGGGGTGTGTTGGAATGTCTAGTTGAGAGGGATCTGCCAGCTCAGGGTCTGGACTGCCACTGAGCAGATTGCTTCCCCATCCAGGAGGATTACAGAGCCTGGCTGAGCCTCATGTAACCCTTTACTACAGACTTTGGTCTTCTATTTTCCTACCTTAGTATCCAGGAACCGAGAATTGAAAAATAATACCATCTTCTCTCTGATGCATCTAGTTAGTTTTGCCGTCCCTTGCACCCAAAATGCCTCCCAAAGTCCTCTTACATGTAACCTGCTGTCCCTGGAAAGATTTGACTTTTCGTGTTTCTGGCCAGAATATTGCCTGAGTCTCTTCAGCGCCGCCTTCTATAGTCTATGCATGATTTCCCCCCTGTATACTCCTCTGCAGTTACTGGAGGTTGGCTTCACACTGTGAGAGCTATATTTCCTTCTACATGCTACCCTTCCTGGACATGGTCATGTGGCCCTCTCCATATAGGAAAGGAGAGGGCAAAGAAAAGGAAATGTGTACTTTTCACAGTCATATTTTCACAGAGGTGTTTCTAAAAGAAAGTGACTTATTTTTGATTCCATCTCTCTCCCTTGCCCATTTCCTGATTTCATCTGCAATGGCCAAGCAAACCTTGTGATAGATAGAAATAGTAGGTGGATATCGCCAAAAGAGGTCCTGTATGGAGCATACTTGGAGTTTTCTGACAAGCCTGGCTAGATTCCTTCCCAGAACTGACTCTTGCATGTTTCAGTTTCTCACTACCATAATTTCACAGCCTTATCTATCTGTGAGTCTCCCCTGGAACCGCTGGATTTGTATTTGATCTCACATCTCTAATGTCTCTATCTCCTTAAGGCAATGCTGCTAATCTCCATTCTACAGACGGAGAGCTCATGCTATTTTTGCCACTGTGTTTTATCTTCTACTTAAGCTAAATGACTTCCACCTCATCTCTGGCTCCCTGCAGCGCTAGTCAGTGGTGCACAACTCCAGGGAAGAGTGGTCTTTACAAAGATTAACTTAACAGTTACTTATCCAGTTGCAACATTTTTAGCTTTCCACCTCTGTTTTCTCTATCAGTCTCACACCCTACAATTGCAAGCCCTTTTGTCTCATTTGATATTTTCAGCTTAAGTAGAATGGCTGGTCTTAGCATTGCTCTTGAGGGTGCTGCACATGGTGAGCTGTCATGGTTCTCAGCTAACTGTTCATTTGGCACCCAGTATTTCTCAGCCTCTTATTCAGTCAGCAAGCAATGTCTCCTAGGCATGCATCCAGTCAGCAGTTGATACAGGGGAAGTGAGATACACCAGATTCCTTTATGTGGCGCACACCTGCATGTTTTGCAGGCTCTGATAAATCCCCCTTGCAGATCAGTCAATGTTCTAAAGTTCCTTTTGATTAATTTGGCTGTTGACAGACTTCATCAACTTCTTTTTCTGTCCATACACAATAATCAACACCAGTACAAGGTCTTCCACCACTCGAAAAAGCACCACAGTAGCTTTGCGGCCTATCTCATACCCAGCTCTCCATCCACAAGTGCTCTCGGCTCTTAGTCTTGTAGTTTTGATAGTTTTCATCCCGGTAGCAAATTGCCTTACGCTAAAGTTGTAAACATCCCAGCAATTCTGTTTCTCTGGTCAGTCAGCAGAGAAGGACAGCCATTTTAGCTCTACAGGTGAAAAGTTGCCCAGAGTGTCCTCATACGCTGCTGAATTAGAGTAGGAATTTCACAAAACAGCAGCTTTGAAGTTTATTGTGATGGGAACCTGCAGCAGCAGCCGCCTCTGGCTCCTGTGCTGCATAAAGGTAGGTCGGGGTAGACAATGTGGAAGTGAAGGAATAGTCTTTTGGAGGACAGGACATACTTTGTAGCTGTAGCCATGGGATTTCTTCAGCATTACTGTCCATTTTGACTGGAAGATTGAAGAGAAACGGATCGTAGCTTGTTCTGACTACAGATTGAAGGTTAAAATGTGAAGACTTTTGCAGATTGGAGCAAGAACAAAGGAAGGAAAAGCTGATAGAAGACATTAGAAGAAATTAAAGTGGTATGAAGGTGCCAGGAACATGGGAGTTTTTTAAACCTGCATAAATCTATTAAAGATTGCCTGTAGCAATATTACTACTGTATTTAGGTGGGAAAACAGCATGGCCCTAAAAATGAGAACAGGAAGGTTGTTGGGACAAAAGTTATTTAGAAAACATTAATTCTAAAACATAGGTTGATAAACTGGTAAAACTAATTGCACAATGTGAATGCCTGGAAGCTCATTCTTGCACTGTCTATCACAAATGTGCTACCAGTGTTTTTATGCCCATTGCTCCTGGCTCTTCCTGGCCTGAATGCGATCTCCCTTTTCTCAGAAGTGTCACAATTTTCATTTTCTCTCTTCAGCGAGCTGTTAGCCAACAGCCAGCCAGCCAGGTGGGCTTCAATGGGCAGAACACTTCTGAGGAGGTGGAGCAAGTCAGCTGCCTTCAAGTGCTTGATGGGTAAGTAAGCAGCCCACTCCTGACTCCTTTCTTGAAAGGTTCTTTACTAACCCTGAGGGAAGAGCAGGCTGCGCATGAATATCACTCATTACGATGGTGAGGACAAAGACTTTTCATGTCTTTTTACCTGGGTATTTCCTAAGTTTGTGTACACCTTCGAAACATCTATGGAAATTGTAATGAACTGCTGCTGCTGCGGACCTTGACTTCCCTGGCTGGAAGTTTGAGGGTAGAAACCTACTCCCTCTGTTCCTCTGCATTTCCTTTGGAAATAGGTTTGAACAAAAGGCATCGACCTAATAGGATGGAAATCCTGTTGGTTGCATTCCTCCCAGCCTGCCTGAACACAACCTCCCTCTCACGAAAATACACATACTCCCTTATCTCTTCATCCTCTAGGAATGACATACTTTCTGCTCCTTGAAGCAAAGTCTGACTTTGAAAGGGGAATGTGAACAAAGATGAGCTGCAGTGGTCCCGGCCAGTGTGTGGCTGATCAGAAATAGCTCCAAATTGTCCATACAGCCTCAAATGTGTGCCAGGTCTTCAAAGATGGTGTGGGGATGTGACCATGGTTCAGGAAACTATCTTGAGTTGCAGAACAGCTGGGGATGCTGACACAAATTAAATTGACTCTCGGGTTTCATTATCATTATCTGCCTCTTAGGAGAGAGAGTCAGCTCTTTTTAATACACACTTTTGTAAGTTGTGTGAAGGGAAGATGGATTATGTTTTTTACTTCTTTGAAATCTTTGTCTTCTCACTTTGTCTAGCTTCACATTCAGTCCTTGTAAGTAACTTTATTATGAAGAAGTAACTGCAAAGTATCACTCAAAGCTCGAGACCTGCATAAATGCTGATGCCAGCAGTCACATTGCCTGAGTCTATACTGCTAAATAAATCAGGTCCAAGATGTAGTATCAGGCACTGCCTTGTAACTGCTCATACTGCTTTCTTGTCAGCACTATTCCTGCCATGGTTTGGCCTGTGCCAACTAGTGCTCTCCAAGACGGTATCCTGACATAGTTTGGGAGATAGAACAGGGTAGCAACCGCTCCCAGTGGGCAACATGGACATGATTGTACAAGGTTAGGCTTTGCCCAGTGTCCTTCAGTGGTATTCAAGCAGGCTTTGCACCCAGGCTGTGCAACACACGTTCTCTTTCACACTATGAAAACAGCTGTAACACAGTCGTCACATTATGTCATGTACTTTGATCGGAAAAAAACAAACACAAAACCTTAGCTGTGCTTTAGACTGCAGAGACACTGTGGGAGACCCAGAAGACTGCCATGGCTATAGAGTGTGGACACAGCCAGTCTATGCCATTTTACCAGAGGACCAAAGAGTGGTCCCTGGCTCTGTTTTATTTACAGCAAAAATAGCTGGTTTGTGCTTTCACGTCTTGGCATTGGCAAGAGTTGGAGTTGTCAGTAAACAGTTGGTCTCTTGCAGTGGCACAGGAAAAAGCTGAGGCTCGCATCTTCTGAGGAAGGTACAAGAGATGTGGCCAAAGGTTCCCTCTAGCTTCCTGGAAGACATTGTACCCTCTGACAGCATCTCCTGTTTATATGCAGTTATCACCTCAGCAAGCTGTTGTTTAAAGAACTGTCAGTAGCAGCTAAGTCCTGTGTTTTTTCACCTGAACAGGATGATGAAAAGCAGCCCAGGAGAGTTCCACGGAGCTGAGGGAAAGACAGTGCAAGTTTCCCAAGCTACACTGGCTCCACAAAACTCCTGTCAGACTTCTGAAGTGCCACATAAATCCTCGCTTTCATCATCTGCACTTGTCTGCCCATTGAATCAGACAGTTGGGCCATCCTGCTCGTGTGCCAGGCTTCCAAGCAAGTGTGAGGCTCATTCAAGTACTGCTTCCAATACTTTCTTTGCTTTCAACGGTCCATACTTGTACAGCCCAGCGGAGTCCTCCCAGCCTGATGTGCATCAGACCTCAGAAGTGGACCCAGTGGGAGTCCGTGAGAAATCAGTTTCCCTTCAGTATGTGACCCTCCCAAAGGAAGACTGTCCCCAGCCTCCACAGAGGCAAGAGCAGCCAGCAGCAGCTCCTTCACAGCCCTTCCTGCTCCCAGATCAGAAGGAAGTGACACAGCACATTGAGGATGAGAAAGAAGTCTCACTGGCCCCACCAACCTGTGGGAAAGTCATGGACATGAGAACAGAAGAGCAGAAATCTCCAAAGGCTCTAGGCTGTGTCACGTCTCCTCAGCAGTGCCCCTTGGAGTATGTCACCACAGAGAGCCTGTTAGTGCCATCAGCCAGCAACTCCACCCCTCCACCACTTGTCACTGCTGGGGAGTTACCCGGTGACTCACAGGAGCCCCCACCCTCCAGTGACCACTCTTGTCATGAGTCTTCTCAGGGGAAAACTGGTGCCACGGCCCCAGTTTCAGGTCAAGCACCAACCTCGTCACCTGAATTGCACCTGGATACATTTGGAGAGTATCTTACTGTCCCTTTAGATGTCCATGGACATTCAGAACCCACAAAAATGTCCTTACATTGAAAAAGAGTATTTTTTTCTGAATAACCTGTGTTACAGAACTATGTAGTCATATTTAATCCTAGCAGTGCCATAACTGGTTTCCTCCAAGATGAGCAATTGCTACCCTGTCCCCAACCTAAAACCCAGTAAGAAGATGCAGATGAATCAGAAAGATCCCCAAGTGTATTTGGTTTGTGTGGCAAGGTTTTGGTAGCTGGGGGCTACACGGGTGGCTTCTGTGAGAACATGCCAGAAGCCTCCCCCATGCCTGACAGAGCCATTTCCAGCTAGCTCCAAGAAGGACATGCTGCTGGCCAAAGCTGAGCCATTCAACAATGCTGGTAGCACCTCTGTGATAAAATATTTAAGACAGTGTAAAAACTGGTGCTCAACAGCAGCTGGGAGATAGAAGTGAGAATATGAGAGAGAAACAACTCTGCAGACACAAAGGTCAGTGAAGAAGGAGAAGGAGGAGGTCCTCCAGGCAGCAGAGCAGAGATTCCCCTGTAGACCGTGCTGAAGTCCTTGGTGAAGCAGGTTTGTCCCCTTGAAGCCCATGGAGGTCCACTATGGAGCAGATATCCATTCTGCAGCCCGTGGAGGCCCCCACACCAGAACAGGTGGATGTGCCCCAAAGGAGGCTGTGACCCCATGGGAAGTCCACACTGGAGCAGGTTCCTGCCATGACCTGTGAACCTGCAGGGAAACCAAGCCGGAGCAGTCCTTTCCTGAAGGACTGCACTCCATGGAAAGGACTCACGCTAGAGAAGTTAATGAAGAATTGTCTCCCATGGGTGGGATGCTATGCTGGAGCAAGGTAAGAGCATTAGGAGGAAGGAGCAGCAGAGACAAGATGTGAGAACTGACTGCAACCCCCATTCTCCATCCCCCTGCACCACTCAGGGGGAGGAGATAGAGAAATTGGGAGTGAAGCTCAGCTCAGGAAGAAGGAAGGAGGTGGGGGGAGGTGGTTTTGTTGTTTTTGCTTTTGTTTTTAAATTTGGTTTTATTTCTCATTATTGTACTCTGATTTGATTGGCAATTGTGCTGGTTTTCGCTGGAATAGAGTTGATTTTCTTCATAATAGCCAGCATGGGGCTATGTTTTGGATTTGTGCTGAAAACAGTGTCGGTAACACAGGGATGTTTTAGTTACCGCTGAGCAGTGCTTACAGAGTCAACCTTTTTCTGCTCCTCACACCACCCCACCAGCGAGTAGGCTGGGGGTGCACAAACAGCTGGGAGGGGACACAGATGGGACAGCTGACCCCAACTGACCAAAGGGATATTCCATGCCATATGATGTCATGATCAGCATATGAAGCTGGTGGAAGAAGGAAGGAGGGACATGAGGAGTTATGGATTTTTATCTTGCCAAGTAACCATTACACGTGATGGAACTCTGCTTTCCTGGAGATGGTTCAACACCTGCCTGCAGACGGGAAGCAGTGAATGAAGTCCTTGTTTTGCTTTGCTTGAATGCATGGCTTTTGCTTTACTTATTAAACTGTCTTTATCACAACCCACAAGTTTTCTCAGTTTTACTCTTCTGATTCTCTCTGCCATCCCACCGGGGGGAGAGTGATTGAGTGGCTGTGTGGTGCTTAGTTGCCAGCTGGGGTTAAACCACAGCTGCAATAAATTAAATTAATTTCTCCAAGTAGAGCCTTTTTTGCCTGTGAGAGTAATTGCTGAGTGATTTCCCAATCCATGAGCCTTTCATCATATTTTTCTCCCCCTGTCCGGTTCAGGGAAAGTGAAAGAGTGGTTTGGTGGGCACCTGGCAGCCAGCCGAAGTCAACTCACCACATCAAGTAAATAAGTTACAGAAACCTATTAAAATTATCAAATAGCTTGAACATGATGGTGGATCCATCGGTGGCAAGGAAGACAATGCACAGGATATTGAGGTCATCCAGATCTTCAGAATGCTGAAGAAAGCTGCTGTGGAAAGGAAAGTAGCCAGCTTTGAGATACAGAAAAGCCTGCAGGACCAGCAGGGGTCTTAGACAACCAAGAAAAGAATTTGTAAAATGACACCATTATAATCCCATTTTCTTTCCAAATGCTACCTCTCTTCTCCAGTTTCTAGCCCAACATGGGGCTAGAAAGATCTCAGGCAGCCCTACCCCTTTCTTAGTTATATTAATGTGTTTGATAAAAGGGACAGGCCATAATTCCCAGGTATCTGCATTTAGATAGGCTTGCTTCGCATTCCCCTGATAGGTGTGATTGGCAGGGGAAGAAGCCAGATTTAGCTAGGGCTCCTTTCTAAAAATAGGTAATCAATTTCAGTTCAAGCTGCTCAGGTTATAGGAAAAGAAAATGATTTTGCTTGGGCACGTAATGAGCTTGGATAATCAGTTTTCCTGCTCAAGAGCAATGAATCCAAGGGTTTGAAAGAAAAGGAACTTTATTAAAAGGGATAAAATGGCAACTCAGCATAAACACTGGCACACTGTTTACTCATATTGAGCATGTTGTCTATCAGGACCCCCAGGTTCCTTTCCACAGGTGGGTAGATGCCAGGCTGTGCTGCACTGCTGGGTTATGTTTTCCCAGGTGTAAGACCTTACACTTGTCCTCATTTAACTTCATAACGTTCTTGTTAGCCCACTCTGCCAGCCTATCCAGGTCTTCCTGCAGGGTGGCTCTCCCTTTTGAAGAGTCCACTTCCCCACTCAGTCTGGTATCACCAACAAGCTTCATCAGGCCACACTGGATCCCATCATTCAGATAACTTATGAAGATATTAAACAGCATCAGGCACCATTCGGATCCCTGGAGAACCCCACTTGTGACCGGTTGCCAGTTTGAAAAGGAGCTATTCACCACCACCCTCTGGGTACAGCCTCTCTGGCAGTTCCCCACCCACTGCACAGACCTCTTGTCTAGATCACAGTACACCAGTTTCTCCGGGAGAAGACTGTGGGAAGCTGTATCAAAAGCCTTGGAGAAATCCAGGTAAACAATGTCCACCGCTCACCCTGCATCAACAGAGCAGGATCCTCAGAGAGGAGTCTGTTGCAAACAAAACCCCAAAAGAACCCTGAGGATCCTACTATTTGGGTTTTGGTTGGAGTGTTTTTTTGGTTTTGTTTTTAGTTGGTTGGTTGTTTTTTTTAACTTTCCCGCTCCATGGATCCTATGTTCTGCCACTATCAAGGGGAACACCACAGGTAATCCCTAACCCTCAAAACACCATTCTCTCTTGATGGATAAGTGTTTAAAATACCTTTAAACATAAGACACGATTATATTTGAACCCCAGTGCCTGAAAGTGAAATCCACTGAAGTAAATTCTCTTGCTCCCTCTTTGTTGTGATCTCTAGCCACTTCAAGTAGTTCCAGATCTCTCTTTTATCCCATTATAGGCAGGATCAGCAGTAAGTACTCCATTCTTCTAAGAATACTGGGCTTACCTCAGGATAGATGTAGCTCTGAATTTAAGTTTTATTTCAGTGCAAGCTTTACAGCATACAGGATTGAATTTAATAGCAGGCTGAAGACTCTTATCAGAGTTCTTGCAGTGGCTTTGTCCCATTCTTGCAGTTGTTACCATTTCAAAATGAGCCATTCAAAATCATTTGCAGTGGAGATACCAAAGGTTGGAATCGTTCAGGATAGCATGAGATAGGCAGAAGTCAGGAGGTTAAATGAAAAGAAAAAAAAAGAGATTGGCATGAGAACAGAAAATCTTTACTAAAAGTGATATCCTGCAGAATGATCTGTGTTGCAACTGCAGGGGTATGGCTCCATGCATAAACTGGGAATTACCCATTTCTGTCAGAAATACTAGAAGTTATGAGGTGAGTGCTGCAGAGCTTAGATGTAATCGGACTCTTCTATTTCAAATTGCCATAGTATGATTATCTATTTTTCAAGTGCATTGGCAGTTTCTAGATGACTAAACCAGTTATTAAATAGCTGTTTTGGTAATGATTTCGCTAAACCACAGGAGACCCCATTTTTTTTCCCAAGTTCCACCTACAAGGTAAAAACATTAGCTCAGAGCTGCCACCCAATGATCAGACCCTGTAAAATCACTTAAATAACTGGGTATCTCTGTTGCAAACTCTTAAGTTCAGTGAGACAAGATAGTAGAGACAAACTGATTTTTCACTGGATAAAAAAAAAAGGCAGTGAAAGGCCATTTCCCCTTCCACTTCCTTTCCAATCCTCTTCCCCAATATCTGCATACCCCATCACTCATTGCCTTGTCTGCAACAAGGTGCTTTGCCTAGAAAATTTAATTTGTTAACCTGTTAACTTTGCGTTTTTCTTTTGTATTGATTTTTTTGCTGTTTTACCAGGTTGAATCAGTTCAAAGTGTGGGCATGTGTCAGCACCAGCACAGATAAGCACGAAGGAGTGAAGTGCTGAGGGCAGAGGAACGGGTACAATGGAGATTTCAGCTGCAATGAGCACTTATTTCAGCCTTGTTCTTGTCTAACTGCATCTGCCATGCTATTTGGAGACTCTGAAGCTGGCTTTAAATACATATTTGGGTACCTGAAGCACTCTAGTCAACATGGCGTGCCACACAGGGTAATGCTCCTTGCCAAGGTTCTGGCTAAATTAGTCTGTTCAGCACTCAAGAGACATCAGGTATTGATTGCTCCCAGTAGCTGAGCTGTCTGACTGAAAGCTATCTCAGTTATCTCCACAGCTTTCAGCACGTCACCCATCAGAAAGCGTTTCCCCCCAGCTGAGCTGTAGCATTTGGCAAAGAGAAGAAGATGCAGGGGGATTGCCACACGTATGTCCACTTGGCATCAAACAGCTGTCACATATTTGAGTGCCAACTATTTTGTATTATTTAAATGTTTATAAACGTATTGTTTTAATTCGTAAAAAGTGTAGGAAGTTACTTTACTGCACCACAGGAGGCAAACACCAGTTTGTGTCAGAGTGTAGTGGTGCACCAACAACACCTTTCAGCCTGTTTCCCTTCTGATCTAGTCTCTTCAGGAGCCTTTCAGTGGTAACAAAGGGCATTTGCTCCAAGCTGTACCATAATCCTGCAGTCTGCCTGCCCTAATGTCTATTTCTAATGTCTATTAGAAATATATTTGTAAATTCGTGTGCTGATTCAGTCCACGTTATGCTCTCTGCGTTAGCTGACCGCCCTGAACTGCTCGCTTCCAGTCTGCCAGTATCAGTAGATTTCTCTTCAGCTCCGTGTTTTCTGGATTAGGACTTGCTGTGGTCTCAGAAGACAGCATTTATTACGTACCCGGGGTTATGTTGGTCATCAGTGTCGGCTGCAACACAGAGAACAAGGTGTTCCTAGGGAGCTGTGCCGATTTCAGGTTAAGCTAGAGGGGTGTGCGCTCAGACAGGAGCCACTTGGTACAGATGCACAAGGAAAACCCACAGGGAGGCTTCTACAAGCTGCCATTTGGCCAGTCTCCTTAATCTGAAAGACTTGGACATGTGCCTGGAAACATCTGAATTCCAAATGGTTAATTATTGCTGTTGGAAGATGATTATCACTTGATTATCATTAGTTACACTTTAACATCCTTCACTACTTTTATGAAGTCAGCACGTTGTTATCTAATCCCCAATCGATGGAGGGTGAAGTAACAATCCTAATTCTGCCCCAGAACAGTTCGTATCAGCGAGCAGAGCATCACTCTTTTAAAACGGTGAAAGCTTGGGAGCAGATGGGAAAGATCAGGGCACTGCTATTCCCAGACACCCACTCTGTGATTGCTGCACCAAACCGCTGCACTTTGGAGCCGGAAGGCAGGATGCTGCAAATAAGGGCCATTAAATACTACAAGAAAAACACATCAGGAAGCCCTAAAGACCCTGCATGTCCTGCATCATTCAAACCCTTGGGTGATCCTTGGTTACTGCCCAGATACACCCTCTGAACTTCAGATTATGCAGATTGTGTGGTGGATGCACCTGGTTCTCTCTGAGAGACATTTGAGCTAGGGAAAGGGCTGATGGGGTGAGTATGGCTTATGAGAGCTTCAGAAAGGGTCCCTTCACACTGTGGGGTGATTTGCAGATCAAGGACCGGAGAAGTCCTGAGGCTTCTTGCAGCTTTCCTGTTCCCTTTATGCTGGGATAAACTAGTTTGTTTTGTTTTTTGCATTGGCTTGGCCCGTAAATAGTGTGGGCTTTGGTGAATACCCTGATGCCTCCTCTTCTCAGGTGAGTTTCTGTTGGTTTTCACACATGACCACTGCTCCCTGCCAGGGTAAGGGCTTTCCATTAAATCCTCCATGTGGCAGGTATAACAACAAAACCAGAGCAGTGAGCAGAGAACAAACCCTCCTTTCCTACCCTGTGTAGGCATCTGATACCAATCACATGGATTTGTGCCCAGGTTATTGAGTAGACACTATCTGGTGCTCTTCTGGCAGGAGAGGCTGGATTCACCTCAGAAGCATCAACAGAGAGCTGGTTCTTCTGGCTGCTGTGGACATACAGCTCTGGAGCTTCCCCGAGAGGGAGTTTTACAGCCTCCAGTGTGGGGAGAGGTGGGCAGCATTCAGGTCCTTGGGCATCCCAATGCATCTTCTGTATTTCTTCCTGGGCTGCTGGGGCAGCTGTCAAAGTACCACAAATCTTCTGGCAAATGTGAGTTTGCCCACACACACATCCCCTCTGCACCCCACCATCACCCTCTTACACCACTCCCAGGTCCTACTCCACCTCATCTGCTGAGCAGATGAATTTCTGTATGGCCTCTTCTCACCACCACATCCCTCTGAAAGGCTCCGATTAGTGTGTGAGGCACACACCAACAAAGTGGTATTATTTGCATTCACATTCAGATTTATCTTGCATTGCTCCCCCCAAAGACACCCTAACTGAGAGAGGAAGACAACACCAGCAACAAATCTGCTATTGACAGCTAGCATGTCATGGGTGCCTGCTTTATCTGGAGGTTTATTAGATGGTTGAGGAAAAAGATCTCCCATCCATTGAACGTCCTCCAGTCCTCAGCCTTCATCTTCTAAGACTTGATGTTTCTTTTCCCATATTTGTCCTCCAATGCTCTCTGCAGGTTAAGATGTAGAGCATTTGTCTGATGCCATTTCCCTGAAAAGAACGCAAATCATAGTTAGGTTACAGTCTCCCTTCTAATGCTATTGTTCCTCAAGGACTTTTCTAGCTGTAGAGCTCCTCTCTTGTGAAAATGCCAATTTCTAGTCCCCCCGCATCTTTGCCCAAACCCATCCATTGTTCTTGGCAGAAGGAGCATCCATATCAGGAATTCAGCAATGTACTTTTCCTGGCAGAAGGCATACCTAGCTCATCTGTCTTCCTTCCGTACCAGTTCTTGGGATCCCTGATTCCCTTCTGAATTATATCAGGGGTATAGGAATCTTTCATCAAGCTTCGGCTCTCCAGTGGGCCACCTGCAAGAAATAGCAAATACGGAACTGTATGGAGAAATCACCCTACTGCAGTCCTGGGCTTGAGCAGGAGAGCAATACCAGCTGTTTCAAGGACTCAAGAAAAGGCATGTGTTGACTGCAATACCTTTGATCAGCTGTGTGAAACAGGTGCTGAATAATAGCTTCATCATCACCCAGGAGGGAGCTTGTCTTTGCCAATATATCTGCTCTTCACTCTTAAGTATGAGATACACACAGAGAGTGCCACAAGGTATCATCTTTATTTGTATCCCAGTATCCTTTCTTCAGTCAAGTGCCCACTTATCCCCTGTTGGATCCCCTCGTTCTTGTGAGTAACTTCCTATCCAGCAACACAGCTCCACAAAAAGCACCATCTTACCACTGCAGGCCTTCATGAGCTCCTTTTCTGCCACCATACTTAACAAATAGTTCCCAACTGTGACTTCTCTTTTTACCCCCTCCTGACTTTTAGTCATAAAAGGGGTCTTTATCTTAATCTCTCATCCTTTCCTCTTCACCTTCCTTTTTATTGTTCCCTTTCCTTGATAATGATTTTGAGCTCCCTTGGGAAAATGTCCTTCCTCTCTGTGTGACTGCACAAACCCAGGACAATGCAGTCTTCAATACAGCAAGGTCTTGTCAAGGAACGTACCATATTAGGAAAAGGAATCTGTTTCATGTTACTACACAAGAAACTGGAATCAAAGACAATTATTTCAGAGTTTCTTGGATATGATGGTAACCAGAATGGGAAGAATCCTTACTTCCCAATATTTGTTTGGATGGAGAGATCCCTGGGTACCTTGGAATCAGAAGTTTGTAGAAGATATTTCAGAGACCCATATCTCTAAAGGTCTTGAAGAGAAGTAAAGTCAGTATTAGAACTAGAGGTAACTTGGGACTGTAGGTGACAGAAGATGTTGAAATGCAAATGGTGTCCACTTGGACAGCTCTGAACATGGAGGACAAGGGTCATGATACACCTTCATTTTTCACACCTTGGAAAAAAAAGAGTGAAAGAAGAGAAAAGAAAACAATAGAATACATAGAAAGGGAGGCACAGGCTTTAATTTCCTCAAGCATCACACCCTGGAAAAGCAGTGACTGTGGATAGACGGAGTAAGAGGGGAAAGGGAGGGTTACCTACAGTCACATCTCTACCCAAAGAAGTGTGGCTGCCCTAAGCCCAGGCAAAGTGTAGATGGAACCAGTTTTGAAGGTCAGGCATAGGTACGTGTGTCCCCTCACCTTGGAAGATATTTGATCTCAGGTTAAAACCCAGGTGGTTGTAATCAGTTAAAGATGTAGAGTTCAAGGCGTTTAGCATTTCAGTACGTTCGCAGAGTCTTTTCTGTCCCAAGATTATGGCCGTCTCGCAGAGAGCTCGCCGTTCCTGAAAACACAAACAAGGAACCACTGTCACTCCACATTCCTTAAGTGCAGCAGACTCCTGGCATTCCCACCCCTGCATATGTCTTTGAGCCATGACTAATCCCTGGGACCTGGGTCTGTCCTTAAGTCTCCCTCGGTGGCTTCTGTAGGCATTGTAATCACATGGGACAGCTAGGACTGGGGAAAAGTGGGGGAATTAGAAAGAGATGATGGTGTTGGGACCTGGACTGGGCCCCACATTGTTCTGTCTTGCTGAGATGGGACTCTGCCTGGGCACAGGAACCTTATAAATCAAAGGGGGGTGGAAAAAAAAAAAACTGAAAAAGACATGGGAAAGGCTGTCTGTAATGTGTCACTACCCCATAGTGTGAAGCCCAAATCCATCCCTTTACATGTGTTCTAGAAACCGCTAATATAGTGCTAATATCCCACCCACTCAGTCCCCTGCTACACCCTAAAACCAGTCTTCAACCCACCACACAGGAAACATGAAACAGCTTCCTCCAATACCTCTTTATCGCTGGTAAGTTCACTGGCACTGGCTAATTTATATTTGCTGTTGCCACAGGTCAAGCTGTCTCCCTCCTCCAGAACGAGATTCCATTCTGCTTTCCTATCTGGCCCTGATGATGCTAAGGACTCTTTAGCACTTAATCTGCCGCAGGTCTCCTTGTCTTTTTCACAGCTGGCTTTGATGGTCTTCTGGGAAGATCCAGGCCCTCTAGGCCTCCGTGTTTGGTGCTGGCCTGCTACTGCTTCTCTGACATTTAAGAGAGATTTGGTGTTTTCTGCCTTCCTCTGCCCTCTTGCAGACAGGTGGTAAGTGCTGCGCCTCTCTCTTGGCTCATGCCCTTCTGTTGGGTCTTTGATGGTAGAAGTATCTTCTCTTTCTCCTTCAAGGCTTCCTGAATGAAGATTCTGTGTGTGTGTAGTTTTGGTCTGGAGACTCTGTTTGCTCTGTTTTTTAGTTTGAACGTACTTTGCAGAAAGAGATGCCTGGACTTTAGTAGATGTGGAATTCTTTGCTGTTCCCTGAGCCGCTGGGCCCTTGGAGATCTTCCAGGAGGCACTGTTGGAGCTCCCTTGGGATGTTCTCTGACTGCTGGGACTTGCTTTTGGAAGATGCTTCTTTTTCTCTTCCTCAGCTTCCACTTAAAGACAAAAATAATAGCTAAGTGAAGTTGATACTGTTTTGATGGCGGGTGATACCATAAATGGAGCTGGAAACAATTGAACATGTCATTGTGTCATTGTCAGACAACAAGAGAAACATTAAAAGTCTCAAAAAGGGAAAGAGAAAAAAACCCAACAACCTAGCAGCAGTATATCAATCTTCCTGCTGAACTAGGTGAAGGTTCCTGAGGAGTCTTAGATGCTCCTGAGATATGAACAGGCACAGAAGTGTGGAACTAAAAATCTTGTGATCAAACACGCACACTAGGGTCTGCGTTTTCTTATGTTTAGGGGCCTCTCCAATGCATGATCACTCTCATGAGCATCCACGTATAGTTTTATTGGAATTTGCTGAAGTGTTTACAGCACATCAGTGACTTATTGTGCTTGAGCAGGAAGGTAGTCAGACAAGTCCACCAGTGGAGGAAGCCACGCTCAGGGCAGGAGGAGTTTAACCCATCAACCCATGGCACAAAAGATCCCTCTCCGAGTAGTTTTCACTCACAGAGGCACATCCAAATCTGGAGGGTGTGAAGGGAGGGAGGGAATGACACGCAGCCTCACAAGCTGTCCTGCAAAGCAAGGTCTGAAGGAGGCACAGCTTCCCTGCCATCTTGCTTACCTGAGGGACCGTTGGCCAGCACATACTCACTTTCTGCCATATTACGTGTAAAGGAAGCCGGAAGCTCTACCACACCCTTGGAAGAGAAATAAAGGCTGTGTCAGACTCAGAGATGGGAAAGAAGGGGACAGTGGCCCTGCTTATGTTTGGACAATATAAGAGTATTCTCACACAAATGTATAATACGCCTTCCCAGATGAAGGTAGAGCTGTCCCTGCCTGCCTGCGTGGTTGGTCCTGCAGCCCATTAACCTCTCAGAGTAAAAAAGCACAGAAGTCCTACAGGGTTTCACATTAACAGCTCACATGGGACAGCCTGCCTAGGACATGGCCAACGAGCGCCTCTGGGGAACACTGAGCTGCAAGAGTTTTCACAGGCAGTGGTGCAGACACAAGCCAAAACGGAAAAAACCCCACTTCAGTGAAAATGCCTTTTTTTTTTTTATTCTGAAGCACCTAAAGATTTCAGACTTGTCATGTGTTGTACAATTACAACATCTTCTTCCTTTGGTGCGTTAAAGTAAAACAAAATGGGGAGAGGAGGTGACAAACATAAAACATCTGTGCAGCACTGGCTGTGCAAAGGAAGGGAGACAGGCTGGAGACAGGGTTTCTTCCCTGATTCTTGTGTCTCCTGGTTTGCTCTGGTAGTCCTGCCGACGTGATTGATCCAACACCCAGCCTTTGCAAGCTGCCTCCTGCACTAGGAGGAAGCTCATGTCTTTACTGCAGAGGGAATGTCCATGTAACCCTCAGTTGTGTCCTGCTGATGGGCTGTGTTCCTCATTCCAGCGGGACCCTCCTGGCTTAGCCCATGAGAAACCTGTGACAGGTTACAACTGAAGCCATGGCCCATAGTTGTGAGTATGGCAATTGTGCTGGCACTTGCCGCAGGACAAATGGCATCTATATCAGGTAGGAATATATGTTTGTGTTTCTCAAATTAGCTCATGATGTGACATATATGCTTACTTTCTGCTTTTGAGGCTAGTTACTGGAATGAAGACACAATTGCCAATGTGGCAGGAAGCCTACTGCTTCAAAGTTCATAGAATCATTGAATCACAGAATGGTTCGGGTTGGGACCTTAAAGATCACCTAGTTCCAACCCCCCTGCCACGGGCAGGGACACCTCCCACCAGACCAGGTTGCTCAAAGCCCCATCCAGCCTGGCCTTGAACACTTCCAGGGACGGGGCATCCACAACTTTTCTGGGCAACCTGTTCCAGTGTCTCACCACCCTCACAGTAAAGAATTAACTCACCAGGGCTGACTTGAACCAGCAGCTTGTACCAGTGCTCCATAGCAGCATTTCTGGTGCAACACTGGGATCCTGAAGCCGAAATTACTGTATCAACCAGGCTCCAGGAGTCAGTGCTGTGTGTTCTGCACATGTATTAAGAGAGAGAACCTCTCCCACAAAAAGAACAGGGCCACAAGAGATGAAGACAGGAAGCCAGTCCTGGCTCCTAGGGCAGGATCTGCTGTTTTTCTGTATCGCTTTTCCTTCTTTTTAAAGAAGAGCCAAACATTTACACATGACCAAAGTGCAGGAATCTGGGTTGCTAAATAAACTCCTGTGTTAACTCCCACCTCCTACTTAAAACAAAAACATGTCTGTTTGTTATTATTACTATATTCAGTGGAAAGAACTTTCCAGTTTGCTGTTGTATAAATTCCTCCTCTCCCATTTCTTCCAGTGAAGCAGAATTTCTGTGTAATGAGGCAATGTGCTCATTTCCCAAATCCCTTTCATGGGTAACTTTCATTTCCTCACTTCTTCCTGGACAAAACGATGCTGAAGCCTGCAACTGTTCTGACTTTTTACTTTATAACTGTATATGATGTTATTGTTATTGCTTAATTTTCATTCTACTTCTGAGCCTGAAGGCCCAAAGTCAAAGCACCACCCTGAGACATCTTGACATCAAGAAGAGACTTTAAAGCCATTTGACCATCTTCCTGCATAACAGAAGCCACAGAACTATGGCTACTTACTCTTTTGCTAAGCCAAATGATCAAAGAGCTAAAAATGATTAAACTTGGCCTTTCTTTCTGAATGAAAAAAACCAACCAAACCCCATATGTTTAGCAAAGACTCATGCTCTGACTTTCCTGACATGCAGACAGAGGAACTGTCTTTCCCAAGCAGAAAATTAACCTCCTCAGGTTAAATGGTATGCCATTCTCATCAGCCACCAGATGTGGTCAAGCATAGTCTCATACACCTTCTACATCTGGCTGGGCCCTCAAAATATGAGGAGATTTCAGTGACTTTCCAGACCTGAGGTGCCTCATGGGTGTCAAAGTGATACTGGATCATTTCTCTTTTTTTTTTTTTTTTTAAAGAAAAGATCCATGATTTAACGAGAGGCAGTGCCTTTTCCATAACTACCTCTCTCACCTGGTCCATGATCACTGACGTGGTGACACAGTGATTCGTACAGGCAAGCAGGCAAGTCTGAAGTCCAGGAATGGAGGTGGGATAAAGGCTGAAGAGCAGAGATGGTTGCTAGGGAACAACCCTCCCTCTGTAAGCTGTGGTCTCCATGGGAACCAGCAGAAACATGGCAGAGATCAGGGTCATCCTGATTGGAAAAAAAAACAAACAAGGAGGAGAGCAAAAGGCTTATGTCTCATGAAACACCTGTGCCCAGAAGACCTCATCACATACACAGGGTTTCTTGGAGACTTCTGTAACACAGTCATAATCAACAAGACTGCATTTCAGCAGAACTGGATCTTCTAGCATCTCCAAATGCTTCACATGAGCTCACTGACCCCTATCAGGAGGTAGAGGAAGATGCCCCCATTTCCACATTAGAATAGGGGAGATGGTGGGCTGGCAAAAGGTCTTAACGTTGAGTCAATGACAGAACCACAATTTGGCCCTCCTGTGTCCAGTACTCTGTGCTATAATCTACTCCACACTTCTCATCCATTCTGCTCCACCACTGATCTGAGCTTTCACTAGGCCACTGGAATTTCTGCAAGTCTCCAGGGAAGGCTGCAACTCTCCTTCATGTTGCAAAGCTCCTTTTCCCACCCAGCACAAGCAGGTCACGGGCAACAGAGAAGAATTAGAAATATTCATAGATGTATCATCTTAGAAGAAGATTTTATTCATTGTGAGAAACTGAAAGATAGATAGAAAGCTACTCATCATTCTTAGAAAAATTGGCAAAATACAAATTAGTAATTTTTTTCTTTACTTCTACCTCTTCCCTTTCCTTGTAACTTGGGCTGGAGACAGCTGCAAGATCTCACGGCCCAAGAAACAATTCTCCCTCTAGGCCTTGTTGCGCTTCAACTCGGAGACCTTGTAGCGAGGTGGGGCACGGTGGAACCACTCTGACCAGGAACCATCATAAATAGCCACATCACGCTTGCCACACAGGTAGGCTGCTAAGGCAATGTGACACGCTGTGACACCTTTGCGGCACGTGGCCGCCAGTGGCTTTGAGAGATCCACTTTCTTCTCACGGAATATTTCTTGGATCTCCTCAATACTCTTCTCATGGCCAGATTCTGTTAGGAATGAGTGGAAGGGTATGTTCACAGCACCAGGGATGTGACCAGACTCCAGCCCTGCAAGAGTGAACAATAAAAGGAAACATGAGCGAGGAGGCAGTAATGTACATGATGCAAGACACCTACAAAAGAGACACTAAAGAGATATCATTGCAGATACTTTCTTCAAGACAGTAATTTGTTTCAGGTGATGATGAAGATGCAAAGCAATACGGGGCTAAAAAGAGGACAAAGGTTATTCAACTTTGCTGAAGACAAAACTTGCAGAATATTTAGCCAACTATTTCCCTCCTGAAAGGCATGAGAAGGAGGAACCTGAAGAAGCCCTGGACGTGACAAGAATCAAAGAACCACCACAGAAAAGATCCTAACAAAGGCATTAAGGGGATCTGTGTAGAGGAATGCAGCAGTGCATTTCTGACCTTCCCCAGGTATGCCAGCAGTGTGTAGTGACACAGCTTTCAGAAGCACGAGGCATAGCTTGTTAGTGGAATTTGTGAAAATAGTTACCTGTTCCCAGTTTATTCCTGTGTCACCTTAAAATCAGATTTCAGAAAAGTAAAGCAACCTTAAATTCAGCCACGTTACTTCTTAGGAAGCTATCCCGGGGCAATGGGGTCAGAGAAATGAGAATTTAGATTTTGTATTGCTTTTTATCCACTCCATGGATGAAATCAGCACGGGTTCTGTTTTTCTTCTGGTAGGACTGACCACTTCAGGCAAGCTGAAAGCTGCATCTCAAGAACAAGGTTTTTAGAGAGAAACTGATATAAAAATAGGATGGATAAGATTTTCATCAGGACCTTGAAATTCAAACTCTGTCACTATAGACTTAATCAAAGTCCATTACACTCAATGGAAGCTTTTCCAATGACTTTGAGAGGCTTGGATCAAGCGTCATTGGAGCAGGAAACTATGTATTAAATTGAAAATGCATTTCAGGGAGTGGTTCCTTGCTAGGTTGGAACTTCTAATGAGACGGCCCTAGGAAAGTCACATAAATATTAATCTGTTTCATTGACAGCTGACAGCTTTCCACTTGCCCAAGTCATCAGGGCAACTGATCTCAGGATATGGGAGACATTGGGGCAGGGAACGTTTGTCACAGACAAATGATTAAAGTATACCTAGTCAGAGATTGACATCAAACATCATAATGACACTGCAGTTTCATCGCTCACGCAGACATGATGACATATATCATAAAGGGGAAACAGGGTTTTGGCAGGGTATTGAGGAGGGGATTTTAGCTCTGCTGGACAAAGAGTGAGAGCCTAAAGGCAACCAAAGCTGCCCTGAGTCAGCTTCACAAGATCTCTCCCTGTTCCAGATGGACCCTCTTTGTTTCTTGATTCATCCCCCTCAAGTGCCTTAGAAATCTGGCACTGTTTTCTAGTCATCACCTCATGCATCCTTCAGAAATGTTTAGCATTACAGGGAGAAGTCAGGAGAAAAACTGCTGACTTCTGGAGGGACTACCATTAAAAAAAAAACCCAAAAGACAGTGTTTCGGACTGATGCTTTCACCACATCTTTTCCAATTCCAGAAAACAACAGTTCACCACTTCAGGACAGAGAACTGCAAAACCCATGCTCATTAATATAGTATCTGCATAACAGAGAAGAAATAAAACGAATGCAAAAAATGAGTGTGAGAAAACCTTGTTTGCAGTTCTGAGACTGCAGAGCTTCTCACTGGAGAGAGTTACATGCTTGGGCTGGGATACCATTTTCCTAGAGTCCTGGTCTTGTCATTTGGCAAGGGATTTTGCAAGGCTCTGCTGCAGAACTGGTGATCACCCCAATCCAGACAAGTCTGTGAGCCGCAGAACGATGCTCTCACACCAATCTGGGGCACTCGGAAGTGTACTGAGATCAAGAAGTCCTGAACCAGAAAGACCAGCTCTTGCTCAAACAACTTGCTGGGCCATCGGTTCAGTTCTTAGGTGGCCCAGTCCCCACGGTCATCATGGCTTTTCTAGTGTTCATGCATCTTAAAATAGGTAGGCTTGTACCCCTCTCTTTTTGGAGACTGCCACGACACACACTCACCACCCTTAGATAACTGTTGAGTTAGGAGCTGAGCAGATCTGAAAAGAACAGTCTCATTTGAAAGCACTTTTGACTTTGATATATAGGGAGACTTCCTTGCTCCAGAGATTCAAAAGTCTGTTGGGAGTCAAGAGATCAGTGCTTGCACTCTGCAAGTGAAGGATGGGGAATTCTGTAGAAACTGCATTTACTTGTATATGTGGGTGTTAAACTGAAAGAAAGAGCTGACACTGCACAACCCCTTGGACTGCCTAAGAAGTGCTCTTGAGTGATTGAGGAAGTTTTATCAGCTCTCTCAGCGCTAGGACAAGAGCAGAGAAACACAGGACTGGAAGGCAAGGCTGGATGCAGCTGGGATCTGAACAGCTGAGAGGATACATCTGCCCTGCCTCATATGAAACAGAGCATACTCCACACCAGATTTCCACAGAGACCCTTAGAAATTCCAGGAAGGATCCCTAGGATTATAGAGCCTGGCTTCCAGCTACTACAGTGATCACTTTATAGGCTCCCTCTCACAAAAGCATCCACCTCAGAACCAGTATGGATTCTTGCCATTAAACTTTCTGCTGATGCACCTCCTTGCTCACATGAGAAGGCATATTCATCTCCACTGTTAAGTTCATCACAGTCAGTTCATATACCATTTATCCTTGAGCTGACATTGCCCTGTGGCTGAAATAGCTTTTCTCCCTTTCTGCTATTGCTCCAACATACTGATGGCACTCAGCAGTCCCAACAGCCTCATGCCCTTAGCCTAAACCCAGTAAAAGCTCACGAGATGCACTTTTCACTGCCTTGGTCACCTGGGAAACAGTTCCAGGTCACCACCAGTGGATCACCACCTGGCTTCTGGATAAAGAAGTGGCACTTCCTAGCATCTTGACTGGTAGACACGAGGTTAATAATTGCTGTTGTCAAGGCCAAAATCACATCTGAGGTTCTTGCACCCAACTAATTCATCAAAGTCTTATCCTTTTCTATTGCTTCTAAAAGTGGGTCTTCAGTTTCTAAGACGAACACAAGCAATTAAGTGTTTTGGGCTACTAAGCATCCAAGTTTGCTCTTTGTAGCATTATATTTCCCATCACTTCTATCACCGCAGGTGGTACCTCATATAGTATTCCCCATGTGATCATTTAAACCTTCCCAAGGCTGTGCCAGCAGCACATTCCAGTAGCAACTCCCTATTTTCAGTGCCTCGGTGATTCAGAAAAATATGAAATAAAACATAGAAACATAACGATGAGACCATGATGACAACTTCCAGCCCCACAGATCTGCTTTAAGCACAAGCTATTCTTGTCTTCCTTTAAGTCAGGTGTTTTTGGGAATCTAATAGTACTTGTGCTATTTGCCCTCTTCTCACATTGAACTAATAATTGGCTCTCTAACATTATGTCCAAAGTATTAATGAAGTCCTAATGGAACGAGCCTACCTCGTGGGTGCTTCCAAAGGCTGGAAGAAAAGATCAGACATAACTTCCAGGCATGCATGTTCTCATTTGCCTTATCTGGCAAATCAATTCTGTTAGCAAGGAAATAGAGCCCTCAGCTGCAGTGCAAGTTTACCAAGGTATTTTATTCAATTTTGCCTTCATTTCTAGTAATTTTCCTTGAAGTGATTTTTTAAAATCATTCCAGTGTATCCATGTTATGACAATAGATCAACAGCTGCCTACGTTGTGCTGTACCTTCTATCCTAAATACAAATGCAAACTTTGCTAGTGTTTCTGTCCTACAGAACCATGCTCTGATCAAATTTACTAAATTCTTGCCTCAGGGAATTGCAATGTCACATAACTGATTTTTGACACATATTTGGGAGGGAGACCGTCTGCCTCACAGATCTGAGCACATGCATATCTTTTAGCTATACTCCCTCTTTAGAAGGGATCATTTCTGCTTCTTTCCCGTTCTTCTTGCTACCCCTCCCCCTACTCTGCAGGCTTGTCCTCAGGAGAATAAAACAAAACGGTAGCACAGACTCAGTATAATTCTGAGGCTGTACACAAATAATCTTTCATCTCGAACCCCTGCTAACTGCATAGCAACCCTACTTACTCTTTCTCTCCTTGTTCTCTTTCTATTCACTTTGCTCCAGCAGTTTTTGTTATTTGTTTTAATTCCTTTTGCCAAGTCTCACTCAGCTTGGCTTCTGGCAACTCTCCCTCACAATTTGTAACCTGTAGTATGTTATCTTCTTCACTGCTTAATCCCCTTTTCCACATCTGTTAATATTCTCTGCTTAAATATAATTTTTTTTCATTGGCTATTTATCTAGCTAAGGCTACAGCCTCTTTTCTTTAGCCCTTTCTTTTGCGATGAAAGCTCCAGATGGAATTTCTTAACGTCAAAAACATAAAAGATGTGCATTGTCCACATTTAATTCCCTGTGGTCTTGGAGCTGGCTGGCTGCAGATAGCTGTTCCTTTCCAAACACCTCCTCTCTTGCCTCTTTTTTTATCACTCTCTTCCATTCAAATTGTATGCCTCGGAAGGCATTGTTAGTGATCTCATCTAACTTACTTGAACTCACTGGAAGGAACACTTTAAGCTTGGTCCTGGCCAGCTCCACGAGAAGTCTTTGCAGTCAGATAAACAGGCCTTTGCCATCAACATCAACATACTGTGTGTGTGTACAGCCAGAAGAGTCAACTCTAAGAACCATCAGTACCATGGTGCTAATTCTGGCAGCTGATGTTTACCAACCTCATCACAGGGATGGACAACTTTGGACTGTAGGCTCCTGTGGGTTGAAACAGATTTATGATAAAGTCTCTCACTCTTCATGTTGTGCCTTCATGGTCAAAGTAGAGCCAGTCTGCTCCCAGCTCCACTTGGAGAAGAGAGGGATGAAGCAGTAACATTTCATTCTCACTGCCACTGAGCATTCAAGCTGAGCAAAAGCTTTATGTTTGGGGCAAGGAGGACTGAGAGCTGGGAAAATGGGCAAAATCTTATGAGTTGTGCATGGGCAAGGGAGACAAGGACTACCCTAAGGCTGAGAATGAGAAGAAAAACAGTTGGAAGCTCATAAAACAACTTCTGGTTTGCTTTCTTTTGTAGATGATGGATTTCTTAACTGGCAACTTTCCCCTTTTTTCTCAGGTGTCTGCAAAAGAAATCAGAAATTCACAACTTTTCTGTATGTATTTTTTCAGCTATAATTCTTGTTCCTCAGTTTTCAGTGCCCAATACTCAGAGAGAGTCAGCACTGCTAACCACCACGTAATTATTTTTATCATCTTCCCCTAGACTGTCTCAGTTCAGGCTGGTTCCATAGACCTGCACCCTACAGCGCCCAAGTACGCAGGCCCTTGCACAACCTGGTTGGGCCACTGCTGAATGGCAGCCAGTGAGCAGGCCTGAGGTGCTAGCTCCTCCAGAAACACTGTGCAGGCACACCTTTAACCACACAGTGTGTACATCAGGGCTGTGTATCCCATGGACTTATCCTGCACACTATGCATGAACACCCAAGCTTTTTCCTCCCAAGCAATACCAGCATTTAAGAACTGCGAGACCTGGCCTGTAGAAACGCCATTCATCTTTTTCTCTATCCTGACAACCTGGGTAAATCTCTCCCAGCAACTAAAAATTAGCCACGTATTATGGCTTATCTTAAACACTACAGAGATCTAAATCCCAGCAAGGTAGCTACTGCATAAAAATAAAACAGGGACAACTAATCCCTACCATACGGAACTGAAAAACCAAAGAGGCAAAAGAGTCAGCTGAAATTAGCCTCTTCTGGAGATGGAGTTCATGGAACTGGAGAGATTAATTGACTTAATTAGGAAGTCAAGAACTGAGGCAATAATTAAACTGAAATCACCTGAGAACACAGCAAGTTCCTTAACCTCAAGACCATTTTTCTTCTCTAAATTGCAGGCAACGTTTCTCCTCCCTGATTGGGTGACCCCTGTAATTAATCGGCATTGATTTCAAATTGCTCTTCTAGGTGTACGCGCTGCCTTTTACCCACTGCTGACTGTAGCGTAGCTACTGGCTAGCCCGGTTCAGGAGGCTGTCAAGCTCCCGTGGAACAAGCAGCTGCAGCTGGAGTGCTTATCCTGCTGGATCTGCTGTGGGAAGCAAAACTAGACCACCACAAATAAACTGTTCCATGCTGACTCATTTAAAAGGAAAAATCTGTTTTTTCAAAATGCTGTCAGGGGCTGCGGTATTTGTCACCTGATGACAACTCCCACTTTGGGAAAGACAAGGCAAAATCCACCAGCTCCCAGCAAGAAGCATTTTATTTGCGTCTTGAGGTTAAAATTCAACCTTCACTTTGATGGGCTGCAGTAGGCGAAGAAACACAACGAGTGCTCAGTCTAACTCCCCCTCTCTCCCGAAAACAGTCTCCTCTGTCACTCCCATTACCTTCCTTACCTTCCACATTGTCTTGCACTGGTTGAGTGTGTTTGGGGGGGCTCACTGCAGACACTTATGTGAACCACATGTACAAAGCCACTTACAGCCAAACGCTCCTGAGGTCTGGATGCAGGAATTTATTTCAGGCCACGGTGTCACACTCAGTGGCCATACAGCTGCACATACATCAGAAAGCAGCCAGAACAGACCTGTGCACAGCACAGTCTCAGGACGCAGAAGCCTTCCGCAGACCCACTCCTGCAGCACAGAGCTCAACTCAGACCCATCAACTGTTGCTGTGCTTTGTTTTTGAAAGTCTGCATGTCTTTTTAAACCATTTCTGTGATTCCCTTTCTGAGGAAAGGTTATTCTGGAATATACCAAGGCTTAAATTACACACTAAGGGCCTCCTTTAACAACTTGAATTTCATTCTAGGCACACGGCTGTAGCAGCTGTCTCCACTGCACAGGACTTCTCCCACCCCTGCTACTTGCGTGTCCACTTTTTGACAGAGGTAACAAAATCTATTTTTTGTTCCTGGTACTTGGGGCATCCTAAGGGAGAGGGTGACAGCCCATGCATTCAGGAAGGGTTTGGGGCTTTTAAGCTTGTTAGATTTAATGGCAGAGAGCAAAAGGACAAAGATGAGCTCAAGCAAGTTCTCTATTTGCCAAGAATCAGAGCAAGAAGGAAAACCTCCCTTGGGTTACTGTATTGCCTAAAACCTTGGCTTTCACTGATGCATTCATTATGATGAGGTGCCTGTATGAATACTGATAGCTTGCGCGTGTCTGCTGGTGTTAGATAGGACCCTGAACAAAACCCCTGGGAGCTCTCACCTCCTGTGTTTGCATTCTGTCTGATTAACTTCTGCAGGGTGTGGGATGGGGGATGCTGGAGCCAACTGACTGCAGATCTTTCCCGCTATTTCCTCCTGCAGCTTTACAATCAACTACAAGAAAAGCAGCCTGTGAGGTCACTAGGATCCGAACCTCCAACTGTGGATCCCTCAAGGTAAATCAAGGAGTTAGGCTGAGGCATGCCTGTGCATTAGGAAAATCTGTTTGCTGGCTGTGAGGAGTTGTTACGCCTGGAATACTATCGACACACATCCCGTTCCAGTGCACAGGGCGGGTGGCATTCCCACCTCCATTACCTTGGTCCAGCTCGGTCCCCCGGAACCGGCCCTCAGGGCGGGAATCCACCACCTGGAACCGCAGGGACCCCACGTTATGGATCATCTCCTCAAAGGTCTTCAGCAGGACCGTGTTCAGCCTGGCCTTAAAGACAGCTGGGGTGGGCTGGCTGACCTCTGCCGTGACGGGGTGGCCCTCCTTCACCCAGTTCTTGAAGCCACCATTCAGGACCGAGACCTCCTTGTGCCCGAAGACCCGGAACATCCACCAGGCGCGGGGGGCATAGAAGGTGCCCAGCTGGTCCCCGTCATACACCACCACGTGGGTGTCGTTGCTGACCCCCAGGCGCCCCACGTAGTCGGCGAAGTGGGACTCGCTGGGCAGCATGAAGTCGTAGGGGGAGGACTGGTCTCGGCATTCCTCAATGTCGAAGAAGGACGCCCCGGGGATGTGCCTCTCCTTGAACTCCTGCCGGGCGTTTCGCTCCTGCGGCGGGTACCAGGAGGCGTCCAGTATCCGCAGGCTCGGCCCTACCCGCCCGGCCTGCACGGCCTCCGAGAGCCATTTGGCGGTGACCAGAGCCCTGCTGAGCACCTGCGGCGCCATCTCGCTGGGCCGAGGCCGGGAGGGGGCGCCGCCGGCGGCCAGACGCGCACACACACAGACACACACAAAATGGCGGCGGCGGGGGGACGCGGCCCGAGGGGGCGGTGCGGGGGCGGGCGGCACCGCCCGGGACCGGCCCGCTGGGAGGGACCCGGCTCCCGCCCCCCCCGGTGGCGGCCATGGCTGGCGGGGACTGAGGGCGGGTGTTGCTCGGCTGAGGCCCGGCACGGAGGTACGAGGCGGCGCGACGGGACGGTCCCGCTCCTTCCCCCGTCGCTGCGGGAAGGGAACTGCGGCCCTGCCGGGGCTGGGGGTGTCCGCGGCGGGAGGGTTCGCAGCGGGAAGCGGCGGGGGGGGAGCCTGCGTGAGGGGCGCCAGGCCCCCAGTGAGGCCTCGGCTGGAGGTGGGCTCCGGGGCGGTGAGAACGGTGGGGGCAAAGCCCCCCCTCGTCGTGGGGTCGCGCCTCACCCCGGGGCGCTGGGTCCCCTCTGCTCAGGGTCCCCGGGGCTGCCTGGATCCCTTCTTGCTGCTGTCAGTGGTGGCTGGAGGTGGAGGTGCCAGTCTGGGTGCAGGGCAGGACTGCTGCCATGGCTGTCCCGCTCGGGGCAGGGTTTGGACTGAGCTCTCTTATTTCAGGGCTGGAGCATTTCAAAGCCCCTCACTATAGACTTAACCTGCACCTCAGTAGAAAAGCAGTCCCTTGGTCCCAAAATGCCACCTCTGTCCAGTTGCTTTCTATAAAGGCTGGTTGCGAATTTGCAATTTTCTTCTTCCTTCTGCAGTCAGGTGGACTCAGGCAAGCCCCAGGAACCAGGTAATCTCGGCCAGGACTTGGGAGCGATGTCGCAACAGCTCCTCTACCGTGCTCTGGTGTCTGCAAAATGGCTTTCAGAAGCCATCAAGTCCCAGCAACCTGGCCTGGCCTTGAAAATCGTGGATGCGTCCTGGTATTTGCCAAAGATGAAGCGTGACCCGAAGCGGGAATTTGAGGAGCGCCATATCCCAGGTGCAGTGTTCTTCGACATCGACCAGTGCAGCGACCGCACTTCACCTTACGATCACATGCTGCCCAAGGCTGATGACTTTGCTGAGTATGTTGGGAAGCTGGGTGTGGGGAATGATTCCCATGTTGTGGTGTATGATGCAAGCGACCAAGGTCTCTTCTCAGCCCCCCGAGTGTGGTGGATGTTCCGGGCCTTCGGACATGAAGCTGTCTCCCTTCTGGACGGCGGCCTGAAGAACTGGCAGCGAGAAGGAAATGCGCTGAGCTCTGGGAAAAGCCAGGTAGCTCCATCTGAGTTCCATGCCTCCTTGGACAAGTCCCTGGTGAAAACGTATGAGGACGTCTTGGATAACTTGGATTCCCGCCGCTTCCAACTCGTGGATGCACGTGCTGCAGGACGGTTCCGGGGAGTAGAGCCAGAGCCGCGTGATGGTAATGTGCCTCCAGAGACACTGGCATAATAAAAAGGGGCTTCATTTAAGGTGCCCATCAGTTTGACTCCTGTGAGGTAATGAAAGGAAATATGTTGTCCTTGGGTTGGGACTTAAGGCAGTCTATCTGTCTGTCCTGCTCTCCTTTTGACTAGCAGGTGCTGCTCTTTGAAAATTCAGGACTGAAGAAGAATGTATTTTGTTCTTTTTCTCATGAGGGGCAGGGATGAGGAATGTAACTTTCATACACCTCAAAGATAATCGTTGGTCTCTTCATGTGCTGGTACTGCTCTTCCACTCAGAAGGACTTGTGGAAATGCTTCAGCCAGTGCCTCATCAGAGTGGGTTGCTCTGATGAGAGGAGGATGTGGAAGGAACTGGGAGGAGAACTTGACAGGATTGTGTCCATGTGGTAACCTGAAGGTTAGGGCCATCCTTCCTGAGTAAGCAGTAATCTAGTAAAGCAATGTTTAACAAAAATGAATGGATTTGTTTTAATAACATACACTAAATAATAAATAGCAACGTACAATAGATCATAAATATCCCCAGTGAAACAGAGAATAGGTTTTGCAATGAATTTATCCTAGACAGTAGAGGTTAATTCCTATCTGTATTGCTTTTCCTCCAGGAATTGAGCCTGGTCATGTCCCTGGGTCGACGAACATCCCCTTCACTGATTTCCTCACAGAGTCTGGCTTAGAGAAGACCCCTGACCAGATCCGCAGTCTGTTCCAGGAGAAGAAGGTGGACCTCTTAAAGCCGTTGGTAGCCACATGTGGCTCTGGGGTCACTGCCTGCCATGTGGCTCTGGGAGCATACCTCTGTGGCAAACCAGATGTTGCTGTGTATGATGGGGCCTGGGTGGAATGGTACATGCGGGCACAGCCTGAAAACATTATTTCTGAGGGAAAGGGGAAGACAGTTTAATAAGATGCTTCATCTTCCACCTGTGCAGATAATTTGCCTTGAAACAGGATTTGGAAAAGATGGGTTTAGCATTCCTGGTTAAGTGTCATGAGGTGAAGGTGTTGGATAACAAGTACAGGTTACATGGTGCTTTGGCACTTTCTCCTTATCCTACCACTGCTGCTTAGGAGCATGAAGATGGCCTCGGCAGCCAGCTCTAGGTGACCCTTCTTGAGCAGGTGGGGTGAACCAGATGACCTCCAGAGGTCCCTTCCAGCCTCTGCCATTCTGTGATTCTGTGGCCTTTTTACAGTGTCAGATGGAAGGGAGAGAGTGCTGGTGGCAGCATGGGGAAGTAATTGAGTCAAGACAAGCTCATGACGTGGGATGTTCCACCATGTTCACTCACAGGATGGTCATGCTCGTCATAACTGTGCCTCATGATCTTGCTCTCTGCCTCTGTTGTAGAAGCCATCCATGCACTTTATGGCCATTTTGAGTGCAAAACTTAGGGGAAAGGCGTAAGATGTTAAAGGAGCAGATATTGCCTCCAGGTTGGCACTTAGGTTAGAGACTTGGCTTGGATTTCTTCTTGCACTTGGACTCTAACTGCAATGTGTACTTAGCCAGTTTTGTACTCCCATGGTCCAAAATCCCCCTTTGGGAAAAAAGAAAAAACCTACAAAGATACTGGAATTTTAAAAAGGGTAAATAAACATGTGTTTCAAGGTGTTTCTGCTGTATGGAGCTTATGTGACCGTTGCTTGGCTGATTCCAGGAAGTCTATTTTTATGGGATCCTTTTGTCCTGATGATACAAATGAGATGTTGCCTTCTCTCCATCTCCTACCCTCAACGAGCTCTTTGGGCCAGGAAGGACAATGGCATGCCTCTCTTTTGGGACTTTTCACCGTCTTCCTGATGGACTAAAGTCCTTGTCCATTTTCTTTTTGCCCTAAAACTCCACATTAGTCAGTCACAGCTCTGTTCTTCAAAGACTGGATATCAGTTCACGTGGTAAAAATTGGACTGCATGGGTGTTTCTGTTCTTACCATGTAACCTAAAAAAACTTAAGGGAACTGAGACCTACAGAGGAATAGCCTACAATGGCATGTTTTTTTCCCCCAAGATCATTATTTTTTTATCTGGGAGTTGAAACTCCCCCAGGTGTTCATGACAATGTTCAAGAACGTGTTACTCCTTTTAAACAAAAACAAACAAACAAAAAAACCCCAAACAAGAAAAAAAACCACAGGCCCTTCCCTCCCCTCCAAAAAAAACCCCAAGAATCCTACACCTGTTATGACCCACTGGTAACTTAAAAAATTGATTAAACAAGGTCTGTTCTTCAGCTTGCAGCAACAGGTTCCAGTGGACATCTGAGGGTCATGGGGTTGTGCTTTCTAGGGGATGCTGTGGATGCTTATGATCACAGATTTGTGGCATCCCTCCTAGCCACTGAATGTGAGGGCTGTATCCTTTCCTTTTGGAGAATGGTTATTCTTTGCATTTCCTTGGGCCTCTGTTGGCTGAGCCCTGGCTTCTTCCTGGGCTTGGTTTTCGTGCACGCAACCTCTTTTTCTGCTTGCCTTCTGTGGAACTAAGAGTTTCACTGTCCAGGTGATACCTTCCTGTGTCCTCTCCACCCACCCACCCAGCCTGACCTTTCTTTCCACCCATTTCCAGTGACTGAAAGCATTCAATTTCACTACTTATATTGGTCTAACCACCTGGCCCTTCAGGGACTTGGGGCTGGCATTACAGCAAGTGCTGAGTATAGGGAGTATGCTGGGATTTGAAATGAGTGACCCTTTTGTACACAGTGCAAGATACAGATCTGGATAAAATAACCTTTATATTTGCCAGCTTCCATTTAGTTCTTTGGGCTTAGACTTCCCAAAAGGGCTTCCTTGTTGGGTTATAGCGTGTCCTGCAAATTGCTAAGGCTTTCAGTTCTAGATATAATTGATGGTTTAATTAATTCACTTCTCTTTCCTGCTAGGGAAAGGTCTTCTGCGCCCATGCTGTATGAATTTCCCCACCCAGGTAATCACTGTGTTTTTAGAGGCTGGTAGCAACACCTTGCTTTATCCCAAGTAGGGTAATTTTCTAGCAACTCTTTCCTGCAGGGGAAAGGGAAGAACTAATCAGCCTGTCATGCAGGACATCTGATTGCAGTCTGTAACTGAGAGCACTTAAAAAACAACAGCAACTTTTTAAGCTGAAGTATGGTGTTGACACGAAAGCAAAAGGATGAGCACTGGGGCCTCCCAATCCGAGCAACAAGGGTGCTGCTTTTAAGACACTTTAACATAAAGATTCTTGTACAGGCAGTGTTGCCTAGTATGGGATCTTACAGCAGGGTCTAGCTTGTGACATCTTTTAGGTTACGGATTTCTCACTTCTCCCACCATCAGCCAAGCTAAGAGGCTTTCACGTGGTGGGTCATTAAGGTTTCACACCCTGGGTGTGGCTGGGAGGTGAGGCCGATTTTGTGAATATATGGCCAGGCCCCTATGTACAAATAGATAAACAGGAGTGCTGTGCCTGCTCTGTTTCTCCAGGAAAACTTGGGTAGAGAAAATTGGCATATTCTTTCAGACTTTGTTAATACAATTTCCAGTAGATGCAGGGCACTGGCTTTTGTTCTTGTTCTTCCAGGACATTTGGCGATGCTGCTTGAGCGCAGTGTTTCTTTTTTCTCACTGACCCCAGAGTCTCTGAATCTCTCTGCTTCCTCTTGAGTCTGAGCTGCTTTCCTCTGTCCTGTGTGTCGCGGGGAGGTGTCTGGTGCAGCCCAGCCATCCACCTGGAGATTGCAAACTAAGTGACAGATTTCCCTCTCCCCTTGCTCTACATTTTGACTTGATTTGGTTTGATGACATCTAGCAGGGCCCTTGCCCTTCTCTGGTATGTGTGCCAAGATTGGCAATACTCAACTGCCCTTCTCCCAGCTGGGTTTTGAACCACAAAATCTCAGTGGTTCTTCAGGTTCCTGGCCTTTGACAAATCTTTTACCAGATGCTTAGCTTTGCTTTGATTCCCCCACAGAGGAGAAACTGAGAACTTCCTGCAACAAGATACTTTGCCTTTCTGGGGTATGCCCTGTTACATCATGTATCAAAAATCTGTCCAAGAGTGTCTTTTGATACTCTCCTTTTAGTTGAGATCTGTTCTCACGCTGCAGGCAAAGCCCTGGGAACACTGTGGAGACCGAGACAATGTTTTCAAAGCCTGGAGACTGCAAAAACCTATTTTGAGCCATAACAGATGCCACTGGACATATGGAACAGCTGAGGGGACTTGCACTAGGACTATAAATGTTCTGCAGATCTTTATGTCCCTGACTCAGGGGGTGGGTTTCCTTTGAGAACTGGAAACTAGGAATGAGAGAGATGGATGTGAATGCAAATCACTAATGTTCATGAGTCTCCCATGGAAAATTTGCCCCAGGGAAAGGGGAATAGCATATCTTTCATGGGATAAGGCTCATGATGGCCAAAACAGCCTAAAAAACAGCCCTGATGTAGGAAGAGGGTCACATTGACTTGTGGCTAACTTGAGACTGGAGCTTTTACAGCTCTCTGTATAAATTTGAAAATCCCAGGCCAGCATGTAAACTCTGTATTGGTCTGTTTTAATACATGTAACACTTTTGCCTGAAGCAGTTCTGGACTCTGTGAAAACACTCTGGTCAACGGTTCTCCAACAGAAGTCCCACAGTCCCTCAAATGACCTTCATCACCTGCCTTCCTTTTCCTTCCCTATTGCTGCCTAGCAGCCAGGTTGGGCTGTTTCACACTTCATTCATTTCCCAGCAAACCTTTTGTTCCCCTGCAAACTATCCCAAATCCCAAAGCAGCCCTTTTTTTGCCAGCACTGCTGTCCCTTCCCGCTAATGACCACTGTATAAGCCGTGGTAATCGCTGTTAACTGCAGGGGCTTTTCTTGTTCCTCCCATCTCTCCTGGTCACAGCTCACAGCCAGGTGCTACGTGACTGTTTTCTCTCCTCCTCCCAGCACTTTTCCAGCAGAGGTGCCAAACAATGCATGTACACACGCAGGCTTCATGCAGGTACATTGCTCACAAACCACACCAAGCACAAGGAACTGGAGAAAGTTTAGCTCACCTGCACGCCATGGGACCTTTCTTTTCCATCTCCAATACACCTGACTCAGCTGGCAGTCAAGCTGGGCTCTGCTGGCTACAAGTGAACAGTCTTCCTCCCACCCCCCTGTCCTTTGTGGGACGTTTTCTTCGCCCATTTCACTGTTGGCTCAATGGCAGATGTCAGGGTATTACTTGTCCTCCCCACCGCGTTTCCTGAAGAGAAGAGAGAGGAGACAGTTTCTTCTCTGGTTACCTCATGCCAGAGTGCATTCATTATCTAAATGATCACGCAAATTTAATCCCAGACTGACATAGTGGTGACACTGTGCCAACACACAGTGGTCCCTGCTCCCACTGATGCTCCACGGTGCAATAATTCCCTAGAAGCAGCTCTGCGACCTCAGTGGTGGATCCCACTCCACGTACCCAGCTGACTCGTCAGGCTGCAGTGTACGTACAGAGCACTGCAGTGTGTGTAGGTTTGTGGCTGCTGAACCAGGAGACTCTCATTTTACCCCCCGTTCTGTTCTCCTCAGCTTTTGTTCAGCCCCATCACGTACCTACCCAGTGGCTGTCCAGCGTTTCCTACCCCAGTCTGTCTGTGAAATTGTCCCCACCACTTAACTGGGTACTCAGCTGGGCTGTGTGGCGTTGTAAACTCTTACTTGCTCCTGTCTCTCTGTTTCTGTGCATGTGTTTCATGTATAGTAATCATCAAAGCGGGAGGAACAGATTGATTATTTAAATTTATTTCCCCTCTGTTCTCTTGCTTAATTTTAATGGGCCTTAACAAGGGCATGCTAGTTGCATCTCAGACCCATGTCTGGTGTTGGTGTGCTGGTGTGCAAATCAGGCCTGTATTTAGCCCACACCACCCACACTTCAGCATTTCAATTGGTAACTCACCCTGGACTGAATTCTTCCCAAAGAGCATTTTCATGAACTATGGGGAACACCCTGGCCTGGGGGTTTTTCAGTGAAGTGCATGCTGTGCATTGCGGAAAAGAAGGCTCAGGGGATGGGAGTGGTGTACCTTGACCTCTTTCCTTATTCCTAGTATAACTCTTTAGATTTGCCAACTAACCGTTTCACCCCGACCCTGGGGTGAGCAAGGCTTGAAGTGCTGGCCACCAGTGGAGGCTGGTGTTGATGGAAGAAGGTGTGCTCTGAATAGAGACCATCCCTGACCTGTGAGCAGCGTTGGCGTGGGAGAGATTGGGGAGGAAGTTTTCAAAAATAAGAGATTGGACCTAAAAAAGAGCGAGAGGCTGAGTGGCTGTGAGAGGAGGAGAGGGAGACGGGGCGAACCCCTGAGAGAAGGAGGAAGAAAACTAAGGCAGGGCAGATTTCGTGGAGGGGGAGATAAGGAGCTATGGGCTGCCACCCAACTACCGCGTTCATATCAGAGTGCCACACTCCTCGCCCTAATTCTCTGCTTGTGAATTCCTAATTCTGCACTGTGGCCGGTGCAGACAGGGTCCTGCACCCCTTGCACACCAGAGCACAGGGCAGAGCTCTCAGATTTGCCATGGTTTGACTGGGAGCCAGAAGCAGGAGGGCAACAGTCCCTCAGCCCTGAGCTGCGTGGCTCTCTGTGATGTTTCAGCTCAGGACAGTATTAGTTTGAGCATCTTTGATGCACAACACTGCTCAGTGGAGACAGGTTCAAGGGCTGGGCAGTAATTTGGGCCAAAGCCTGCTCCATACAGGTAGGCAAAAAATAATTTTTCATCCTCTCTCTATTATTGATCACTCTAGTGCTGGCCAGCTTCTGGTGTGAATTAAAAGAGATCCAGAGCTATTTGAATTTACAGCCTGCAGCAGCTGAATTACTGCTGTGCTTAAATTAGTTGGAGGTCAGCAATCTCGAAACCTTTTCCGTGTTACCCTCCCTCCCCCTCCTCCCCTTTGCACTCCTTCTCAGAAGGAGCAAAGTACACAGTTACACTGTCTTTGACAAGGAAGTCCTGGGTGATTTGGGGGAAGGGTGATGCTGCCTTCCTGCCCTGCAGTGACAAAAGGGAGGAATTTGTAAGTAAAAGAAAAGAGGGAAGGACAAAAAAAGAAAGGAATATGAGTAAAACATAATCTTTCTTTGTATCGACCCTCTTCCTCCAATAAACCCCTACCTCAAAAGACACAAAAGATCTCAGTGCAAGAGCAGTAAAGTGTCTGCAAGGCACCACGATGTCTCTGCACTGCTGCATCCCCCAGGCAAGGAAGAGCCAGAAAGTTACTTAGGTGAAGGAAGGCTTTGGGCCACGTTCAGGTGAAACATCAGCCTTGTGTTTCCATTCCTAATGCGCCCGAGCTGCTGGCAAGCGGGGCTGTGCTTAGGTGGGAGTGGGAAAAGCAGAGTTGCTGTAGAGAGAGCTTGTTGAGGTTGTGTCTGTGCCAAGGAGTGCATTTGAACAGAGTCCCCTGGGGCATGAGCAGCTGAGCTGCAGGCTCAGCCTGGCAGGAGCGAGTGGCAGAGGCAGGGCTGGATTCTGCACGGCAGCATTGGCCCATCGGCTTCGCCGGGTGATTTGTGCCTGGGGCAGAGGTAAAACTCCACACTGAGTTAAAATCTGAGCCCTCTCTTGTCCAGACACAAACAGGGATGGCAGGAGCAGGGGGGAAGGACGCAGGGGTTCTCTCTCTGGCATGGTTTGTGCTGTTCAGGCAGCAGAGGGGGGGAGTTTGCTGAGTCAGCGAGTCTTCTGAGCTGGAAGAAAAAATTCTTCCTGCCTCCTGCCAGCGCTTCATGCAGATCCAGGATACAGTTCCCAGAAGTGTCCCTACACATGTTAGCAAGAAGGCAACTTGTCTGCACGTTTTGTAGCAAGAACAGTGTGGCAACTGATGCAGCGCCGAGCTGTGAGCCTGGGGTAATGGCTCTCCTGAAGGGAAAGCTGGGGAGCACAGCTCTGATGGGCTTCATCTGCTGACTGCCAGGGAGCAGGTTGTTCTTCCTGACTCCGAGGAAGCTTACAGGCAAGATCCAGGGCTGGAAGCAGGCGAACCACCAGCCGCAGGGGTTCTCATGCGGTACAGAGCAGCCCCCTTCACGACAGCATCCTCTTCTGCAGGGGTGGGGGGAGCTGGGAAAACTACACTTCCCAGCACCCTTTTGTGCATGTCCCTGCAAACTACAGTTCCCAGAACCTTTTAATGAGCCGGAGAGGATGTCCGTGGAAATAAATGCCGACGTTTTTTGCATAACGCCCTGCACCTCCGAAGTGCTGCCCGGCCCTTGGTTTAGGGGAAGAGGGAAGAGGGGAGAAGGCAGGGAGGTCAGCGCTGCGGAGCTCTGGTTTTGCCCACTCCTGGTATCCTCCAGCACAGAGCATCCTTCCTCCCCTCGGGACCCTCTTGGCGGTCCCAGGGAGGACTTTGGCCCCCGGGAAACACGGCTGCTGCGGAGGGAAAAGGCAGATAAACTACAAATCCCGGCATTCCCCGGCAAGCAGCACCTGCGGCAGTCCCTGCACGCCGGCGGGGAACGGGGTGAGGATGAGGATGGAGGGCGGGGAGGAGATGCAGGGTGCCGCGGGGCTACGCCGTACCCGGGGCATCCCGCAGCCCGCTGGCACCCAGGCCAAGTGGGTGAAGCTCAATGTGGGGGGCACCGTCTTCCTCACCACCAGGCAGACGCTGTGCCGGGAGCAGAAATCTTTCCTGTGTCGCTTGTGCCAGGGCGAGGAGCTGCAGTCGGACCGGGTAAGGTGCCTCCATCACCCTGACCCCCCCACCCAGCACGGGGGAGGGATGCAGGGGTGATGGAGCCAGACCCCGACCGCTTGCAGGAACGACTGAGTGAAAAGATGCCATCTCCTTCTCCCGTGAAGGGTTTTCCCCTTGCTGGATCCCACCTTGCTGTGTTGTAGCCTGGCACCTGTCTTCCCGAGCTGGGGAAAAGAGAAGCCATCTCCCCTCTGCCCCTGTTCATCCCACCCACCTCTCTCTCACCCCATATCCCTTGGGTCTACCTCCCAGCTGGGTCTGCCTGACTCAGCCTTGTCTCCTATAAGGGGACTCTCTGCTCTCTCACACCTGGCACAGTTGCAGGAGGAGACTGAGGCCTATTTTTTGGGCTTTCTCAGCTGGGTTGGTCCATGCTGAGGTGGGCACACTGAGCATACCAATACAGGAGTTAAAATCCAAGTTGGGCTGACTTGGCTAGGGACTCTCAGGGGCCCATGGTTTCCAAGGAGTCTTAGAAATAGTGGACGTTTTTGCTTAGGTTAGTGTTTTCTTGTAGTCTGGAGGATTTGAGGGTTGGTTACAAGTTTCCCATGGGGTTTTTCTCCTCGTGGTCTATCTCTGTTGCTAGGATGAGACTGGTGCATACCTAATAGACCGGGACCCCACTTACTTTGGACCCATCCTGAATTTCCTCCGTCATGGGAAGCTGGTCCTGGATAAAGATATGGCTGAAGAGGGTGAGTCTTGGAGCTCAGAAACTTCCCACTTAACACCACTGCTGTATCCAGAATGCAATAGGACTTCTTGTTAACCTTGTCTCTGATTCTCCTTCTAGAATTTGATGGGGAATTTGAGAGGGCTATTCCTGCAGGTCTGGGAAAGCATACACATATTCCCTTTACTAAAGGGGTTTGGAGTAGGTGAGGAAGGCACCCTACAGGTGTTGTGGCTTCACGACTGTTTGATCAACAGAGATGTCACCAAGATGGAAGTAGGCAAGATCTCTTAGCTTCAATAAATCATTTTATTACTTGTTCCTGATCTACTTTTAACCAGGCTCTGGGACTGAGTTTTCTGTTAATGACTGAGTGTTTCTAATTAGGAATGAAAACCCAGAAGACCAAACAAAATCAAGTTCATCTCTTTTACTGACTCTAATAAAGACCATCATTAATCAGTGATATGCAATGTATGCTGCTAATGCGCTGGTGGGTTATGACCTGCAGTAATTTCTGTGCAGCAAGCCAGACAAACCAATCCCTCATTTGAGGTTGACAGAGGGTCCAATAGGATAACTCAGTAACATCGTGGTGTTACCAGCCAGAAGTCCCCAATGCCTCGTTATTTTTTGGATGCTAGAGTCTAGCAAGGAGCCAATTCCAAAGACAGGCTGTGCTCTCCAGCCCTTGCCAAGCACAGTTTCTGCATGTTCATTAGTCTTCTTGCCTTTCTCTCTTACATATTTCTACCTAATGCAAGGAAAGTTTTCTTCAGAACTGTCTTATGAGTTATAATTCCAAAAATATATGTAAGCAATGGTACAGAATTGTGATAAACACAATTCTGAGGTGTTTCCTACTTCACATTTCTTGTAATCCTGAGGTCAGACAGGGTTCTTCCACAGGTTTTAACGTCAAATCTGAAGCATGAACAGGAATTCCATTTGTAGCTTAACGTTGTCTTTTGATCCTGCTGCAGACACTCAGGCTGGCATAAAACTAACCCATTAGATGATTCACAGCTGAATGAGGGATTCGGAAGAGGTCTGGGTAGTGTCAGGTAGTGAAGAATCAATCTCCCCACCTGCATTGTCTATGTGCTGCCCTGGGGACACGTGAGTGTTGGCTCCTAGCCACCTTTCCCTCACCGACCCTCTGGGAACCAGCCTCCCTTTCCCTGAAGGCCTGTTAGCAAACAGGTGAATCTTAAGAGAGGTGATGGGTGCAGATACCATAGAGAAAAAACCAAAACACTTCTCTGTTTACCTGCTTTGAGGGGAAGCACGGGGGAGAGAGCCAAAGATCATCTGAAATCATATGGGGCTGCAAGGTGGGTGCAACTCCAACTGGCCCAGGAGGAAAGCTGTTATTTTCTAGGGTCTTTTGGTGACAAGCTCAGACCAAGTTGTGGTTCTGTGGTTCTACTGGGTACTCAGCTGGGCTGTGTGGCGTTGTAAACTCTTACTTGCTCCTGTCTCTCTGTTTCTGTGCATGTGTTTCATGTATAGTAATCATCAAAGCGGGAGGAACAGATTGATTATTTAAATTTATTTCCCCTCTGTTCTCTTGCTTAATTTTAATGGGCCTTAACAAGGGCATGCTAGTTGCATCTCAGACCCATGTCTGGTGTTGGTGTGCTGGTGTGCAAATCAGGCCTGTATTTAGCCCACACCACCCACACTTCAGCATTTCAATTGGTAACTCACCCTGGACTGAATTCTTCCCAAAGAGCATTTTCATGAACTATGGGGAACACCCTGGCCTGGGGGTTTTTCAGTGAAGTGCATGCTGTGCATTGCGGAAAAGAAGGCTCAGGGGATGGGAGTGGTGTACCTTGACCTCTTTCCTTATTCCTAGTATAACTCTTTAGATTTGCCAACTAACCGTTTCACCCCGACCCTGGGGTGAGCAAGGCTTGAAGTGCTGGCCACCAGTGGAGGCTGGTGTTGATGGAAGAAGGTGTGCTCTGAATAGAGACCATCCCTGACCTGTGAGCAGCGTTGGCGTGGGAGAGATTGGGGAGGAAGTTTTCAAAAATAAGAGATTGGACCTAAAAAAGAGCGAGAGGCTGAGTGGCTGTGAGAGGAGGAGAGGGAGACGGGGCGAACCCCTGAGAGAAGGAGGAAGAAAACTAAGGCAGGGCAGATTTCGTGGAGGGGGAGATAAGGAGCTATGGGCTGCCACCCAACTACCGCGTTCATATCAGAGTGCCACACTCCTCGCCCTAATTCTCTGCTTGTGAATTCCTAATTCTGCACTGTGGCCGGTGCAGACAGGGTCCTGCACCCCTTGCACACCAGAGCACAGGGCAGAGCTCTCAGATTTGCCATGGTTTGACTGGGAGCCAGAAGCAGGAGGGCAACAGTCCCTCAGCCCTGAGCTGCGTGGCTCTCTGTGATGTTTCAGCTCAGGACAGTATTAGTTTGAGCATCTTTGATGCACAACACTGCTCAGTGGAGACAGGTTCAAGGGCTGGGCAGTAATTTGGGCCAAAGCCTGCTCCATACAGGTAGGCAAAAAATAATTTTTCATCCTCTCTCTATTATTGATCACTCTAGTGCTGGCCAGCTTCTGGTGTGAATTAAAAGAGATCCAGAGCTATTTGAATTTACAGCCTGCAGCAGCTGAATTACTGCTGTGCTTAAATTAGTTGGAGGTCAGCAATCTCGAAACCTTTTCCGTGTTACCCTCCCTCCCCCTCCTCCCCTTTGCACTCCTTCTCAGAAGGAGCAAAGTACACAGTTACACTGTCTTTGACAAGGAAGTCCTGGGTGATTTGGGGGAAGGGTGATGCTGCCTTCCTGCCCTGCAGTGACAAAAGGGAGGAATTTGTAAGTAAAAGAAAAGAGGGAAGGACAAAAAAAGAAAGGAATATGAGTAAAACATAATCTTTCTTTGTATCGACCCTCTTCCTCCAATAAACCCCTACCTCAAAAGACACAAAAGATCTCAGTGCAAGAGCAGTAAAGTGTCTGCAAGGCACCACGATGTCTCTGCACTGCTGCATCCCCCAGGCAAGGAAGAGCCAGAAAGTTACTTAGGTGAAGGAAGGCTTTGGGCCACGTTCAGGTGAAACATCAGCCTTGTGTTTCCATTCCTAATGCGCCCGAGCTGCTGGCAAGCGGGGCTGTGCTTAGGTGGGAGTGGGAAAAGCAGAGTTGCTGTAGAGAGAGCTTGTTGAGGTTGTGTCTGTGCCAAGGAGTGCATTTGAACAGAGTCCCCTGGGGCATGAGCAGCTGAGCTGCAGGCTCAGCCTGGCAGGAGCGAGTGGCAGAGGCAGGGCTGGATTCTGCACGGCAGCATTGGCCCATCGGCTTCGCCGGGTGATTTGTGCCTGGGGCAGAGGTAAAACTCCACACTGAGTTAAAATCTGAGCCCTCTCTTGTCCAGACACAAACAGGGATGGCAGGAGCAGGGGGGAAGGACGCAGGGGTTCTCTCTCTGGCATGGTTTGTGCTGTTCAGGCAGCAGAGGGGGGGAGTTTGCTGAGTCAGCGAGTCTTCTGAGCTGGAAGAAAAAATTCTTCCTGCCTCCTGCCAGCGCTTCATGCAGATCCAGGATACAGTTCCCAGAAGTGTCCCTACACATGTTAGCAAGAAGGCAACTTGTCTGCACGTTTTGTAGCAAGAACAGTGTGGCAACTGATGCAGCGCCGAGCTGTGAGCCTGGGGTAATGGCTCTCCTGAAGGGAAAGCTGGGGAGCACAGCTCTGATGGGCTTCATCTGCTGACTGCCAGGGAGCAGGTTGTTCTTCCTGACTCCGAGGAAGCTTACAGGCAAGATCCAGGGCTGGAAGCAGGCGAACCACCAGCCGCAGGGGTTCTCATGCGGTACAGAGCAGCCCCCTTCACGACAGCATCCTCTTCTGCAGGGGTGGGGGGAGCTGGGAAAACTACACTTCCCAGCACCCTTTTGTGCATGTCCCTGCAAACTACAGTTCCCAGAACCTTTTAATGAGCCGGAGAGGATGTCCGTGGAAATAAATGCCGACGTTTTTTGCATAACGCCCTGCACCTCCGAAGTGCTGCCCGGCCCTTGGTTTAGGGGAAGAGGGAAGAGGGGAGAAGGCAGGGAGGTCAGCGCTGCGGAGCTCTGGTTTTGCCCACTCCTGGTATCCTCCAGCACAGAGCATCCTTCCTCCCCTCGGGACCCTCTTGGCGGTCCCAGGGAGGACTTTGGCCCCCGGGAAACACGGCTGCTGCGGAGGGAAAAGGCAGATAAACTACAAATCCCGGCATTCCCCGGCAAGCAGCACCTGCGGCAGTCCCTGCACGCCGGCGGGGAACGGGGTGAGGATGAGGATGGAGGGCGGGGAGGAGATGCAGGGTGCCGCGGGGCTACGCCGTACCCGGGGCATCCCGCAGCCCGCTGGCACCCAGGCCAAGTGGGTGAAGCTCAATGTGGGGGGCACCGTCTTCCTCACCACCAGGCAGACGCTGTGCCGGGAGCAGAAATCTTTCCTGTGTCGCTTGTGCCAGGGCGAGGAGCTGCAGTCGGACCGGGTAAGGTGCCTCCATCACCCTGACCCCCCCACCCAGCACGGGGGAGGGATGCAGGGGTGATGGAGCCAGACCCCGACTGCTTGCAGGAACGACTGAGTGAAAAGATGCCATCTCCTTCTCCCGTGAAGGGTTTTCCCCTTGCTGGATCCCACCTTGCTGTGTTGTAGCCTGGCACCTGTCTTCCCGAGCTGGGGAAAAGAGAAGCCATCTCCCCTCTGCCCCTGTTCATCCCACCCACCTCTCTCTCACCCCATATCCCTTGGGTCTACCTCCCAGCTGGGTCTGCCTGACTCAGCCTTGTCCCCTATAAGGGGACTCTCTGCTCTCTCACGCCTGGCACAGTTGCAGGAGGAGACTGAGGCCTATTTTTTGGGCTTTCTCAGCTGTGTTGGTCCATGGTGTGATGGGCACACTGAGCATACCAATACAGGAGTTAAAATCCAAGTTGGGCTGACTTGGCTAGGGACTCTCAGGGGCCCATGGTTTCCAAGGAGTCTTAGAAATAGTGGACGTTTTTGCTTAGTGTAGTCTGGAGGATTTGAGGGTTGGTTACAAGTTTCCCATGGGGTTTTTCTCCTCGTGGTCTATCTCTGTTGCTAGGATGAGACTGGTGCATACCTAATAGACCGGGACCCCACCTACTTTGGAGCCATCCTGAATTTCCTCCGTCATGGGAAGCTGGTCCTGGATAAAGATATGGCTGAAGAGGGTGAGTCTCGGAGCTCAGAAACTTCCCACTTAACACCACTGCTGTATCCAGAATGCAATAGGACTTCTTGTTAACCTTGTCTCTGATTCCCCTTCTAGAATTTGATGGGGAATTTGAGAGGGCTATTCCTGCAGGTCTTGGAAAGCATACCCATATTTCCTTTACTAAAGGGGTTTGGAGTAGGTGAGGCAGGTACCCTACAGGTGTTGTGGCTTCACGACTGTTTGATCAACAGAGATGTCACCAAGATGGAAGTAGGCAAGATCTCTTAGCTTCAATAAATCATTTTATTACTTGTTCCTGATCTACTTTTAACCAGGCTCTGGGACTGAGTTTTCTGTTAATGACTGAGTGTTTCTAATTAGGAATGAAAACCCAGAAGACCAAACAAAATCAAGTTCATCTCTTTTACTGACTCTAATAAAGACCATCATTAATCAGTGATATGCAATGTATGCTGCTAATGCGCTGGTGGGTTATGACCTGCAGTAATTTCTGTGCAGTAAGCCAGACAAACCAATCCCTCATTTGAGGTTGACAGAGGGTCCAATAGGATAACTCAGTAACATCGTGGTGTTACCAGCCAGAAGTCCCCAATGCCTCGTTATTTTTTGGATGCTAGAGTCTAGCAAGGAGCCAATTCCAAAGACAGGCTGTGCTCTCCAGCCCTTGCCAAGCACAGTTTCTGCATGTTCATTAGTCTTCTTGCCTTTCTCTCTTACATATTTCTACCTAATGCAAGGAAAGTTTTCTTCAGAACTGTCTTATGAGTTATAATTCCAAAAATATATGTAAGCAATGGTACAGAATTGTGATAAACACAATTCTGAGGTGTTTCCTACTTCACATTTCTTGTAATCCTGAGGTCAGACAGGGTTCTTCCACAGGTTTTAACGTCAAATCTGAAGCATGAACAGGAATTCCATTTGTAGCTTAACGTTGTCTTTTGATCCTGCTGCAGACACTCAGGCTGGCATAAAACTAACCCATTAGATGATTCACAGCTGAATGAGGGATTCGGAAGAGGTCTGGGTAGTGTCAGGTAGTGAAGAATCAATCTCCCCACCTGCATTGTCTATGTGCTGCCCTGGGGACACGTGAGTGTTGGCTCCTAGCCACCTTTCCCTCACCGACCCTCTGGGAACCAGCCTCCCTTTCCCTGAAGGCCTGTTAGCAAACAGGTGAATCTTAAGAGAGGTGATGGGTGCAGATACCATAGAGAAAAAACCAAAACACTTCTCTGTTTACCTGCTTTGAGGGGAAGCACGGGGGAGAGAGCCAAAGATCATCTGAAATCATATGGGGCTGCAAGGTGGGTGCAACTCCAACTGGCCCAGGAGGAAAGCTGTTATTTTCTAGGGTCTTTTGGTGACAAGCTCAGACCAAGTTGTGGTTCTGTGGTTCTTAAGAAGAGGGCCTGAACAAGGTCGTAGGTAACTGTTGGTCTTTGAGAGAGGCTGGAGCCTACGTTTATTCTCCTTAGCCAGTTACCTGGGAAAGGTATTAGCAGTCCTCAGCACAAGCCTGTTTCTGTACTAGCAGGCAGCATAAGGAAATCAGGGTGAATATTAGAAATGCAATGCAGAGAGCCAGGATTCTGTTCTCCGCAGTAAGAGTTTAAAGCAACAGACACCTGTTTAAAAAGTGAGGCTGCAGTGTCATTTCTCCCTATGGAGCTTGGGAAGCTCAGAATTGATATTTTGCAAGCCAGAAAACAAAGACAGGCTATTAACTTTCTGTCTTTATGGTCCTTCTGTCTTTCTTTCTTAGGGGTCCTAGAAGAAGCTGAGTTCTATAACATTGGTCCTTTAATCCAAATAATCAAGGATCGACTGGAGGAGAAGGACTACACAGTAACTCAGGTATGGAAAGAAATGGCAAGGAAGATAGAGTGCGGTGGGCGAAGGAGGAAATGTGGAAAAGGAGAAGTGAGTCTAGAGGGAGGGCAGACTTGGGAGAAGCAGCAAGGAATGGAAAGAAGCAACTAATTGGAGTTTATGTGCTAATGTCTACATAGCAAAGTCTTGCAGGGGACAGGCTACTGTCATTTTAGTTATATAAACAAGTTACAGGCTTGTTTTGTGTCTCCAAAAGTAATGTTGGATGTAGCCCCTGAAACCAAGTCAACTCCTCTAGCTTTTGGAAGAAGGCAGCTGGTTGCTGTGGGATATGGAACAATGTTTGTGAGGAGAGCGGAGGTGTGGGAAGGAGGGCTCTGGTGTGGGGAGTCCTGGGAGTGTAGCCACAGTGAAGAGCATGAGGATGTCTGTAGACAAACCTGGAAGGAATGGGTGAAGAGACATCTGTGGAAGACAATGAGGCACAAGGAATCAATCCTGTAGCACAATCACACCTTGTCTTGACCAATAACCTTTTAAAAATCTGTCTTCTGGGAGTGTTGGCTGATATCTCACTTTTTATTGTCTCTACCTCAGGTTGTAAGCCTCCAGCAACAGAGTCACTTTGCACTCACAAAACCCCATCAGCATTTGTGGCATTTGCATAAATGACTTTGTAATGACAAATGCAAATTCCCCATTGAAAGAGCCCAATATCTTCTGGGAACAAGACAGGAAACTTTCAGCTCAGTTCCTTCTCTCCAGAAGAGATACCACTGTTCTTACTCCCCATAATACCATAGTAGAAATGTATATTGTGGTTCCCACTTTCAATTCCCTTTAGCCTGGGTCACAGGGAAGAGGACAGGTCTGTCAAGGAGGGGTACTACCACTTCTTTCTTCAGGAGGGCAACAGCCTTTAGCATCTGACCACTGTCAACACGCTCTACAATTTTGCTGTCAGGTGCCTCCTAAGCATGTCTACCGTGTGCTACAGTGCCAGGAAGAAGAGCTCACTCAGATGGTTTCCACTATGTCAGATGGATGGCGCTTTGAGCAGGTATGGAAAGGGTAGAAGAGGCTGGGCAGGAGTTGTCTTTTGGGGAAGAGATCATGGATACTATATAGTCCCCAGGCAAGTCACCTTCCCACTCTGAGAATATTGGGTCAGCCATTGATGGTGCTGTCACACTGGCTCTCTCTTGCCCCTTCTCTAGAAGTTTAGAGGATGCTGTGTGAGGTTAAGATGTTTTGCATCCTGGCTGACTCCTCTCCTGGTTCTCTGTGCTGCCTCCTTAGCCTTAGATATGAGGCCTTCTATTGAGGGTAGGGATTGAACTCTGTGCTGCATGATGGGCTTTCTGCCTTGCTTCCCAGGTGAAGTGGATGTTTGCAGTAACGTGCATTTGTGATTCTTGCTCTTGTCTTTTCTAGCTTGTGAACATTGGCTCATCCTATAACTATGGGAATGAGGATCAGACAGAGTTCCTGTGCGTGGTCTCCAAAGAGCTGTACAACTCCTCCAATGGCTTGAGCTGTGAGCCCAGCCTCAAAGCCAAGGTGAGACCTACTTTGCTGTGGCCTTGCTCCCATTGCCTATGAGATCCTTCATTCTTGTTTGCTCCATCTTCCTTTCCTCTCTCCAGTGTGGCTGTGTGGTACCTCAATGGTGAAATACAGGGGTTTGTCCTGGTGTTCAGCACCATAGCATGACACCCACTGCCCAAAAGGAGGAGTGCTTGTGTTGAGAGTGGTGGTGTCTGGCTGTGTGTGGCAACTGGCTTTAGCAAGTGACCCTGGCATTTCTCATGCTACCCTAACATCCCCCTCGTGCCTCCTCATGACCATGCTGTGTGTGTCACCCTGCTGCTAGGATGTGATTTCTGGGGAGGTTTTGCAGCATCCTCTTTCCTTTTGTTGAGTTCCAGCCTAAGGGGCAGGAGATCATGTGCTCCCCTTTTGAGGGAAGGACAGAAATGTGTGGCAGTGCACCACGTCCTGCAGACACCTGGGATACAGGAAGGAGCACTAGCGACTGATGGCAGTTGTTGGGCAGTGGGATCACAGTGCTTGTAAGTGGGTTAGGTAGCCCTGAGGTGATGCTCCAGAGGAAGACAAGTCTCTTTGGCTCCCTGACTCAGAACTGTCTTGGCCATGGGGAAAGGTCCCATTTATTCCAGTGTCATCAACTTTGCTTTATCCCTTGTGTGTTAGAAGGAACTGCCATGTCTCATCTTGCAAGTTTCTCCACTCTTTCTTCCCTTTGTCCTGTATGCTGGGCCACAGAGCACAGAGGAGGACCTGGAGGAGGAAGAGCAGGAGGTGGAGGAGGAGGCAGAAGCAGAGGAGAAAGGTGCAGCAAATCCTTGAGGAAAATCATAAAAATAAACCCCCAAGCGTAGACCCATCCACCTTTCTGGTGAGAACTTACAGCTAGCAACAGGGAAGGGCTAGGGCAAGCGTGGGGTGTGGGGCACAGTCCTCTCCAGGAGCTGGAGTCTCTCTAGAGATAAAGCTTTGAGGGGAGAGCTGTTACTGTGGCTGCTGCTTTGTATTTTAAATGGTTTGGTTTATTTGCAGTTATATTTTTCTTTGCAGACTGTCCATCTATTCATGATTGCACTGAACTCTTTCTTCCTCCAGACCCTCCCTGCTGCTCCCCTCCGTGTCCATCCCAGCACTGTCACCTACCTCCCACCCTGCCCCACTCCCCAGCCTCCAGCACCCTTCCCTCTGCTCTCTCTGAGCCCACCACCAGGGCTCAGAGTGGTCCCTGCCCGGGACCCTGTCTCTCTCTGCTCCTCACTTTTCCTCCTCTGCAGGTACCTTACCTGTCTGCACTCCCAGCTCCTGCCAGCCTGAGCTCTGCATGAGTGACTCACTTCCCTCCTGTGGGTATGGCTGGGGTTTGTAGAGCTCGGGGAGGTGAAGGAGGCGGGGAGGGGAGGTTGACTCATCCCTAAGGTGTTTTTTCTGATTGTCATCCTATGTGTGCTTTTACCCACCAAGCAGGCCCTACGGCTCCGGACCCGGAGGCTCTGGCAGCAGAAAAGAGATTGCAGCTGGGAGAAAGGAAGAGGGGTGGAAATGAATGCAAAGCAGGCAGGGGGTGGCACGGGGAAGGGGGGAAGTCTGCCACGTGTCTGCCTGACACGCAAGCCAGATCTCTTCTCCAGACTGCCGCCCGCAGCTCCTTTGCCTGCCAGCCTGAGAGCGGTTTGCAGAGAGCAGGCTGTTATTTTCCCCTCCCTGTTCTCGCTTCCCTGGGCTTTTCCCCCCGCCGCCTCTGCCAGGGTGAGAGAGCACTGGGAGAGGGTGGCGAAGACGAAGTGGACGTGGCTGGTCCCCACTCCAGATGTTCTCGCAGCTGCGTGCGAAATGAGCCCCTGTGCTGTGCCTGCTGCTCGGGGAGGCTGCCTGGCTGGCGTGCCTGGGGCTGGGTACAGAGCGCTTTAGGAGCAGGGAAACTGTGGGGCTCTTGTTAAACCAGAGATGCTCAGTGCAACTCTCCATCCTGGTGGAGAGCACTTGTTAGCTGGCTGACATTTCTCTCTTTCTCTGTTCAAGAGCCTCCTTGTCCGTGGCTGTGAGACCCGAGTGCTATTTTCTTAAAAGTCACTGTATGTTAATCACGCAGGCTTTTCCTTCCTTTTTCTCTGTTCTCCCACACTCAGTCCTCAACTTTTTTCTTTTTCTTCTGTTCTCATTTCTGCTGTCATTCCCATTTTCCTGTTTTTTACCCTCCCTTCCACACTCAAATCGCTTTTTTTTTCCTGCTGTTGATTTTGTTTCTCTCTTTCTCTCTCCTTCTCTAGCTGTTACAAGCCAGAGGTCTGAGGATGTGATCCTAACACTCCACTCCGGCCTTTTAATTTCTGGTTTATATCTTTATTTTTGTACTGCAGTGTATGGCAGCCCCTTGCCCCCCAGTGACACTCCCTGCTCCCCTTCCAATTTTCACAAGCAGCCCTTCTTTTTTACAAACGCAGCTCGGAGGAGGGCTGAGCCCCAGCCCTAGAGGAGGGCAGATGCTCCAAGGAGGAGGGCTGTTGTAGGAGCTGGAGTGGGAGCCCAGGCCCCCTGCCATGCCGAGCAGCCATGCCTTTCCTTAATGTCACAGTGGCCCCTGCTGGGGACATCAGCGATCAGCCACTGCGGTCCCTTCCCTAACACCCTGGTTGCCACTGGGGCCCCGAGGTGGTGGCAGCTGCTGTGGGACCAGTCCTCACCCTTTTGCTCTTGCAGGCAGCTGGTCTGGGCTTGTGGCCAGAGGGCAAATGCAAAGCCACTGCCCTTTTGTGGGCCACCTGCACTGCTTGCGGGGTGTCCCTGTGCTGGCTGGCACGCTCCTTGGTGCCTCCCGCCTTCTCCCCCCAAAACATCCCTGTGTCGGCAGAGTGAGGAGGAGACAAACGTGCTGCCCGGGTACCAGGAACACGCTGGCACCTGATGGATGTCTGCTAGTGCCAGGAGATCCCTGGCCCAGGGAGCCAGGCGTTTGCTTCTCTGCTATGTCTGAGGGCACCAGGTTGTAACTCCTGAATAAAATTCACGGTCTGTTCCTCCTCGCCACCTCTCATTTCAAGCGGCAGAAGGGGGTGGGAGCTGGAGAAAGAGGAGTTTGGATTCATCACCTGGAGCTACCAGAAGCTGCCTGTGCTGCGTCCATCTTCGGGAGGCTGGAGGTACTTCCCACCGCGTCTGTGCTGCACCCTCACTGCAGGCAGGTGGGCTACAGAGCAGGTACCTGCATCCCTAAATCATAACAAGAAGCGAGGACCACCTTTCTAGGTGGTGTGTTGACCTCACTGCACCCTGGGGGACCGTCTAGAGGGAGGGCAAAGTATAAACTTTTTCCAGTTGCCAGTGCCAGGGTTGGAGTTTGGTCAAAAAGATAGAAGCCCCATGATAATTTTTAACAGAGTAAAGCAAACTAGAGCCAAAAAAGCCCTCAAATTGATTTTATTTCTGATTCCAGAGAGTGGACCATTGTGTGTGTGTATATATATCTTCAGTAAAAAAACCAAGCCCATAGCAGTCACTGTTTAAGCACTGTGCCCTGAAGCCTTCTCCTTCACCTCCTGGATCATCTGAGTTAGGAGGTGGAAGCAGATCAGAGTCCCTCACGTTACAGGTATTTGGAAGGGCTGAGGAGAGGGGAGATGGGAGGCTGCTCCAGAGTTTTTACTGAGGGTCCAGAGCCTTTCCGTGAGGAAAGTGCGGCAGTGGAGGCTGGCTGCTGCTCCAGCAGGGAGGCAGGACACGCGCTTGGGGGTGTGATGCTGGACTCGTGCCTGGGAGTCAGCGAGATGTGAAGAGTTGCCTGGCTGAGCTGAGCAGCACACGCCAGCTAAGAAAAGAAGCAATTAGGGAGATGGAAGAGGAGGAGTGATGGGAGGGGAAGGGGGAAGAAGGACGAGCAGCAGGAAGGAAGAGGGAGGCAGATTGATTTCACAGTTACTGGAATCTCTAACTACATCAGTCACATTTTCTTTCAGCAAATGTTCCAGCATAAGATTGTGGCTGAATCACATGGTTCATGGAAAGTTCAGCTCCCTTTATTCCTTTTCTCAGAAACCATCAACTTGGGACAGTTACTGTGTGACATGTCATTGTCCCCCCACCTACTCTTTTGGATGGATGGCCTAAAACCACCTTGGGATGCTCCCTGGGAAGCTCTGAGGGGGAAGAGGGTCTGCCTGCTTTTCTCTACAGTCCCCATGGCAGCCTTTTTTTTTTTTTTTTTTTTTCCCTTGCTCAAAAGAGATCCCCATTACATGATTGCATTTCACTCTTGTGTTGGTCCAGGGGGCTATGGGTCCTGCTGTGTA